GAGATTGCAGTGGAAATGTTTATGATTTTAAGGTATACATGCTATATGTACAAAATGTACAACTCACATAATAGTTCTAAACTATAGGATACAATCTCACGAATTTTGACAATATATTAGTTTTCAGTTGTGCACAAAGCCAAAGGTGCTAATGTACCTGAAACGTAACTGCTAATTAAAGTCACTCGTAATTGTTTAACACACCATCCACTAAGAACTAGTGATATATCCTTCTTAACCCATGCGAAACAAATTATCACCTGGCTGGTGTCCTATTCTAAGGCTATATTGAATTATAAACTACAATAGTTCGCTTGCAATCATGGTTTATTTTAGTTCCACCACGTTTAAACCACGCTATCTTAATTTTGCCGATTTCACAAGTATCGTGTGAAAACAATCAATGAATTTGTTAGGCCAGGTACCAGTTATGTACTATTGAAGTTTTAGTTATTTTATTTGCCAAGTTTTATTTTGAAAACAAACACAGGTCTGTCCGTATTGCTTTCAATGAAGCATCGTGTAGTTTATTTTACAACAGACAACAACACCACAGGACAGCACTGTGACTTTCAAACAAACAAACCAAATACCAGTTATTTTCTTTGTTTGTGTTTGTTCAAGGAAGGCAAAATACATTCCCTCCCCCTTAATGTACACACGTGCTACTAAATATAAACACAAATTTACCACTAAGAAGAAATCTTTGACAATTTTAACACGCTATGTGAAACTTCCTATGGTTATCAGTGCAAATCTAGTAACCTGAATTCACAGATATAGGTTGTTTTATCCGAGTCCTTATTGTGCACATTTTACGATATATTTACAATGCTGTTGTACATTCGCAGTTAAATATTTTGCCATACTATCAAAAATATTTCTCTCAAATGCTAAAATATTGTCTTTGAGAAATTGTACTCCTCAAAATATTTAGTCTTGAAGGTATTACATACATAACATGCAGATCACTGAGTCATTTCTCTTTCATACTAGATGCGTATCTCTGATTATCTTAATTGCTATTAGCGCCTTTCTCTATACTACTCCTTTTTCTATGAAAATACCCCCATTGCCATTGGAATGACGCTACTTCGATCTTGATCTTAGAAAAGATGTATACAAAGCAATAAGAAAGAATCAGTCGTTCGAATCTAACACAAGAATACATTTCTCTCATGCATTGCATTCCAGCACGCTCCGTCATACAGGTTCAGATGTGCCACTCAAATCTATAAGAAAGTCCAGATAGAAGCCTCTGTGTTCTCGGAATTTGGATGTCTATTTAGTTCCAAGCGTTTTCTGAGACTGTTTCCTTTCTTAGAATAATTAGGGAACCTTCCGTCATGAATTTCTTGGCTTTTGTCAACATGATTATTGTGTTCGTGGATTTTTGGAGAATTCTCGTGGTTGGATTGCTCTGATGTTTCGTCCTTCTCACCACTCCATTGCGAAATTTCATGGAAATGAATTTCGGCTTTATAATTTTCATTTGATTTGTCAACTGATTTTCTAGCATCCTCGTCTAACTTTTTCCTAAATTCTTCGAAATCCTCAAGGTAATTACTTCGGGAAAATTTGTCTCTCGTCTTAAAATATGATTGTCTCTGCCGTCGTCGGCTACGACTTCTCGTATTTTGGTAAACATTTGTGGAATATTTGTAAAATTTCTGAGACTTCTTTCGCGAACTGTCGCGTTTCCTCTTCGTGTCCTCCGGTTGTTTTCCAGGAACTTTGCAAATATTCTGTTTATTTTTGGGGTATTGATCATTGATTACATTAGTAAGGTATTGGCCTATACGTTGGGTAATAAGGCATTTGTCTGCTAAATTATCCGAATTATTGAGCTGATCAATTTTATTTCCAGAAACTGAGTTGTCTGGCACATAATTTCTGAATTGACAATCGTCTTTCAGGGAGACTTCGTCTCTGTGTTCACCATGATTGACTTTAGAGTATTGCGCGATCTTTTTGTGGTTTTCCGGTTTCATTCTATATGTTTTATTGTTTAAATTGTCAACGCTTAATGATTTTAATCCTTCAGCCCCGGCTTGTACATTCTCTCCCGCACAAACTTCGTTTTCCGCTGAGATACTTTGCGATAACTCTCTGAAAGAATAACAACGACGTTTTGTCTGGCAATATTCTTCGTGAGAACCAGAAAGACATCGTGAAGCCTTGAAGCTATCGCGGTTCGAGGTTCCTCCTAGTTTTTCAGCTAATGATAAAGTCGCTGTGGGTATTTCACAGTTGTCCGTTGGACTATCATGATTCAACCTCCCCGAGAGAAAGGATTTCGGAGAAATATCCACAGGAAGAGTGTGGTTCTTTCGGGGAATCTTATCTTCCACCACATTCATTTGAATTGTTGTTGGAAGAGCATAACAGGAACCTAAAAGAAAAGTAAAATACAATAACGAATGACGAATCTCTCACAATAACGAGGCATTGCAAAAAACACTTTAAAAAGGGTCCTACCTGTGTTGAACATAGTCCGGTCGTGAAATTTTGGCAAACAGGCAATTAACCTTTTAAAAATTCCTAGATAACTCTTCTTATATCTTTCCCAAGTGAAGAAATATATAAGAGGGTTTACTAGAGGACTGGACAGAGGCTGTAGAGATGATATTAGATTAAGTATGTAACTTGGTTCGTGAGTGATTTGGGCTCGAGTTATTGAGATCTATAAAAATGAAATAAATCATGCGTAAGTGAGGCTGTAAAAAATGCAAATGTTTATACACCAGGGGTTTTTGAAGGAACAAATTCAGAAACTACAGTGGCGATCTTCCCTTCATCTTGAAAGTTTCGAAATGTTCATTTTAAGACAGAACAATTAATCTATCAAAATTATTTGTTTTTCTGATTTAATCGTATTTACAGCAGCTCCATGACAAGTCTTGAAGTGTTGATTGACGTCAGAACAAAACAATCTGTGAAATGTTCATATTTAATGAAATTTTGTAGGAGAAATTTCGACCTTTAATAGACTCCGGTATGAAGCAAAACTACTATTAACGAAGATAGATCGATTTTCTATCGAAACAACAAATGGTGTGGAGGAGGAGTTAACTTCGATTAAAGAAAATATTTGATTTGATTTAACGATTCATATAAATATTACATTCACGAATTGGCGACCTACCATTAATGGTAGCCAACTGATATAGAATAGTCCGCTGACCATAGCTGTTACCTTCAACAAACGCTTGCTTTGTATAAAAGATTTAGACGCTGTTTTGTTCATCTTTTGTGAAATCCCCCCAGTTTGAAGGTCAACAATTGCCCCTCTTCTGGCAACAAAACGAGCTTGTCTTTCCATGAATTTCTTCAAGGAAATCTTTATCGCGACAAAGCAATAGGAAACAACGAGAAAGTCTGCATAACCAATGACAACAATAATGATAGCAAAATCACTGTCGTGATAAAACAGACACAACGACATCTTTGGAAGCAATACATAATTTCCCCAAGCGAACAGAGGAAGAGAGGAAATACTGATTGAAATTAACAGTAATAGAATAAGAGTTTTAACAGCTCTGCGCATGTTTACGTAAGATTTGTAAAAGAATGGCCGACTAACGGCTGTTAATCTTTCAAGGTTTATTACAGTAACAATAAAGGCACTGTGAATCTGCGTTGTGACAGAGATCCAAGCCTGTGTTTTGCACAGCGTCCCAAACTCTTCACTTTGCTTTAGCAAGGTCCATTTGAATAAAATAGCGAGGAATATACTGGTGATTGTGTGAATAATATCCAGTAGTGCCAACGAAAAGATGAAGATATCCGTCACAAAACGCTTTGCAAAACTTTTGACCGTGATTAGAACGAGGGAATTGCCAATGACAATCGCGACTGACATTATAACTAATGCATAACCTGTTTCAAAATCTTCTCTTTCTTCAGGTTTCGTTTCTGCGTCATTTGAAGAAAGATTAAAAACTTTTAGAATACTTTGATCCATCATATCTTTGGTTGACTGTGAAATACAATCGATTGGACTGTGGTTTTCAGTGAGCTTTGTGTTTGACAATTAATCTTTTGCCATAAAAAACAGATGCCGGTGTTGGAAAGAGATACCTCCGAGCCTTATGTAAACAAGTTAAGCAAACAAGTGCGGGATAAATGACGAAAGCTTATTATTTTCCTTCACGTTGATTGTCCTAATGCGTTCTGAATGTTTACAGTAGAGCTTGTTATTTGTCTAGTTGTCATCTCATGATTGCTAAAATATGAACCTCGTCGATCGTGAAATGTTGTTACGTGCAATATCCAGGGAGGAATGACTTCAATTCCTTGGGAAAAGTATTTTACTGAGGCCAATTGAAGTAGATTACTTCGATATAGCATAACTGCGAGTCGGTGAAGAGTTTAAGATGCATGATCGCGATTAAGCATGATGGTAAACAATCCATCTTAGACCAAATTTATTTTTAAAATCTCATCTCCTGCGTTGATAGTGTCAAGAGGGTCTTTGACTCCTTGTATGTCGAGAAAACCAGAAGAATTCATGCCTCAAAGCCGGCATGTTTTTCGAAATTATCTTTACTGAAAAGTTTTGTTCCATTTACTGTTCATGATTATAATTGGGTGCTGATAAAAATCGGATTTAGGGATTAGTCACAGAGTGATGAATATTTGAAAATCTAAAAAAAAACAAATGCTTGGAAGACAACGTGCCTTCTTTAATTCAATATTTCATGTGACGGGCGTGCAGTGGTTTTCATACCCAAGTAAGTTAATTTGCTGATGTTTCAAAAGAAAACAACTACTGAAAATGGACTTTAATTAAAACTGCAATTTCCTCTATTTTATCGTGTTGTGGACGATGTGCAGAATTTCACGTAATTTTATCCAAAGCCCTCGCGGTCTTTGACGTTGTGGGCGTCACTTTGCGCACACGCACCGTTTGTTGCGCCGCACATGCGCAATTCAAGATCCACACAGTTTGCTAACATGACGTTTTGAATGTTATTATAGTGGTGTCCAGTTCCCTGAATATCAACGTGCCACGTCGGGAGTGAAAAATTGTTCCATATTTGACTTTCATCTATTCAAATAAATCCCAATTTTTCCATCGAAATGGTAAGTTTATTTTAACAAAAATTCTTTGTAGTATTCTTATGAATCATATATGCATTGGTGTGGTGAGAAAAGCATAATTTTACGAGATCACGACTGATATACAATTGAACAATTCATGTTAACTTGTGACGTGTGTGTATTCAAAATCTATATTTTGTTATTATTTTATGTATGCATTTATATCAGTATAGCAAAGAACGATTACCATCGCCGTAAATGCATTCTCTGAAATACCGAATTATAGTATGAATTCTTGCATTTCTCCTGCAGATCTTTACCATGTCTTGATCTGACTTTATCCATCTATAACTATCTCCCTTTTAAATCCATTGATCAATTGAACTGTCTTGTCTTAAAGACAGCACTAACCAAGCCAGCATCTGCATGAATTAAGTTGAAAATCAACATGTTCTTATAAACTATGTACATTTTTAGATTTAAATATTGCAATAAACATTGTCATATAAATTTATTTTTGTTTTTTTTAGCCACTAAGGTTGGATGTTAAGGTTTGTAGGTTTATATATATTTTTAAAATACCAGTAATTGTAGCCTGTGAATACTGATGACTTGGTGGTAGATAATACCATCTGGGAATTAATGGTAACCCTAAGTTTCAATCTTTTTTTTAGCGTAAACTCTCAGCTCGGTCTGATCGAGTAAAGAGTGTTGATCTTCACCCAAATGAGCCGTGGATGTTGGCTAGTCTGTACAATGGAAACGTTCATATATGGAATCACGAGTCACAAACATTGATAAAAACCTTTGAAGTTACTGATCTACCAGGTACAATTATTTAGTTTCCTCCATATCGTCAAGCCAACAATGCTCAGTGCTGTGACACCCAGGCTTGCCATGATGCAATCAACTTAACCCAAATTTTACTTTTATTTTCAGTGAGAGTTGCAAAATTTGTGACAAGAAAGAACTGGGTTATTACCGGCTCAGTAAGTTAGGAAGTATTTAATTTGAATTTCAATTGTAGAATATATGATTATACATTTTGGTTGCACCATTTCATTAACACTAACTTCCTCATTTTGCAGGATGATATGCACTTGAGAATTTACAACTATAATACATTAGAAAAGGTAGGGTGATGAGTTTGAACATGACTAGGAGAAGTTGGTAATTTTATCTGCTTAACCTCCTGAGAGATAGAAGAAGTTGCATTCAAAATCACAATTATTCTTTTTGCAACTATTTATCTAGGTTCATGGCTTTGAAGCACACAGTGACTACTTGAGATCCATTGCAGTTCACCCAACACAATCTTACATACTCAGCAGCAGTGGTACGTTTCCATTCAAGTCTGTTTCTGTGTGTATTCAGACGAAATTTAGAAAATAATCGGTATATTCATCATGTTTTCTTATGTAGATGATATGTTGATCAAACTTTGGAATTGGGACAAAAATTGGCAACTTCAACAAGTGTTTGAAGGTCATACCCATTATGTAATGCAAGTTGTAATAAATCCTAAAGATAATAACCAGTTTGCAAGTGCTTCTTTGGACAGAACAATAAAGGTTTGTCTACTATTTGCTTGTTTTCATTAATGTGCTTCAATGATGCTGGACCAAGGCTGAATGTAAATCTATTTTCAGGTGTGGCAACTTGGCTCAACTGCTCCTAACTTTACCCTAGAAGGACATGAGAAGGTACATATATTGTAACCTTGTACAGTAGATATGTATTTTAGAGCTCATCAACATTCTTTGTTCAGACATTAGGAGAAGATAATAAATTTACAGTTAAGTTTAATGTTATAGGGTGTTAATTGTGTTGATTACTTCCATGGTGGTGAGAAACCTTATCTCATTTCTGGAGCTGATGATAGATCAGTGAAAATATGGGATTATCAGGTAAGTATTTTGTATATTCCTTAATTTTTTTGTTGATCTTTATTTTAATCTTTTGTGTTGCTTAGAACAAATCATGTGTTCAAACATTGGAAGGCCATGCACAAAATGTTTCCTGTGTTGGTTTTCACCCTGAACTGCCAATTATTCTTTCTGGTTCAGAAGATGGTAAATAAATGTTTTTTTCCACAGGAATGGAATATCCTGTGCATGTGTTTGTTTCATGAATATGAAGGTCTGTAGTGGATGAAAAATGATTCAAATTTTAGAAGAAGTTTCTTTTATTTAGGTACTGTGAGACTATGGCATGCTAATACATATCGATTAGAAAACACTTTGAACTATGGTTTGGAAAGAGTTTGGACAATTGCGATGATGAAAGGTTCAAATAACGTTGCTCTAGGATATGACGAAGGCAGTATCATAATCAAGGTGTGCTGAAACTTTATTTTTAACAAAATAGGAGTTGTTTTTTTATTTGTGTATGTATTCTTCCACCAGTAATATTATAAATCATCCTTATCGAGCATCAATGTTTATTGAGGATTTCAAGGCTGTTGTCATCACCTTTTTTTACTTTCTCAAAGCTTGGAAGAGAGGAACCAGCCATGTCTATGGATAGTAATGGCAAGATTATTTTTGCCAAGCACAGTGAAGTTAGTCAAGCTAATTTAAAGAACTTGACAGGTAATGTACATCATGACTCTGGTCTTAGCTCAAACTTGTGGTAATATTTCATTACATCATCATTATGACATAAGAAATGAGTATCGTGACAATTGTTTAAATTTTTCATTGAAGATTATGAAATCAAAGATGGTGAAAGAATTCCTTTGGCCATCAAAGACATGGGATCTTGTGAAATATTTCCTCAAACATTGTCTCATAATCCTAATGGAAGGTATGAACTGAGATAGGATGGTTATTTGAAGGGAATACATCCTTTACTGATGGTTTATTTTTTTTCCATCATTCTTGTGACCAAAGGTTTGTTGTTGCTTGTGGTGATGGAGAATACATCATTTACACAGCGATGGCTTTGCGTAATAAAAGTTTTGGCAACGCTCAGGAATTTATCTGGGCAAGTGATTCATCAGAGTAAGTGAAGTTGTGTTTATGGTATCATAGTAAAAATGATGGTGAATGTAATTTTTATTATCCAAACACTTAGATATGCCATTCGTGATGGAAACAAGATATCTATTCATAAAAACTTCAAAGAAAGAAAGTCATTTAAGCCAGATTATGGTGCGGAAAGTAAGTGAAATTACAGCAGCGGCTGAAATAAATCTCTGCATGCTTCTGTCATGCATAATCAAACTCATTCAGAGGATGTTATCTCAGAAACTCATTCATGCATACTGTAGATATCTTTGGTGGTAACCTGATTGGTGTGCGTTCGACTGCTGGATTATCGTTTTACGACTGGGAAAATACCGAATTAATTCGAAGAATCGACATTCAATCAAAATCGGTAAAAAAACTAACTTCGATCATTTCTTGTTGAAATACACAAGATGAAATTCTGTCATCTCCCAGCTTGATCACCAGTTTAATGAATATTTTAGGTTCATTGGTCAGACAGTGGTGAATTGTGCGCAATTGCTACCGATGATTCAATCTATATCTTAAAATATAATCCGGAAAAAGTAACCCAGGCAATGGAAAACAAAGACGAAATATCTGAAGATGGCGTTGAAGAAGCGTTTGATGTATGTAAATATAAGATGACAACAAAAGGCAATTTTGAACAATCCATTATCCGGCGGTAGATAGCGCAATCCAGCTTTGTACCATCAGCCTCAGGCGAATATTTTAAATATATTATTAGATTAGACATCGCTCTGCAATGTCGAGGCACACGAGGTTCTTGGTATCTCAATGTTAACTGGATCTTTCTTTCAGGTCGTTGGTGAGATTGAAGATGTTGTAAAGACTGGATTGTGGGTTGGCGACTGTTTCATTTACACAAATTCAGGTGATTGTCATTTTCTGAGCAGAACTAAGTTGTGCGAAGTACAACATTTAAGGTAAAAATCTTTATATTTTTGTAGTCAACAGGCTGAATTATTATGTCGGAGGCGAGATTGTCACCATAGCGCATCTTGATGGGTGAGGATTATCTTACTGATTGTTGCACTGGACAATAAAAAATCTAGAACAGTGACATTTATATCCATGATGTTCTGAAGTCAATTCTTGTGCGTTTTATTTATTATGTTGGTTTTTATGTAGCGTTATGTATCTTCTCGGTTATATCCCGAAAGATAATCGTCTGTATCTTGGTGATAAAGATTTAAACGTTGTCAGTTACTCCTTGTTATTGTCTGTTCTGGAATATCAAACTGCGGTTATGAGAGAAGATTTTGAAACTGCTAAACAGGTATTTCCCGCCACTGGTACATATATTTAGTCCGTCATAACATTCATGTGCCACAGTCTTAAATTCGCCAAGCTTCTGTATCATATTGAAGAGGAATGTTTTTCATTTCTTCACAAGGTTCTACCCACCATTCCAAAAGATCAGCGCAACAGAGTTGCTCATTTCTTGGAAAAGCAGGGATATAAACAACAAGCATTAGCTGTCTCATGTGACCCTGAACATAGGTGTGTACATACATATGTGTACAACATTATCATCTGTTGTCCGTCATCAACACCATTCATTCAATAACTAAAGGAAACGCGCATTTTCAAACTCTCTTTAGATTCGAACTTGCAATTCAGTTGGGAGAACTAAAGATAGCCTACGAAATAGCCATGGAAGATCAGGTTTGATATCTTCATTCTTCGTATCATAAATCTTATGAATAGTTGTATCGGGTTATGGATTACTGTATTCTCTTTGTGTTTGCTATTTTTATTATGATATTTCTGTGTTTTACAGAATGAGAAAAGATGGAAGCAGCTGGCGGAGTTGGCCATCAAGAATTGTGAATTCCAGCTGGCCCAGGAGTGTCTTCATCGTGCTGAAGATTTCGGAGGATTGTTGCTTCTGGCTTCATCTGCTGGTCATGCTGACATGATCGCTAAATTAGCAGAATCCGCTTTGGAGAAAGGAAAAAATAATGTGGCATTCTTGGCGTTTTATCTCTTGGGAAGGTATGTTTTTGCACTGAGGATTACGCATGATATACTTTGCATCTTAAATATGCTTTGTAAAGAGATGAAACTGCATCTTCCACATTGAACACAAGTTATTCGCAATTATAGCTTCTAATGATCTCTTCAATATCTTCTAATTAGATTAGAAGATTGTCTGGAGCTTCTCTGCAACACAGGACGCTATCCTGAAGCAGCATTCATGGCAAGAACGTATCTTCCAAGCCATGTTTCCAGGTAAACTTCCAGCCACTTCTTCATCAAATATTGACCGTCAACCGTGTTTATAGAGAGACCATTTGTAACATATTTGTTATACCTTTCTAGAGTTGTTGCTTTGTGGAAGGAAGATTTAGCAAAACATAACAAAAAAGCAGCGAACTCATTGGCTGACCCAACGGAATATGAAAATCTTTTCCCAGAATTTCAAGAAGCTTTAAAAGCAGAACAGGTTCATTCTATTTTCTATTTTCTTCCTAGGTGTGAAGGGTATGTGTGTCTTTTCTTATGCGTCTGTAAGCTTGACATCATTTTCCTTCATTTTAGTTTTTAAAAAAAGAAAGAATGAACCTTGTAGCAGCAGCTGATTACCCTCGACTAACTGTAAGCCGCTATCTTATCCATCGTGTTCACCTGAAAATTTCTAACCTGCTATTAAAAAAAACCATTAGAAATATTCTCAGTATTACTGTTAACTTTATTCATTTATTTACTTCAATCTAGAATAACTTTGACCGAAATATTTTTGAAGAAATCAAAGGTGTTGACCCCACGGAGGATTCCAGTGTTGATAACGTTACTGTAAGTCTTGAAGAACGTTCCTATCTAACAGTAGGCCTGTGAATTATTTGGCTGAGTCGTAATTTCTCATTCTTCAGGATTCTGTTGGAAATCTAAACATCGGCGCATCCGCAGAACAAGCAACTAAACCAGTTGAACCAGTTTCTGCTGAAGTTACCAAACCTCAGGAAACCCAACCTCCTGCTAAAGAACCAGTGAAGAAGACGCCTTCACACAGTGATGAGGTTTGTAGGGAAATCAGTTTATATATTGCTTATCATCGAGGAAAAGGGTTTAGAAATTGTTCAAACAGTTTAAAACTTGTTTTAGGATTACGATCTGGGTGATGAAGATCTCGACTTGGACGACGACGACGATGATGATGTACGTATTTTAATCTCAGTCTGATTCTGTCATTTCAAAATTAATTCCATTCCTTACTGTCTCTAATATATATTATATCGGTGGTAGAATTGTCTGAAAACATAACTGAATCCATAATAATGTCAATCCAGCATTGCTTTAATATTTTTTTTATTAATATTTTTTTTATCATTTATAGGATTTTGAACTAGATGATGACGATCTACTGGATGATGAATGAAAATTCAAAATTCTCGAGGGGGAGATAAACACACAAACATGGTCTATTGTCTATAAACATCAACGTGTACATTCTCACCAGACACGAGTCGTAGGAATTCAAGAAAATAAATAAATAGATCAAATAGTTTGTGCCATAACTGCCAGATCATACAGTATCTTGCTCACAATGATATTCTGAAAAGAAAATGTGTCGATTCTCCACTGAAAACTTTGCTGTATGATCTGCCAGTGGCAGTGTGTAATTTTTCTAACAATCCGTGTATTGGTTGTGATTGGACTTATTACACAATGAATGCACATCATTTATACACTCAGACTTGTTAGTTAACATGTATCAAATAAAGAATTTTAATTATATTAGCGTTTTCTACAAATTTGTTCAATGTTTAAAACAAATCATTGCAAATTACTTGGGTGATTAAGATTTTTTGCTGCAATACTGTGTCAATGGTTAGGTTCGTGATGATATAAAAATCAAAAATGAAAAAAAAAAAAAAAAATTGTCACATAAACGACAAAATATCAACTAAAAGCTCCTGTCTGGCGAATATTTTTGCGGCTGATGTTGCGTTGAAACCTACGAATCGGGTGTTAGCACGTAGAAAACAAGAGTTGCATAAACAAGAATAGAGTTGATGATTATGAATGAATGAATGAAAAACTTTGTTAATATTTCAATCTAAAATCATGTCTTGTGGTGGAGGGTTAGACGATATCGAAGATATTGTAAGTAAAGATGACTTGACTCCGAATGACAGGATTTCTGTTAAAAGAGATATTTTACCCAAAGCAAGAAAGGGAAGAAGAATCATGAAAGATTTCAAAGATGAAAAACCATCTTCTGATAGCATCATTCCAGGGACACAAAATATATATATAAAGACGTGGGGTTGTTCACATAATAATAGTGACAGTGAATATATGGCTGGTCAGCTAGCTGCTTATGGCTACAAAATTATAGGTTAGTATTTAAATTATTTAATACACTACACTATATAATAGTGTTGAATCACTGATGATGATGAATCATATTTATTTGTACTGTATGTATCTGTAACACAATATTGGTTTGCTATGGTTTTCAATGAATACAGGCTAGGTACCTTAAACCCTACCAGTTTATGATACCTCAATACATCCTTCCTTTCAGACAATCCTGAGAATGCAGATCTTTGGCTGCTAAACAGTTGCACGGTAAAAAATCCTTCAGAGGATAATTTTAGAAATAGCATCAAGAAGGCAAAAGAAAGTGGCAAGCATCTTATCTTAGCTGGATGTGTTGGACAAGGACAGCCAGGGCATGAAACATTGCGTGGACTAAGTATCATTGGTGTAAGTGTGTTTACCAATTGTTCAAAATAACCATCATATGGACAATTGACTTACAGTGTTTTCTGATTTACAGGTTCAACAAATAGACAGAATCGTAGAAGCAGTAGAAGAGACTTTGAAAGGTGTGTTGAGGATCCTTTTTGGGAAAAAGATTTATTTAATAACTTTCTATGAGTTATTTTTTACACTTAGGTCACACTGTTCGAATATTAGGGCAGAAGAAAGAAAATGGTAAAAAAATTGGTGGTGCAAAGTTAGACTTGCCAAAAATACGTAAAAATCCACTAATTGAAATAATTGCTATTAGCACTGGGTAAGTTTTTAGTCATTCACAAACTCTGTACATGTGTTTTTCTCCAATCATTCTTTTAATGTTCTCTATTTTATTTCAAAATGCTTCTTGCTATTGTTGTAGATGTCTAAATCAGTGTACATACTGTAAGACAAAGCATGCCAGAGGTGAATTAGGAAGCTATTCTCCTGAGGAAATTGTTGCTCGTGCTAAACAAGCCTTTCAAGGTTAACTATGTTCCAATTTGTAGCCTTGATTCTAATGATTACCTTCATTGTACCCATTTATCCCAATCTTGCTTATGTCACTCTCCAGAGGGTGTGGTTGAAATTTGGTTGACAAGTGAAGATACAGGAGCTTATGGTAGAGATATTGGGTCATCTTTACCTGAATTATTGTGGCAACTTATTGAGGTGATTCCTGAAGGAGCAATGTTGCGGTTAGGCATGACTAATCCTCCCTATATTCTGGAACATCTTGAGGTATGGATAAATTATGGTAACTTCTCTCTGAGGATGATCCTTATTGGAATCTCATGTGATCTTATGTAATTCATTATTAGGAGATAGCGAAGATCATGAATAGCCCCAGGATGTATTCTTTTCTTCACTGCCCAGTACAAAGTGGATCCGATAGTGTTTTAGCTGATATGAAACGTGAATACTGCATTGATGATTTTAAACATGTCGTTCAATATCTTCAAGAGAGGTATGATAGTTTTCCAAAGTCTGTTCTGTCAAAGAAGTCTTTGCTTTCCTAAACCCAATGTATGATCCATAAACATTGGTTTACCATATCAATTTTACAGGGTACCCCATATTACAGTAGCAACTGATGTCATATGCGGTTTTCCAACTGAGACTGAACAGGTATTTATGGTGATCACTGTTAATTTAGCTTGTTTATATTTTGTGATAAATATCCTGCTCATTTTGTAACCATTTTGTTTCAGGATTTTGAAGAAACTGTGAAGATTGTTGAACTTTTTAAATTTCCCAGTTTATTTATTAATCAATTTTACCCTCGGCCTGGTACGCCTGCTGCTCGTATGAAAAGAATTGACACAGCAATTGTGAGTAACATTAGTTATTCTGCAATCATCCATTGCTACAAACTATATTTTTAAATTTTACTGCATCAATTTTTAGGTTAAAGGGAGAACAAGGAGAATTACAAAACTATTTAACACTTATCAACCATATGATCATAAGGTACTTATCATCTCATGTTTCACAAGACAGCATTCTTGTAATATTTTACATGTTATGATATTTAATACTATTGTGTGTTAATTCAGGATATCAATTCTATTATTAAACTCTTTAGTTGGGTGAAAAACAGAAAGTTTTGATTACAGAAGAATCTCATGATGGCATTCATTACGTCTCGCATAATAAAAGTTATGATCAGGTACAAATCATCCAGTGTTATTTATGATATCAAGACTTTTATCAAATGTATGCAAGCTTCATGTTAACATTTGATGTCTTGATACAGGTGTTAGTTCGTAAAGATGAAGGTGATTTGATGGGAAAAATGGTGGAAGTTGTTATTACAGAAACTGGAAAGCATTTCCTGAAAGGAAAAGTTCTTAAGAACAATCCTGTACATACACCAAGTATTGCACCACCTTTTGCTAAAGGTGTTGTCAGTGGTGTCAAACAGGTATGCATTCTGTTGTGTTATTCAACCCTGTTGATTTTCTAGGAATCAAGTCTGATTTTCTCTGAATGTCCTCTGTAGATACCAAAGCCATTCTCTACGACTTCACTCAAATCTAATGTTGAGTTCTGGATTAAATCTGCTCTCCTTGTTTTGTTGATGGCCGTCATTTTTGATCTAATACGAGTTGGAAGGCATTGGCTTCGAACTTGATGTGATGTTTATGTTGCAAAAAAATAAAATCATATAATAAAATTGTTCTCTTCTTGTTGACTTTCCACTTTTACTTAAAATTGAAATTGTAAAATAATAAAAATGGAACTTTTAGTGTAAAAATTTTTCCAACAAGGGTGATATTTTTCTGCACATGCGCAGTAGGTTCATAATGTGGCATTGTTGAGTGCACCACAAGCAAGGGAGTCTTATTGAATGACGATATTAAATACGAGGATCGAATGTTTCTTATTGCTTGTGAGGAAATTGGTCACCTTTCGTCCAATTAAGAGGCGGATACCTCTCGCGTCTGTGTGATGTATGTGGCTGTTCTGAGGCTTTGTTTTGACGTCTGATATCATCAACACATGCATATGGTGGTTTAATCTCATTACTCCGGCGTCAGCGACGGAGTTGAAAATTCGCCCCGGTTTTGTTTTGTTTTTGTTTTTTTTTTTTTTATTTTTTTTTTTATTATTTTTCGTCGTCGCAAGTCTGTAATGGCGCGAAATATACTAGTATTTAAAACAAGTATGTGACCGTATTTATCTACGTCCCAGTCTTATCTCCCAAGACTTGTGGTGCACAGCTTTGGCTAATTTTCCAATGCGCGATTCGATTTCGCTCGCATGATACGGCAATTCCTCCAAGAGGAACAAATAAACCGTTCTTTTCATGCTGTTCGATTACGTTTAGATTGAATTGGGGTAAGAATATATTTAATACATGTAGACCCGGTCCTATTTTAATAATATCGCTGCTATTTTGCCGTTTAACAAGATGATGTGGTCGTGTATGGGCGCGTTGACACGTCGCGTAGTTTGCACAGGATCGAAGATTTAATACAACTATATAAGCGCGAATTCCAAAGGCAAAGTGTAAGACGAAGCGAATGTATCATGCGGTTTATTTACATTTTTGAACAATTGAACTTCTATACTGCGATGTTCTTCTGAATTTCGCGATCGAACATTTAGGTTCGCAAGGCATCTAAATGCGAATATGTATGCGAAACAATACGCGAACTGTATTGTTTATGTTCAGAAGCTCTATATTGAAGACTGGCACGTGCGCCGGAGTTAACGCCAGAACGGCGTCTTGTTTTTTACATATTTACCAGCTGCATATGTGATCATATTTCCCTAACTATAAAATTGTCTGGGTTTTCAAAACTGTTGCCGATAACAATCTGCATATATGCTTGACCAAAAGCAGAAATATAGCGTAAATAGATCTTGTTAGACCGATATTCGCTATTTATAAACACACGAAATCTTGCCAAGTGATCCTTTAATACAATTTCATACCTCCTTGGACTTTGGATTGATAATAAACAGACAAAGAGGTAAGTAATATGTTTGAGTATAAAATTTTCAGAGAGACATCGATCAATGTAACAAAATGCTTGTTTGTTTGGTTACCAGTATATACATTTTGAATATGGCGGGAAATATAACTTGGCGTGAAGCGTTTTACTCCCTTGTCCGACTCTCGTACAGTATAGTGTAGTGTCGTCTATATTTATGTCGCTATAGTCAAGTGGGATTATTTGTACTTTATTATTCTCTTCATTTTTCACAGCAAGCATGGTCTACTAGTGATATGGTTATATGAAACAGCTTGGAAACGCGTCACGCGTGTATAGGAATTAGGAAGTAGGCTCCTAGTTGTTACCAGCGGGTAAACGCCGGGTATTTAGGATCACAAACGGGTTAGCTATGGTTCCTCGTAGGGTAATTTTGGTTACGAATAGGTTACTTTGGGTAACAAGCATGCAATTAGGGATGTAACCAGGATAGTTATGGTTGCAGTAAGGATAGTAAGGACTACAACTAGGATAGTAAGATAACTAGCAAAAGATAGATAGAGTAGTTCAAGTAGGCAAATAGATGCGTAACGACACGTAACGACACGTAAAGACAATTTCTTATTCTCTTAAACTGAACATTTTCTGCAATGCATATCTTGTTATAACGACAAAGGAATTTCGTCATGTTTGCTTAAGACAGATTACTTGGTCATGTGTTCATCTACTCCATTCAACCGTGCCTCCATTTACAAAGTTAAAATAAGATTAGAACTGAAAAGAATTCTGTTTCCTTTCTTCATGTTTCGAGATAGCTTTCCCTTGTTCCTCCTTCTGTATTCCAGGAACATGCCATTGAAATAGTTTTACATGTATGTTTAAGAATTTAAATGCGGCGTACTTGTAAAGCAATATTTGTTTAAAGGAAGAACATGTCAATCACTCTTTTATTATTCATTTTTTGAGGATTTATTTTAAAGTCAATGAACCTCGTAATAAAGTTGTAAACTATAAACACCAGCGTAAAGAATTCTCTTTTAAATTCATGGAAGATATCAAAATTGGTTTATATTCGCATAGACTACAGAATTAGACATTTTTTAGTCCGCACTTATATGTAAATGTTTTTGGTAAGTTTTATAATTTAAACTATTAACCACAGTAATGAACTTCGGCATCAAACAAGCATTGTCTTTTGCCGAAAAGCTACAGGCTTTCATAGTATGTGTTTGTACTGTTTACAAGTGTCAATTTCATGCTTCGTTGGATTGAAGTAGCTTTAAGTATTCATTGATTTGTTCATTTACGACTTGTGGTTCTTATTCTTGTGAGGCGGCTTCTAAACTAAATATCGCTCCTTTTGTTACAGGGATATATAGTGGATCCAATGCAAATCGTTTGTGGATTCAAAACAATTTATAAAAATTGATCCTCCAAAGAAAGCATTTAGTCTGGAAAGACTGCCAGGGATAAGCAATCATACGACACTCAAACCTGTGGAATATTTAGCTAAAGACAGTTTCTTCGGAACGGAAAACGATCACATCTTTTCTAATGGAAAACGTTCTAATCCAAGTGGGAGAGGAGCTAGTTTTATTAACATAACATCAACTGGTGTTCATGGTAAATTCACTACAAACTCTTCACGCAGTGGTAACACCACGCATTCATCGGATAAGTTTGACCCTCAACTTTCAGAAACAAACTATGAGGTAAATAGTAAAATACCAGCGAGTTACAGCAGAATGAATGGGAACTTGATTTACCGCGATGAAACAACGGAACATTCGACAAACCGATATTCAGATTCCTATGATTGTGGTGACAGATTTCCCAATGGTGATGAAGAGCAACTTAGAGCGCAGAGTAGCCTTGTTTCTCCAGGAAACTACGATATGACAAGAAAGTCGTTGGTTCTGGATCAGGAGGAGTACGCTGCTAGTCAGACTACAGAAGCTATCTTAGCAGAGATATTTGGCAAGAATACTCAGAACTTCAGGCAAAAATATTCTTATGGCGATCATGCTTCAGGTCACTTGAAAGAAAGCTACGATGGTGCAGAAGCTTTTTCTCGTAGAAATAATTCTTCTTTTAAAATCGAACCGAGTTTGGTTGGAAATATTCGTCACAGAAGTACGAATTCATACGGTGAAAAAACTGCAAAGAATTTTAGCACAGAGAAAAGCAGTCACGAAATAGAGGAATTCATTTCTTCCGTCAATTCCATTGGAAATGATACGTTGTACGATACGTTTTCTACGGACAAAAATGAGCTTTTCAACGCACCAGGGGCGAAAGTTTCGAATGATCTATATGACTCACATTTGGGAGGAGATCGAATTACCAACGAAGACTCTGATATCTTAAGAGGATCCGTTAATACCACTGCTGTCAATACTTCAAAACAAATTACAAGTTCGTCAGCTTCAAATCGTTCCTCTCTTGTTCAAAGTAATGTTGTGGATTATTATGAAAGGTTGAAGAGTGAAGGTAAAGAATGGAAAGAAGAAAGGATATTGGAAAGAATGAATTCAAGAAAGGGTGTCAGGTCAAAAAGCAGTGAAATACCATTAAGGAATGATGATCACAGGTAAGATGAAATGTTCTGACAGTAGGAAGATCAGCGCGCTAAGTCATTGTGAGATTTAATTCGAGAGTAAATGGACGGATAAAATTCAGTTTTAGTTTATCAAAGTCTTGGGAATCAACAAGAAGTAGAAAAGAATTTCAGTTGTTAAATGGGGACGATGGAAAAGTGACATATAAAATGGTAAATAACTGATATTCTTCATATTGTGCTAGGCAAGATTGGCACACAGCTATTATTACCATCCACTTTTGTTGTTTTTAGACGGACATTTCTCCGGAAGAAAAAATTAAACAAATGTTTCGAATGGAAGAAGAGATTTGTCTGAGAAGGTTCGTCTGCTTTTGCAATAAAACTTGCGATAAACTGGCAATAAACACAACTAAATCTTCTTCTGTAGAGCTCAAAAATTTCACAAACTGAAGCTGCTGCAAAAAGTTTTCCTGGCTTGGCAGAGAAGATCACAACTTTTGATCATCAAAGCAGATAAACTGTGTAGATCACATCTCTTGCAGAAAGGCATTAAGGGTCTGATGTTCGCCGTAGAACATCAGAAAATTTCTATTGGTAGTTTTGCAGGGAAACAGGAGAGAGTTTTGGTCCTAAAGTGTTGGCGACTGGTAAGTTTCATGCGGTTTATCCACTAATCAGCGGTGTTCGAGGTCTGTGGACTACAGAGGTTCCTCTGTTTTAATAGTGGCAGCAAAAGACACGTGAAAGACGAAGAAAGAAAATGCAGGAAACATTTTCACAGTGGCGTTTTTATAGATTACATGTTGAGAGGTTGTTTGAATTAATAGATTGCTGATGATATCGAGGACTCGTTCACTAAAATCTTACAATTTTTTGACAAATTTGTGTAGAACCAAGCTACTTGAAAGCATCGCTAACAGACATTTTTTGTCGAAGAATTATTCAAAGTGGAAAGCACGTTTTAGTTCGAAACAAAAACACAGTTTAGCCAATGTTCATTTCCAGTAAGTAATATATTTTTCTTTCGACAATAGCAAAAATCTGTTATAAGTAATCTTTTCGTTTGCGTTCGTTTTCTTAGAATTAATCTGATCTACAAGTACTGGAATTGTTGGACTGTTTACGTGAAAGAACGTCGTGTCAAGAATCGTTTAACCAGCATTGCAAGGTGCATGGGAATATATTGATAATATTATTTTGCATACTGTCAAAATTTGCAATCAATCTTATCTCAAAACTTATTTTTCTGTAGATACCACTATGGAGAAAAGGTGCAATATCATCTCTTTGAGTATTGGAAAAGCATCACTCAAAAGTCCTTATTTAGTCGTCGACTTACAAGGTTGTGTGTTTGCATGAACTCTCGTCTTTCGTTTTTTACCAGATATTTCTCTGATACCTCGTTCTCTTTCATTTAGACGACGTGTTTTATTGAAGTTCTTTTTCAACTGGAAACACTGGACACAATACGCAAAGTACTTTTATCATCATTTTCCATTTCAAAATAGTCAATAACGAAGTCTTTATTCTTCATTGTTGATAATCCGTGATGTGATTATTTCCAATGAATTTCCAGAATTGTTCATCTACGCTTGCAAAACATGTGCAAAGAATACCACAAGAAAACCCTCACAAGAAGAATGTTCAGAAAATGGAAGGAAGCGAGGAGAATGAAACTTGCTATTGATTTTTGTAGAAAAACACAGCAAAGGTAAATATTTTACTGATATTCTTTTTCAAGTTATTTGTTTAACATTTTACTTTTTTTCCAGACGAGCAATTAAATTATGGAATCTGAGATACATGAGAAAACGACTCCATAAGCATTTGTGTAAAGCTGTGGCGAGATCGGTAAGCCGGAGAGTCTTGTTGCATCGCTTGGTCTTTCTCAGAACGTTCCTAGCGTTTCGTTGTATTTCTTTTCAGGCAAGGAAAAGAAGATTCTTTGTGAAATGGATGAATTTTGTCAAACAGCAAAAGGAGTCTCGAGAAGAATGTATGAGCATATTGCAACACGTATACATCAGAGTTGTATTCCATTGTTGGAGGAATAAGACAACAGCGAGAATTCAAATGAGGTATGATTCAGACTTGGCCGTGTCTATATTGTTGTACGTTTTGAGGATTAAACAACGGAATATTGTGTAAATTTTGTAGGAGATCAATGCAGTGTTTCCAGCAAGAGAGGCTTCATAGATTAGTTCAAAAGAATTGGGAATCTTGGAAATTTCAATTGAAAATTCTGGAAAGAAGGAGACGTTCCAGGAATAATTGGTCACTACGCTGCGTTACAAAATGTTACAACGTCTGGAAAATGAAAGTTAAGAAAACACAACTTCGAGTTAAACTTCATGAAAGTTGTCCAGGATTTGAAATCCTTTTTGTCAAACGTAAGACGATATCTATTTGAGGATTTCTCTATTAAGGAAAGAAATTTGCCCGTAGTTCAGCATAGAGTTTCTTCTGCTAAACTACGCCTGTGTTTATTTTAGGATATTTTGTGTGCTGGCTGCTAGAACTGAAGAAAATCAGAGCAGAGGATAGAAGAGTTCAGAACGCAGCAAGAATTCTACAAAGAAGTAAACTTGGCCGCATTCTTCAGGCTTGGCGAGTTGTCAATCAAGAAGAATGCATTATTGAACCTCTCATCAAGAAACGAGTTCGTAGAGATACGGCAAAGTAATTATTTTCACGTTCCTCATGTTGTCCTACTGTTGATTTTTATCCTTTTATACCTGCTCCTAAACTGGGGATTCATCAGTCCTATGATATCCCTTATCGTACCTCACCTTCCAGCAATGATCGTCACCTTTCGATGCCTTGTGTTTGTAGAGCTTTTGATGCCTGGCGCCGTTATATATTGCGTGGAACTGGTTTGAGAAGATTTTTGAAAATAAAAGATGACAGATCAAGACAATCAGCGTGGAGAACGTGGAGGTTAGAACCTCAGTTGATTGTAGTAAGATATTCAGTTCTACCTTTTTATGTTAATCCTATTATTTATTATTCTTTAGTCTTAAACTGTGGTGTAGAAATAAAGAAAGAGAAGTTTTGGAAAAACTGAGCTTCTCGAAATTAGCGAGACACTTCTTCTCTTGGCTGGGTCAGTATTTATTGTTTTAAATATATCTAAGACTTCGATGCTTTATTGTGAAAAAGATTTTATCAAAACTGTAGAGCTTGTGAAAGACATTCGTGAGAGCGAGAGAATTGCAGAAAAGAGAAAAGAAAGTTTGATTAGAAAATTTGCTCAAACATGGAGGATAAATACGAAGCAGAGAGTTGAGATAAGGGAATCAGAAAACGCACTAAAGGTTGGCGAAATTTTTATTCAAATCATGTCAATTTTCTCAGTCTATTCGAGCTAAACATTGTTAGGTTTCTTTGCGAGCATTTCAACCTTATTCTCTCAAACTTTAGGCTCGTCGTCGGATAATTCTGGGAGTTTATTTCAACTCTTGGTTACGAAAAGCCTCGAAACATGCGCAAACTATGACATCATTAGTAAAATCAGCTGACGAGGCCGGGAAAGAAATGGTAATGAAAAGATCATTTTTCAGATGGCGAAGACAATATTCAGTAGAACTCAAGGCAAGGTATGTAGACTCAATCAAACCCAAGAAGCTGATTCAGAAGACTGCAATATTCAACCAATCTTCCGCAAGAAATTATTGAAGAATTTCACTCTTCTTGTCATCCGTTTCATAGAGAATACATCAGATCAACGCAGAGGGAGATGTTAAGGATAATATTTTCGGCTTGGAAAGATTTTTCGAAAACAGAATTAGAACGAAAAGTCTGTGACTTTGCCACGAACCTCGCGATGGAATCGTCCCAGGGCTCCGCTTTCTTGTCAACATCTGGTTACCAAACCTCTCTAAAAAACTCGTCATCGTCTTTACCTTTTCTCGCAGCTGATGAAGAGGTTTGTATCGGATCACTTAGCTCAAGGATAGACACCGTTTATATGTTTGTATAATTTGTCGTTTTCCAGATCTTCTCTCCAGTTCCAACGCCTCGTTCTCGTCCAGTCACGCCGACATTAAGTTTTGGTGACACTTCAACACCGCGACCATTCGCCATTTTACCCAGCTATCGTCCTGTCACCATCGACAGCCCGTACCAACATTCTGGTCCTCGCGCATCACCATCATTAAGCAGACAACACAGTCTTGAACAGATATTAACACCACAACGTTCAAGTGAAGATGACGGGGTTCTTTCTTCCGGGGTTCATTCCGCCGGGGATGATAGTGACCAGGTGAGGTGGGGGTGAGGTGGGGTGAGGTGGGGGTAAGTGGAGGGGTAAGAGGGGAAGCAGTTACCTGTTGAAGTGTCAAATGGTCTGGTGAATATAACTTATCATTTTTGCAGGATGATCGTACGTCAATTCATATCACAGAGTCTCTTTACTCGTATCAAAGCACATGTGATAGTGTCGTGCGTGATCGTGAATTACTGGTAACAGAAACAATTATTCACTGGCGATCTTTATCACTGAGTGTCGCGTTCCGCTCGTGGTTTAAATACACGCAGCACATGAATCACGTGAGAATGACGTATACTGAATGGATGGTACGGGATAGAGAGAGACTTGTGACGAAATATCTTAGCAAATGGAGACGTTGGTTATTTATTTCTGTCCTGGCCAGGCAGCATTGGGTGAGTTTTTTTGTCCTTTCTGTGGTTGATATTTCAATGCAAAAATAGTTGATGATAGGCAGGCATGTCGCCTCCATAGGCAGGATAAAGTGCAACTGTAGATATTTAGCTATTCTACTTTATCCTATCTTAGGTCAATCAAGTGAAAAAGAAAGTGTTATCACAATGGATAGATTATCGCAAACAGCAAATGCATGGGATCCGATGTAAGGAAGAAGCCAATGATTTCTCTAAACGACGCTTGCTGAAGAAGTTTTACGATATCTGGAAACAAAAGGTCGGTAATACGTTGCTTCACAGAAAGAGAAAACCGTTCTAACTTTATTTCCTGACGATCTTCTCATTTTCAAATATTCAACAGAGAACAGCAAAATGTCAGTTACAGAACATCGTCTTGCGTTGGCAACGATCGGTCAAAGGTACGCCTGAAGTCGCTTTCAATTATATTTTATATTATTATCTCTTCATTTATTCCACATTTCTTTAGTCACAGACATGGATAAACAAGTTATTGAGCAATATAAATTAGCTGATCGAGTGCATTGTCTCAGAAAAACGTTTAACTATTGGAAAAAGGCAACACGTTTTTCCCAAAAGGCGACATTTGCATATCAAACTTCACTATCACGAAGGTGAGAAAGTATATTTATTTGGCATAAACTGGGTAGATGTATTCTGAAATATTGTTCTATATTAAATTTTCTGTATGATTGTTAGATGCTTTCTGGCTTGGCGAGATGTTTCTTCTTTTCGAGCTGAACATCGGAAAAGAATGGAATCATTCAGAACAAAACGTGTGTTAGCGAAGGTAAGACTAAATATACCTTCTGAACGCGACACGTTCATTATCAGCAAATCAGAACCACCAATCTGGGCCTAATTGCGATTCGATTTTTCTAATAAAGATCAATTTATTTGTGTTTCAGGCTTTCAAGGAATGGCTGTCATGTTACGAAGACGTTCGAACTGCCAGAATAATCATCGGGGTAATTTTTGTTCTAAAATCGTGTCTCAAGAATTCCGAGTTCATTTGACTGGAAATTATTTTTATGTTTAGGTTTCAGAAGAGCGAAGAATTGACAGGATTTTCAAGGCGTGGCATAATTGGGCTGCTGGTAAACTAACAATTAGAATGATAATTAATAGCTATAACTAGTTCTAATTCCTAATTACCGTCCTTCTAACTGACGTATAGCAACAAGAAATAGAAGGAAGATTTCTTATGATTATCACCATTCTCACGAGAAGAGAAAATTGAGAGAGAAGTTTCAATTTTGGTCTGCTACCAGCAAAGAATGCATCAAAATGAGAGAACATTATCAAAAAACCCTGCAAAGAAAGTAAGAAAAGAGGGAATCATATTAATAAGTTCTTTTTTCGAGTTAATAATTCCCCAATTATCTTTTCAATTATAGGGTTCTTAGATCTTGGCGCTCTGTTTTAATGCACAAATCAACTGCTGCTACATCAATCCATGAGTTTCAAAACATCGTTATGAAAAATTTGGTAAGAATGATGATTATATTTTCCTTAATAAATCCCCATCGTGGTTTTCGATTGAATCTTGAAATCGGGGACGTTCACAACCTGATATATATCTCTGTGTTTTTCTACATATAGCTGCGTTCGACGTTCATTTTCTGGCGCACAAGAGTTAGGAATAATCAGATTATGTTAGAGTACTCTAAGTTAAAAGAGAAGCAACATCTCGCCTTGGCTTTTAATCGATGGAAACAGAAGAAACGTCAGAAAGATGCGAATAAACATTTCTCTCAAAGTCTTATGAAAAAGGTAAATGATCCTAATTGTGGTCGGAGATCAGATTAGCTCATAAATGAACAGAAGACAGGCTTAGTTTTAGAAAGGAAAGCCAAGAATGACGCTATAATTTATGTCTGCATTTTGTCTTTCCTGAGTTTGTAATCATTTTGTTTTTTCTTCAAGTCATTCATGTGCTGGTGTAAACAGATTTTGAAACGAAAAAAGGTATGCCGTTGGATAGCTACGCTTGTGTTTTGAAACGCTGAAGCCTTTCTTATCATATACTGCTTGTTTGGCAAAATTTGTAATTTTCTAATTCTCCAATTCTCAGGCGAGGCAGCATTTTAAATTTTGGCAGACGAAAGCTGAAGGTTAGTTATTTCAATGAATGTCAGGGTCGAGGAGATTCAATGAAGACATAGTGATTAGTGAGAGCCTGAGGAATTATATGAAAAAATATTTACAGTATTTTAATCTTTCAGGAAGTAAAGAATTAAATCAAGTGGCAGATACACTAGTGTATGATTCTGAGAATAGATTATTGGAAAATAAATTTATGTTATGGAGAAAGCTCACAAAACATTCGCAGGTTGCAAAATATCATCATGAGACGAAAATGACACGAAGGTAAGAAAACAACTTCTTTCTATATAAAGGTGGAACTGAGCTAGAATAGAGAGTTAATATAAGTAGCCGTTCGTGATATTTATATTTCTTGTTCGGCTTTAGACATTTTCTGGGATGGTTTAATCTTTTCCATAAAGAGAAGATACTACAAAACAAACTGAAGGAGTTTCAATGTTTACATCATCGAAATGATTCGGGGTTGCTTGTCAAATACATGAAAATATGGTTGAATAAATCTACGTTTTCAACAAAAGCAGATAATTTGGTTAGTATATTATCGGATGCCACTTTGATAAGACAAGCTATACATATGTCATATCGTCGTAAAATGAATATCTCACACGCTATAAGAATGATATGAAGGAAGCCTTTTCATTTCAGTATCACGAAACGTTATATTCAAGATATTGGAAATTGTGGCGACACAGCTTCGTTCGTAGGAGAGTTTCTTTGGCCATGGTACAGCATGACAATCAAAAAATGTTATCCGAAGTAATATATTTCTTTTGATTTATAATACATTGAAACATACACTTTAAAAAATAGCCACTTCTCGTTGTTCGTATCCTTTAGCGAAGTTCGTTCTCCGTTCTTTAGATATTCAATGCCTGGTTTATTGTGAGCTCCTCTCACAAAAACCTTTCAAAGGAGATCAAGACGTTTCGTTTGAGAAGATGGTTTAGAAGATGGATGACCCGTTACAATAATTCTTAGAATTGGATAACAAGTACAGTAATGAATTGGGCAATGAAGAAATATTTCGGCCGATATCCACATGTGTGTTAACCCAGGCAAAACAAAATATCCTCACAGACTGTTTGTAAATTCTAAGTTTTTCGTACGTGTAAATATAAATAATAATATTTTCATATAGGTAATATATATATTGTATTTTCAATGTATTTTTATGTAAAAATATACATCTCTGTTCAATACCATACGATACAATAATGCCTACTGAATTATGTTAAATAGTTGCGAGAAAGTTCAATAAGCTGGGAGATTCTGTTTGAGATGATTCTAATTTTTCTTTAGCAAGAAGTTCCTTTAATTTGCTTTTATTTTTCTTTCTAGTTCCTGTGGAGTTTTGTGAACGAGGTTGACTCTGTGTTCTGGATAATTCTGGGGTGTATTTAGCGGTGACAGATCCACTTTTTGATAACGTGGGAGTCTGGCACAACCTTTTGTCCATCCTTAATGATCCATCATCGTTCCTCACTCTTCTCCTCGTTACTCTCGTTGCCCCTATTTGTCTTGTTTTCCACCCACAATAATGGCAGAGAATCTGTAAAAAGTTAGATGATTTGGGAATTCTATCCAACTTGCTATCGTTTTTCACCAAGCATTTCTTTCCCTTTCTGCGTCTCCTTTTCGGCTTTATTCTGAATGTACAGTTTTCCGCCGTAAATACGGTGCCACAATGTTCACATGCATTTGAACACCACTGAGACTTCTCGCCTAAACCTTCAATGTTTGAGTCGTTTATACGATCAAAGTATTTCATTGTCATAATTCGTGACAATTCAGGACATTTATCACGATATTCATTGACAACAGCTTGTAAGAATCTCGAATTTGTGGCATTCATGGTCACAGATCAAAGCTATACCACACAGTTTACCAGAGAGGACCACAGTGGCAGTATCATTGACTGGCCGAGGCGAGCAGGAAGTGAAATGAAGACTAGAACCAGCGTGGAGATTATTACACAATAATATGGCGGCGAAAATGAGTAAGTTTGGTGGACGTTCTTCTGGGAATGGTCACACTGAAATGAATCAAAATACAGCAGCAAAGAAGGCAGAAAAAGTTGTAATATTGGATGCTGGAGCACAATACGGCAAGGTCAACTTCACAAATTTTAAATTGCATTTCTACTGGCTATGTAATGTATGAAATGTCAGAAATGATTTGGACAAAATCAGATATAATATATTTATATAGAATGTATTTATGTTAAATATTATTAGGTGATTGATAGACGAGTGAGAGAACTTCAAGTTGACACAGACTTCTTGCCTCTTGAAACTCCAGCAAGTGTTATACAAAAAAATAAATACAAGTAAGAAACAATTAAACCAGATATAAATCAAAATAATGATGATTTTACCCTTTCAAGCAGCAATAGTTTTACCATTAAACTACAACATTATTCTGTTTCGTAGAGCAATAATTATCTCAGGTGGACCAGGCAGTGTAAATGATGTAAATCCTGTGTGGTGTGACCCACATATATTCAAATTGGGACTTCCTATTCTTGGTATCTGCTATGGTCATCAGGTATTTTGGTGATAAATTGGAGATAAAGAATGATCAGAAAATTGTTTACAAAAAACATGAGATTTTTTCATTTTAGTTGATGAACAAAATATTTTGTGGTGAAGTTGAAAAGAAAAGCTCTCGAGAAGATGGACAATTTGAAATATCTATTGATAGTTCATCTGTCTTATTTCGGTAATTAGTTTCCTGTCTCATTAATCCCGAAGTAATGATTTGGTATCAAAAGGTATTAAAGAGAGAAAATGAGATCTAACAGCTCATTAACACCTGACTGTGCCACAATATCAATTGGATTCAGAGTGAATTAGGTGTATTACATTAATTAAGGTCTGTGAATACCACAATTTTTAGGGGGTTATCTTCAAAGCAAGAAGTTCTTCTTACACACGGGGATACTGTTACTGAAGTTGCACCTGGTTTTAGAGTGACAGGGAAATCTGGCAATCTTATCGCAGGTCAGCTTTTCCAACCTTGATCTGTTTTTATTAATGCTACATAGAAGAATCATTGTGTATGGATAAGATGGGATAACACAGAACATTGTGTGTTATATTATTTTCTAGCTATTGATGATGAACCAAAGAAATTATACGGTGTACAGTTCCATCCTGAAGTAGACCTAACAAAATGTGGTATTCAAATCTTTAAAAATTTTCTCTTTGAAGTAAGTTTGTTATGATGATCAAATCATTTTTACCTTCCTTCCTTTGGCCAGTTTAGGAAGTTGTCTTAATGTCTAATATCATTTCTTTATTTGTAGGTTGCAGGGTGTACAGGAAACTTCACTATGCAATGTAGAATTCAATCATGCATTGATGAAATAAAGAAAAGGTGTGGTTCCAGTAAGATATTGGTAAGAACTTCATTGTATACGTAGCTCACTGTAAACAAATTATTCCACATGTAGTGTATCAAAATGTTTGAATAATGTTTGAATTATTTTAAAGTCTTTAGTGAGTGGAGGAGTGGACTCTACAGTTTGTACAGCCTTGTTAAGTAAGGTAAGGAGACTATTAACAGTTTAGTTTGTTGTTGCAGAGAATGACAAAAATTTCTTCTTTTAAGCTAGTCTATACAGTGGCTCTCCCTGTTGAGCTGTCAAGCCAATTGGTCATAGTATGAGATATATCCAGTTCAGTGTGCATGCAATATATCCCTGGTAACTGAATGTTTCACACACAAGATCTGAGTTAAAATAAGCAGAAAAAATTGCAATACATTAACATATATTATAAATGATTTAGGCGCTTGGAGGAAGCTCTGTCTATGCTGTTCACATTGATAATGGTTTCATGCGAAAGGATGAAAGTAAACAAGTTGTTGAGTCTTTAGCTAAAATTGGATTAAAATTGACAGGTGAATCTCTTGTTCATATAAGCAATTTTAATTACACGCTGTGTGTCTAAAACAATTTTCAATTCTCTTTTAACAGTTATTAATGCGAGCCATACATTCTACAATTCAAAAACTCAACTTAGCTCAAATGAAATGGATAATCCTGTTAAGAAATGGTATTCCAGAACTCTAAACAATACTTGTGAACCTGAAGAAAAACGGAAAATTATTGGGGATACTTTTATTCAGGTGTGTTGTTGAGAGAGTTGTTTTTAGGTGCACAATGGGTTATTTAGATCCATTGTATCTAGCCAACCTGAAAGCAATGAACTGGCTTTTCATTCATTAGGAAACCCCACATGTACGTTCTTTCAAATTAGAAACCTGCATTCACTTTAGGTTGCCAATGAAGCAATCAAAGACCTGAAACTTGATCCTAAAACAACCATGCTTGCTCAAGGTTTTCGTAAGTGATGTTATAGTATGTCTAGGTTTGGTTGTACCTTGATTAACTGTCTTGTTACAGGAACATTGCGGCCAGACTTGATAGAAAGTGGTTCAATAATTGCAAGCAGTAAAGCAGATGCAATAAAAACACATCACAATGATACTGAACTAGTTCGGACACTTCGAGAAGAGGTAAGAAGAATAAGAGATGGATCTCCTTTAAGGAAGAGAGCGATTGATTGGCCCCAATTTAGATTCTAGGAAGATCCCATTTCTCTGAACCTTTCAAGACTTATTTATCCATAGACTCCAGAAATTACAGTTGCTTAATTTCTTTTTCTCCTCTTCCAGGGTAAAGTCATTGAACCTCTGCGGGATTTCCACAAAGATGAAGTGCGAGAACTTGGGGTACAACTTGGTTTACCTAGGGATATTGTTAGTAGACATCCATTCCCAGGCCCAGGCCTAGCAATTCGTGTCATCTGTGGTGAAGCACCGTACAACAAAGATGATTATGCTGATACAAAAGTGATTCTTACAACAATTGTTAATTATTCCCAGTCCTTATCTAAGGTACATACAAGTAGTTTCTATCTTTTTTCTTTGCCATTCTTGTTAGCTCAAGATGACCTAGTTTTATTCAACTAAGTATATTCTCTCTTCCAATATTTGCTGTATTCAAATATTGTAGCCACATACTTCACTAATTGGAATACGAAATGCAACTTCAGTTGAAGAGCAACAGTTTATGAAGGAATTCAGTGAAAAAAATAATGTTGCTACAACCCTGTTGCCTATCAAAACTGTGGGTGTCCAGGTAAGAATGTAAACTTTTAGAGAATTACAAATATGTATGAATTCATGAAAAGTGAAATTCTATTTTACTCCAGGGTGACTGTCGAACCTACAGTTATGTGGTTGCTTTATCCAGTGATGAGAAAGTGAATTATGAAGATTTGATGAAGTTGGCTAAACTTATTCCCAGGATCTGCCATAATGTTAACAGGTTATTATACGAAATATTATATGAAAACACTTTTCATTTGGTTGCAATATCACTAAATATTTCAATCTGTTATTATAGAGTTGTCTATGCTTTTGGTGGTCGTATAAAACATCCAATTACCGACATAACATTGACATATCTTTCAACTGGTGTTTTGGAAATTATTAAGGAAGCCGACTACCTGGCACGCAAGATTTTGAGAGAGTCTGGTGGGGTTTCATACAGTTATTACAATCATTAAAATCGCGATAAAATTTACAAATATATCTTATAATTTTATTTTAGGCCAAATGAAATCCCTCAGTCAAATGCCTGTAGTTCTTATTCCAGTTCACTTTGACCGTGATCCAATAAATCGAGTACCACCATGTCAGCGATCAGTTGTCATTAGAACTTTTATAACTAATGACTTTATGACTGGGGTTGCAGCAACTATAGGGAAAGATATTCCAGAAAACGTAAGTAATTATTGTGTAGCATTATTTACATGATGTATTCACATTTTCATAAAAAGACTTCATTTTTGTTAAAATATATTTCAGGTTATTCTTGAAATGGTGAAAGAAATTCAAAAAATTTCCGGAATATCCCGGGTTCTCTACGATCTTACATCCAAACCTCCAGGCACAACTGAATGGGAATAAGAAATTTAGTTCACACAATATATTATATAGAATATTCTAGTAGATTTATTTCAAATTTTTGCCTGCCAAAGGAATTCTTGTCTCGTTTTCTGTTTTCTATTTTTTCCTAGCAGAGATCAGGCATTCAATTTTTTTTTGTACATGATATTATAATATATAGCCTCATTACAGATAAGTCAGGGTGTTTAGCTCAAATTTCTTTATGCTATTATCTGCTAAAAATAATACTTGACATGTACAAAAACCTTTTGTATTATTTTTTTAAGTTTACATTGTAGTTAATGTCATGTGTGGAAAATGTTTTAAATTATATAATTCTTTAAATCACTGAACTGTCACTAAAATATTTATCAGGCAACAACACACGCGTAAAAGTTAGGAAATCAGCAAGCAAAAGGAAATTGTATTATTTGCTCCAGTCCTGGGAATATAAGCACAGATTAGCTATATACAGATATGAAACTTCTTTGTTTTTGCTGATTGTTTTGTGTCCCACGCGCAGCCAGCGCGTGATGACTTCCGGCGAGCTTGGCAAGTGTCATGAGGGAAATTTAATGAGTAAAACGCCGTTTTTAAGACGAAAAATTGCTTTTTTAAAAAATTCTCGCTACCTATGGCTATTTCTGGAATAAATTCCTAAAGAATATCGGTATATGTATCCTTCGTTAACTGTGGAAAGGCAATTGAGCATATCTATGGGTAAAAATTGACTTTTGAAAATCAAAAAAGCTGGTCCGAAGGACATTTGCATTGGCACTATGGAATATATGTACTCTGGCTGAATTCTTTTCAATGAAGTCCCATATTTACACGTAAATATTATTTATCAATTTTTCAAGTTTCTAACCGTCTTTTAAATCTGTTTTTTGAAATAATATCAAAGCATAGAGTGCGGCTTATTGCAAATTTTAAACCTGAAACTCAAAACATAATATGGCCATGTCTTTATTTTTTGTCTTCAGAGTTCTGCTAAAAAGACTCGTGTATGGTCATAATAATCGCGCATGAGCATTAATTTGTAAACTTTGTGTAAAAAATAGTCCAAGACAAGGAGAATGAAGTTGTTTTTTATAGCAAAACTCCTAAAATCGCTAAATACACTAAATTGCTCGTCGTATTTACATGCCATGTTGTTGTTGTTCATTTCAAGTACACAAAGTCCTTTTTAAGCTCTTATCTTTTCGTTTTCACATTTCTATTAATCCTAGATATTTGTTAATTCATTTCATCTTATCTCCTGGAAATATATTGTATCTAAAGCATGCATTACATGTTTTCTAAACTCAAAAATAGCTCAGCCAGTGCTAAACTATTGCACTGCTTTCCATACGGCAACCCTGCACTCTTCAGCTATATTTTTTACTGTTTTTGCCAGCATCAAATAATTTCAGAAACCAGTTCTTAGCTCGGAAGATCCACTTCATCCATATTTTTAAAAATTTTAAGTCAAATGGGAAATCGCCCTAAAGGTTTTGTTTAAATCAGGATTTGTTTGTCAAAAATTCGATTTTTCCATCGATTTACTCATTAAATTTCAACATGACACTTGCCAAGCAAGTTACGCATGCGCACATTAGGCAAAAAGCCGTGTGACTCGATTTGGCTTCAGTTTCATATCTGTATATAGCTAATCTGTGATATAAGGCAGCACTTCACTTCCGATAATAACTTCTAGTTTTAGAATTATAATTTCCATCGATAGGAAGGTTTCAAGGATGAATTTTGGGAGATTTCTTTTTGGTAATTTTGTTCGTTATGGTGGTAGAGATTTTATTAGACATTTCAACAAAAGAAAAGTTAAATTTGACTACGATAAGCTGGTTAAAGTCAACAAAAAGGCGAACAAAAAACCGCGTTTAAATCTGATATTGAAAGAAGATGTTCCTAACTTAGGTGTTACTGGACAGATGGTGCAAGTAAAACGTGGATATGGTCGAAATTATTTAGTTCTAAACAGATTAGCTGTATATGCAACAGATGAAAATAAAGAAAAATATCTGGCATCTCAAACGGAGCAAGGAGAAAAAGGAAGGCTAGTGGCAGATCCAAAAATTTTACCTTTCTTTGAGAGTGCAGTCTTGAATATTGATGTTGATGAAGGAGTGAGGTCTTGGGAGATCACAAACCAAGATATCTCTGCTCAATGTCGGAAGAAACTTAATGTGGTTGTTCCAGCGCATTGTATTGAAATGTCAGAGTCAATAACATCATGTGGTGATTATATATTTAATGTTATCATCAATGAAAATGTGAAAACTGAACTAAAATGTTCTGTTAAGCCAATCAAAGAGACAGAATCATAAATGATTGATAAAAGTGTAATATATTATATGTGGTATCTTCATACTTGTTCATTTTTTTATAATATAAAGTTGAATTATAGCTATTGTGACTATTAGAATTTAGAAAAGTTCAATATCTTATTTTTGGTGGTCTCTATACCACATTAATTGAGAAATCATCATTACACAGTCAAATCTCTTCCTTTTTAAACCTATAGTAAAGCTTTCTCAGTTCATGACAGAAAACAAGACATAATATTGTATGTGGTCCTAGTCTGAAATACTGGGCACCAATTCCCTTGTAAAAACCTAAAATTCCTTCCTGTTTAAGTATTTTTGCAATGCAGTCCACTGGTCCAGTGTAAAGTAAGCCATGACCAGTTTTATCTATTCCTTGATTGTATAATCTTGTGCTTACAACATCGAAAGGTGTCATGGCAGCACAAACAACAAAACTGCTACAGAAACTTGAAACAACTCCAAGAAAAAAACTGTCTTTCTTAAAGAGTTTTCTTTGCTCAATAAAATCTTTTGTCATTGAGAATGTTGACAATTGGGCAGCAGAACCAACACTGACTCGTAATACAGCACCACTTGCACCACGCCAAAGACCTACAATTCCAAATTCTTTGTACACTTTCTTGACAGCTCCAGTAAATTTTGTTATGTCATGTTGTGTTCCAACAGCAATGCTATCTTCCGCTTTTGATTGCAATTGTGTTTTAAACTAAGAAATATAAGATTACCACAAAGTTGCTTTGCAAATGTAAAACTACTACAAGTTACTATATCTTAGACTCTTGTATCTTATTATACCCACCATGTATGAGGGACTTGCTATAAAAGCACCAAGACAGCCAGAAACACCACCAGCTATAACACACTTCCATGCGACAAGTCTGCCTTCATGATCTCGAACCAGTGACGAGTTAACAACATGTTGGTATGAACCAAGACGTACTCCATTCATTACAGCTTGATACACAAGACCAGGAACCAAACCTTTTTGCAACGCTGTAATACCATCTACTCGAGCTATGGTATAAAATGCATGAAAAACATTTCGATAATGTCTTGCATATGTCCCTCTGGCTTGAAGTTCACCTTGAAGCTGCATCCTAGTTTTAACAACTTCCAAAGGGTTTGTGAAAACACATGCTCCACAAGCAGCTGTTGAACCAATTAGAAATTCTGCCAGATTGTCCACCATCATATTTGATACTTATAAAATGTTACAAATATTGACAGTTTTTGTGTATTATTGTTACAGATTTTTAGAAATAATATGGATGGTTCCTCTGGTATTGCAAGATGCAGAGTTGCCTGTTATTTTCAGTAGATTACTACTTCACTTCCAGGAAGTGTTGCAAATCAATGTTGCAAAATTAAAATCATATATAGCTCAGTGGTCTGCCGAGTGAAACCCAATCACTGAATCCAATATGGCCCATTGAACCACACAGCTATTGTGCTGCTTGCCTGCTTCTCATGAAGTATCAAGTACCCTCATCCTACGTGACCAGTGTTACAAAATTTACATATACATAATACAGAATTAAAGTCGTAGAGCTTATAAATAACACGTGTTATTTATAATCTCTATGATCAAAGCGTGATTAAAGTCACAATTAATGATTAATTAAAGTGAAGTGCACTGAAAAAAAATGGCGGCGCCTGCGATGATAGTCAGCAGTTGAATTAAGGATAGAGATACTTCATGGGAAGCAACACGATAGCGGGCTACCTGTGATTGAACATATGGCCGCGGAAATTAATTAAAAAATATAATAATAAAGCTGCCAGTTTTGGCGCATTTTTTAAATTTTTATTGCAATTTGCAAACCAAGATTTATTTTCCTAGAGTATAGGACAAGATCTCCCGAGAGTTAAGATGGATAGGGCTATTTTATCTCCTTCAAAAACAAACAGCTCGCCTCCTGAGAAGACTTTAAAATTGCTTCATGACAGATTGGATCAAGCAGAAAATGAAGCAAAGAAACTATCTGAGCATTTATCAAGATATGGTTTTAAGAGTGATATTGCTAAGACACCAAGTAATACTGGAAGACGAAGTGTCATTGAAACTATAGCACCTTTTGAACTTGATAAGTATGAAGAAGGAAAGTATGAAATTTTGAAAAACAATTATCAGGAATTAGTATCTCGTGTTTGCCGTACAGAAAGCATTGTCCACTCTTTAAAGCTTGCTCTGGTTAGCTTGGAGGCTGAAAAAACCCTGATGAACAAAGATTCTGTCGCAGGAACACTTAGCGCAAATGAATCATATGAAAAAGAGTTGAAAAAATTAAAAAAAGACTTGGTTAATGCTAGGAAAACTCTTGATGAAAGTGAGAAATTTAGAGTTCAGACTGAACTGGATTTTCAAAAATTAAGGGATGTTCTTAACATCAAATCTGGTTCAAATGTAAATGTAGTTGAAAAAGTAAAGGAACTAAAAGCAACAAGTGATAGGTTAACAATACAAATCAATGAGGTAGGACCATAGGAACCATCTTCATTCTTGCATATAGTGCTTATGTTTTGAGACTCTAGTGTGCACAGTAAAACAGTAGTATATATCAGCTGGTATCAAGAGATTGGCAGATATATCTTGTGTTAGACTGTCAATAGTATGCTTGTAGTGGGATAATAATGTTGTATGTATTATGTTCAGCTTAGAGAGCGGCTCAATCATGAGAAAGGTCTACGGGAGAACTTTGAGGATTCTCATGAGGACCTCTTAAGTCGGGTTGCGGAGATGGAAAAACTGGTTGAAAGAGAAAATCAGGAAATGAAATTGTTTTCTGGTGATTGTGCAAGATTGAAAAAGGAATTAAATAAGAGCAGAACACAATATAATAGGGAATACCAAACTAGGATGCAACTGGAGAATTTGGTTGAAAGATTAAAACATGAAGCAGGTAATGAATTGAAATTGTCAGGACACGATATGCAATTGAAATTAACCAATAGTAAAAATTTATTTTCAGACGAAATGGAGTCAAAACTTTTAAATATTTCAAATGAGAGAAAGGTAAGATTGGTTAATTATCTGTTGTGACATTATATTAATTAATGTCTTGTATTAGTATTTGTCTAATTCTTAAGTGTGCAATTTAATCCATTAATTGTGGATATTGTTTGAAGGATTTAGATTCAAACATTTCAAAAATAAAACGTGAAAATAAGGAGTTAAGACAACAACTAGAAAATGTACGGAAATCCAGTGAAACTTTAAAGGTAGGTTATTTGTAGATAAGCTTTAAAACCAGACATATAAATTTATCTGTTGGAATTGTACCAGTTAATGTACCAGTTAATTCAGATATAGATTTGGACTGTAAAAAACTATAATATATAAAATTTCCTTCTTTTTAGGAAGTTAATTTGGACTTGGAAAAACGTTTTAAAGGAACAAATGAAGCTCTGCAAGTAATGGAAAAAGATAACAAGATTTTGGTGGCAAAACATCGAGACTCTGTTGAAAAAGAAAGGCAAATGTTTGGAGAGAAACTCAAAGAACAGGATAGATTGCTTGATGAAGCTAAAGAAAGTATCTTCCAGGAGTTAAGAAAAGAAAAGCAAGCAATTTTAGAAGGAGAAAAAGAAATGTAAGATTTATAACGTTGGGAAATAATAGTGAAAATTAAAGTGTGAGGACTGAGAAGAGATATTTCATGGAGTTTTACACTCAAAATATGATGCTTTTTTAACAGTAAAAGGCTTAAAGAAGAAAATAATTCACTTCAGGAACTGTTGAAGAAAAAGGTAGATATTATTTGGTTAATAATAATATAGTATAGGTTAGCAAAATTCTGCTGATGGAAATGCTTCTTCAAGGTATGATGGTTTGTTAAAATTTTATTGCTGCTATAGGATGTGGAGTTGATGAATCTAAAAGATATTTTGCAAAAATTAACTGCAGATCGTGAAAAAATGATTGAAGAGAATGATCAAGTATTAACTGAGGTTTTAATATTAAATTATACTGTTGCATCCTTCGTGCTGTTTCTGTAGGCTTGACTAACTTGCTTCAATCATAACCATGATCTTTTCTTTCTAGATCAAACATGATTTAGACCAGTTTGTCTCTGAAAAGATATCTCTTGTTGCTGAGCTTGATAACAGAAAGGTATTATTGGACTCAACACAAACACAGATGCAGGTACAGACTAGTTTTCAGCTTAGTTGAGTATTACAGTGTTGTGGAGAAGTTGCGGTATATACGAGAGTCCTCGGGGATCATTTTCCGCAGTCAATCTCAATGATTCCTTCCATTTATCACCACCAAAGGAGATCATTTAGTTTCAGATTAAAAACTCGGCCATTCTTGCTAATCAACAGAGAGTACCCGGGAAGACTGACAGGCAGTCAGAACAGGTAGCGTATTTACCAAAAGTGGAATTTTTATGAACATATTACCGCGCGTCTTAATTTAGATCGAATACAATAAAATATGTGAAGAAAACGCACAACTTCAGGAGGATTGTGAAACAGCGAGAACACGTTTAGCTGAGTTAGAACACCAACTGGTATGAATGTTTTAACTTTTAGTTTAAGAGTAGTTTTATCTTCGAACATGAGAAAGTTCTCCTGAATCATGAGCATTTTTTCCTGACAGACAAATCACGATCGTATTAACGTCGCTCTACAGAACATGGTGGAAGATAAAAGAAAACTAGCCTATGAGAATGGCGTTTTACAAGTAAACACCGAGATTTAGATAATTAAATATTGATCAAAATATTCGTTGTCTCCAGAGCACTGCGTGAAATATAATTTTTATAAACAGACGGAAAATGAGAACTTGATGTCAAACGTTAAAGCAGTTGAAAGGAAAGTACGAGAGGTATTATGAACAAACTTTAACGTGATAATTCATGTATGGCGCTCTTATTTCTTCCTCTGTCCTGAAGAGAAGATTAGACTGGGAAGATATGAATATGGCTGAATTTAGCTCAGCTGTTGGATTCATTTCCTATCCTAAACTTGGAACATAGGCATAGCTCATTACCATCTCCTAAGTATGCATGATTGTGGCATGAATTATCTCCACATCCAAGGCATGCATTTGCTGATTTTTTTAGTTGAGAAGTTTTGCATTGGGTAAAGAAAAGGAAGCTGAGTTATTGGTCAGGGAACGAGAAGAGGCTGAGAAAACAACAGCACGGGTCATAAGCGAGGCTGACCAATATGAAAGAAAATATTCTAAACAGGTTAACGCTATGACTTCAAATTAGAGTCTCAGTGATACAGGAGTGAGGTTGCGGTGAATCTTGATCCCATATCTTTCATTTTCTCAGATCGATTCTTTACGGAGTGCTCTTCTCCAAGCCAAGGACGACAATAAAAAATTAGCGGGAACACTTGATGCTGTGATTACGTCACATACTCAGCTTCAGTCCTCTTGCGAAACTCTTCAAACTGAGCTGGGTAAACGAGACAGCCGGCTGAGCTATCTTGATAAAGAAAGGTGATATAAACGTATTTTAATAGTTTGATTCTTTTTAAAGAAACTAGATTGAAACATTAGCACCTAAAACTCTCGTGAGTTCTGTAATTACTTGCTTAACGACGTCATACAGTTGTTCTAACATATTCCTCCTAACCAGATCAGAAACTGAGACAAGGATTATGGGTTTAAATGGAGAAGTTGAGTCATTGAAGGCTAAACTAACCCACCAAAATGAGGCTGAATTACAAGAGGTGACCACTGTTCGCGAAACACTCTTGTTGCTGGAAAAAGACCGAGAGAAGTTACTGAAGACTGTAGAACCATTGATGAAGACAAACAGAGATCTTCAAGAATCTCTGGAAGGATTGGCGAATGAATTGAGACAGAAAAATAACGAGATTAAGAAGTTACGAGCATCCTCTGTTAACGTCAAGAAAGAGATGGAAATAGAGGCTGTTGCCTTGGAAACAAAAGTGGATGATGTGAAAAAGGAATTCGATACGCAGATGAGAGAGGTGAAGAAGCTTCATAAAAGAGAAATTGCAAAGGTACGATTAAGTGGATGTAATTTTGGGGAGATGGCCGGCATGCAGACCAATGTATCTTTGACAGCTATACAGCTGGTAGTTATACAGTTAGGAAATATGTCTCTTTGTTTGAGGAATTTATCTACTCGTATTAATTGTATTTTTGGCATTGATACTTCATTGATTTTACTTGTCCAAGATTATGCATATTTGCCTTCTTTCATGCTAATTCAACATCTCTTTAGTTACGCAAGGATTTCCAGGAAATGGTAAAACTAAAAAATGCTTTGAAAGACGAGAACACGGCCTTGAAGACTGGGCAAGAGGAAGCTGAGAGTAAGCAGAAAAAATTGAAGGAAAAATTACGACAAACTAAAAATGAATTAGACGCTTGTTTGAAACTGCAATCCGAGCAACACACTGAACTAGAAACAGCAAGAGACAGAATTAATGTAAGAATATAATCAAATGTTTTCCCAAAGAAATTTTACTGATTTCAGTCTTCAAGCTCTTCTTCTGCATGTAAGGTCTAGTTTGACTAGCTACGGAGAAACTGGAAATAAATATTGTGTTGTTTAGTAGAGAGATGTCAAGCAATTCTTGCACAATGCAGCGTTGTGTGCACGGACTCAGCTGCGTGTCTTTTTTATAACTTTAGGTGATGAGCCATGAACTTGCAATATTGGAAAAACTCAAATCAGAATACACGCAAAATAATATGGAACAGGTATAATTATTTTAATATGATTGTACAACAGATGGCTTAAAGGTTTCAATCATCGTTAAACAATATTAATACATTTGTCTCTGGGTGTTTTCCAGGCTCGTTCTCTCCAGGAATTTATATCACAGCTGACAGATCTTCAAGAAGAGTTCAGGAACTTGGCCGAGGCACAACAAGGAACCAGTTTACTTTGCAGGTATTTAGCTTGACTACTGTACGGGTTCGATCTTTTTATTTCCTCCCGTTCTGTAAGAATATTTTTCTTTCATTATTAAAGCCAAAAAGATGATAAAATTAAGAGAGAAAGAATGCGAAGAAAAGATCTTGAGATGGATTATTATGTACGTCGATCATCCTGCAGACAGAATATCACTTTTCTTACTATTGTTAATTGTTCTTGCTGCTAACACAGGAAATTATTGAATTTATTTTAAGAAATTAAAGAATCACCAAAAACAATTGAAAGTAAAACAGGATGTGACTGAGCGACAGCTAGAAGAAGTGAATTATGAATCTCAGCAGGTTTTTCTGAACTTATTATGTCTCTCACCATGAAGTTAATAATTACTTTAGCATAATAAACATACAGCAGGAAATATTTCCTTTAACACTCCAAAATGAAAATCATCACAGTGAAAGTCTGACTCATTGTATATACACCCTTTTAAAGGTTGCTGTTAATTTGCAAGAGGCTCACGAATGGTTTAAGAATAAATTCGCTAATCTTCAGTCAGAGCTTGATAAATCGAGGTAATGATGTTGTGTTGGAAAGAAGAGAAGAAAACACGTGCGAAACTTTCTGTTGATCCTCTTTAATGCTTTCTGTAGAAAGATACAATCAGTTTTACAACAGGATAACGTCGATCATCACAAAGCTCTTCACGAGGAGAGAAAAAGAGCGAAGGAAGCAACGGAGAAAGCAAAAGAAATAATAAAAGTACGTTTACACAATTTCTTAGAAACAGGGAAGTTAGAGCGTTTGATTATAGTTCAAGTAATCCTTCCTTCCTGCCTTGAAATATTTTCTTATTCTTTCACCTCTAGTCAAGTCGGATGATGATCTCAAGACTGGTTGGTCAAGTATCAAGTACATCACAAGCCAGTAGAGAAACAATTGAATCCACGGACCCCGAAAAAGGTAGGGTAGTATAAACTTGATCCTTCGGAAGACAGAGAATACCCTTAGAAATTGATACATTTGCATCTGTATTTTGTCATTGTATTTTGTTCATATTTTGTAAATAGCTCCTTCGTTATATTGGAACTTATCTAATTTGTAAATGCTAGACATTCATTTTTAATGCCAGCAAACCTTGTATTATATATAATAAATGGAGACAAGTATTAGTTCTTATGTTCGGGAGTTCTAGCTAATTAACAGGAGGAGGATATGAAGTCAGGGACGTATTTTACTTTCATTTCGATCAATTTCCTTTCAAATTTCATTTTCATAATTTAAGAGAAATCTCTTTTTTCACTCTTCATTAATAACATCAAATTCATTAATAACAATGAGCGGTACAGACAGATAGCTATGTAAATATGCCTGTCCACCTGTTAGATGATTGTAATCTCGAATATTACGTACAAAAATTATAACTAATTCTCTCGTTCACATCCATTACAAGACGAAAATATCATTTAAAATTTCAGTGAAAATATAGGCATTTAAAACGAACTTTTAAACAGGTACGGCTACGTATTTCTCACAACTAATTGGACTAATAGAGTGTTTTCTTTTGCGGACCGACGAGATATGATGACGTCTTGATAAATGGCGTAACTGTACGGTTCTTAATTTTTAGTTTTTCTTGAATCCCTCATTCTTTTTTGTTATAAGAGCTGAAATTTGTTTCTCGCGTAATAGTCATTCTTATATGTGTGTTTTACCAACTTAAGAAAGGCATTAACCTAACATGCCTTTTGTAGTCCTTTTGACAGATGGGAAATTAGGCCGCACATTATTTCCTTGACTGCCCTGCTTAAAGTTATAGTCACATTTCAAACATAATGGAGTTGCGTTACTGGAAGAATAAATACAATTTCTACTGCTTATAGGGACAATTTAACAAACAGATCATTAGTAAATTACAGCTGCTAATAAAGCGACGTTTAAAGGTAAAACTCTACTGTAGTTGCGGATCTGGTCTTGTTATTCTGCACAATGTTACGTTGGCGACCATCGTCATTACAGGGGCTATCCCTATTATAGTTGTATATGATGAAGGAATTATATAGAAGACTTGCCATAGTATAGGAAAATTTATGTGTAAAGTAGGCATTAACAAACGCTATGTGTGGGGGTGGGGTGGGGGAAGGTAGAGGGATAGGATTGCCGTGTGATTTGGGTAACTAAGAAATGTGCCCCCATCATGTAGGGGCGATATAAATACATATATCTATTCAACATGATTTTCATAGGGAACTATGGCAATCTTATAAAAAATATACTGTCAATCTTAATTGTGCGTATAGTTGTAGTGAATAGTCAAGCTTTAAGTTCAATTTTGATGTTTTATTGCTTGTAGAAGCGCAAAAACTGAAAAGGGGGAAATCCCTTTCCCCTTTGCATAATTATATGCTTTCACAACTAGAACTTTCTATAGTAAAACTTCGTATATATATATTACAGTATTTAAAGTCAATCAATGTCCACAATTTATCAAGAAAGAATATTACACATACATCTTGCTTGTTTCAAACGATTTTTTATATATTTTGGTTGCCGTATATATATTACGCGTACGGTCTTTTGTACGTCATATATACAAAGCATCCTTCACAAGTGTTTATACTAGTTCCGACAAAATTTGATCGTGTGAACTAACCGATATATAATATTCTTGTTGATTAAAATTATATATGATACATTTTGGTGTAGCCATGCTTTCAAATATAACAACTTGATCATAACCACCACTTTAAACAGAATAGACAAAGAAAATTCTTGATGTTTGCCACCTTGAAGGCCTTCGTCAGTAGAATTGATTCACATTGTTATCCTGACGTATCGAGACGTCGAGAAGTTTTTGTTGCTACAACATTTGATTAGAAATTATTAGAATTAAAAGTGACAATGCACAAAATGTATATAGTAATATTTTATTTTCTTTATTAAACTCCTACACGCATTACTTAGCATTTTGGCCTTCTATAAATAACTATATGACTAAATATAGCCTAACTATATTTAAGGCGAGAAATTAGAGTCATGCTTATAATATGTTAGCCCAGCAGTTGAACATAACGACAACGAAGAAGGTACTGTTTGTAATTTATTATAAAATAGAATTATCAAATGCCTATTAAATTTCGTCTAAGCAAGGTGTAACCAGGTACTTGATAATGTACTATATAATAGGTCTTCAAAACGTCATGCTATAAATGTGAATATTTTTTATAGTTTTCAGCCGTCACTCGACAACTAGGAAATATATTTGACCGCGGACTACATGGCAGTAAACGGTGCCACTGAGGAAAGTCAAGAGTCTGGGCAAGCCTCTGTTGAGACTAAACAGAAAAATTGCTTTTCAATATTTGTAGCGAGGAGTCCTGAAAAATTCCCACTACAAGAAAAGACTATGCATACCATTTCTGAAAGCATGACAGAATTTAAACCATTTTTGAAATATTTAACAAAATGCGATAATTGTCTTCTTCTGGCACGGCAGGGTCTGTCAAAAATCCATGAAATTAAAGTTCATGATCTTTTTATATTAACAACCTTTAAAGACTTTACCTCATCTGACGATAGTTCAAACAACACAGCATCTTTTGTTGATCCTTGCGACTGTTTCAATTGTAACTTAATATTAAGAAGGATATTAAATTCAGCAAGCGCTGATCAATGGATATTCTTTGGAAAATGTGGTGGGATTACTTTTGTATCGATAGCTAATGGGAAAACCAGTATTCCTGGCGAAGATTTTAACAAGCTTGAAACAATTGTAGGGCAACTTATAAAATTAAATAACGATATAATGAATATAATCAATGCTCGTGTCCCTCTGGGTGAGTCAGACAAGAAGGACACCATGGCTAGCAAAACTCGTATCATCAGCCAGGGAGACTTTCTAATTGAAATGAACGAGATGGTTTTTCAAAAGCGAAGGTTATTAAAAGCTCTCAATACTTTGGTTCAAAAGTTTTCTAGAATTCGCGAGGTTTTTGACGATGACCAGAACCCAGCTAATCAGTCTAAGGATGGTCAGTCGTCAGTTGTACCAGTCAATGCACATGAAATTAGTTCTGGAAGTGCCGTCCAGACTGTGAGTTCTATTCCTCTACAGACTCTGTTGCAATGCATTGTAACGCGAATGACTGTTTCAAGCTGGGAAGAACTGAGGCGTTATGTTGGTCGGGTTATTCCTTTAAGAGTTCTTAGAGACATTCCAAACGGCATCGAGTTTTTCAAAGAATTAGAGAATCGAGATTTGATAAGAATTGGAAATACTGAGTACATTAGAATTGGACTTTACGAGATTGAACGTGTTGATCTCGTACACTTACTGGACTGTATTCAGGAAGGTGACTATAGGTTACTTCAGGCAGAAACTCCAGCAGTCAGGCAAAACTTGGAACAGAGTCAAAGGAATCGTAGCAGCGAGGATCGTGGTGGAAATTTGGGAACCAGTTCCCAGCCTCCTGTGATTCAAAATCTGACTGCAGACGCGGAAAAAAATGACAACACTGCTGACCAGGATGGATTGTGGTCTATTTCTGGACATGAAATTCAAGATAACCCTTTACAAAGGAAGTACCGTAATGTACCTCATCGTACTACAACATCCCCGGCTCACCCTGTACAAGAGGACAGGGAAGCGGGCTCCTCCACTGATTCTGGTCAACAACCTCCAGAGACTGGGACGGGGAATGTTGTGGAAGATAACCAGGAACAAATCTCTCCTAACATATCTAACGACGATAAAAATACATCGGATCAAACTACAAATACAGACCCTGCGTTAACCCAGGAAGGAGATCCCAGGGGCGAGTTTACATCGCGGAGTTCAAATTCAGAGGGGGCACACTCAAGCGCACAAAATACACTCACCCAGGGGGAAAATGAGGGTGTTACACTTCCCCAGGGTGAAGATGTTGAAGACAGTAGAGAGTGGGTGGAAAACAGGGAGTATCCCTGTGATCATTATGATCGATATTGTACAGTTCAGTTTGCATGTTGTAATCGTTTCTGGCCTTGTCATCGCTGTCATAATTCTCAGAGTCAGTGCAGTGAAAGAAAACTTAAATCTCGTGATATAAAGAAATTAAAATGCCGTCGTTGTGGTCGAGTACAAGATTTTCCAAAAGACTCGCCTCGTTGTGTTGAATGTAACCTAAAATTTGCAGAGTATTTCTGCCCGATATGCCAGCATCTGACTGGAAAACAGAATCACCCGTTTCATTGTACCAAATGTGGGATTTGTAGGTACGTATAACATACGTGAGTAGAATCAGGTTGTTTTCTTTGATTCCGAAGATTTTTTGTCTAATTTCTTGTTTTTAAAACTTAACAGTCCTGGCAAGAGACGTCGAATTGATATGATATTATTCTAGGATGACAATTTTTTTCTCCCTTTCTTAGGGTACACGGTGATCGTTCATTCCATTGTGATATCTGTGGTGTGTGTTTGGATGTCAATCTCAGAGGAAATCACAGATGTCGTGAAGGTTCTGCTCACGATGAATGTTGCGTGTGTTTTGAAGTAAGAAATGAACTGTTGTGATTGATTTTAACTAACGAAGGAGGATCTGTGTTGGTTCAAGGTTATTTCACTACGTTTTAGGATGCGTTTACAGGATGTCAGATACTACCATGTTCCCACAAAGTGCACAAGGAATGCGCAAATCAGATGGTGCGAAACGGACAGTATGTAAACAACACCTTTGTTGTATTATTTCAAAATAATGTAGTTGATCATTGAGAGGACAAAGCATTTGTTTTGTTCCCGGGAAGTTGGGAGCTCATCCGTTTGTGTACCTTGTTGAGTTGTTGAACTTTAACTTGAGTGACGATGATAATAGAGAGGGATATGTGCAAATCACCCTGTACTGGTTTTTTGTGGGTTAACGTTCCCTCAGCCTCAAAATGATATAAATAAGAACCGTGTCCACGATAGAAATATTCCACAAATAGTATATTCGATACATTATAGGTAATCAGATTTTGGGATGACAATTTCTATTCGTCGGGAAGCCATACATACTGATTTTTATCTTTTTGTAGAACACAATGCCCAATATGCCGAACAAGTTTTGCAGATAAAGGGGAGAAGAAATGAAATCAAACATTAAAATGTTCTATTGTATGTTCTGTTTTATAAAGCTGAATAGTAATGTCGTTTAACTATAGTTTGTCCGGATCATCAAAACTCATTATTTTATTCATTTCCTGCATATACGGGGTACAAGTCATGTACGTATATTGGCATGTATCAAAGCACGACTATGCAATTGTCTGCGCGCGGGGGTGGGAGAGAGTCGTGCATGTAAACATGCAAAAACCGGTTAAACAGGAAAACCCGTATGGAAAGGATAAACTCATCCTGTTTTACGTGCGTTTGAAATGCATACGTGCGTATGAAAAACGCCCTTAACGATATTTTGAAATATTGAACAAGAATGTAAAAGATTTTTACAGGATCACTGCCCAGCTGATTGGTTTGCAACATTCAGTAGCAAAAATAACGCTGCATGTAAATACTCAAAACAATCGCCCTGTTTTTAGTTGAATTTTTACCCTCTCTTCCTTCCTAGAAGAAAGCCCCGAGTAATCAGATCTTCTGTGCAGAACTTCTAGTGCTATCAATTTAAAACTCTCTGTAAAACCACGGTAGATTATGTATTTATCAGAGGCTGTACCATGCAACTTCCCAAGTTGATTGTATGATCCACTGCACACGACCGGAACCCCCCACATAATCATATTCGACCCATGACTCGGGTTTCAGACAAGTACTAAATTTTAGGAGTTTGTTTCAATATGTCAAGTACTGTGTGCAGTGTACTAATAGGTACCCTTCGGTTTCTTTCCCCAGAATTATGCCAAGGCCTAGTGGATGATAAATCATCGAAAAGTAGATGCTTGAAATTGAGTGCAGCTCTGCAAGAATATGAAAAAAGTGATGATCTACGAAGTGCTTTCACGTATCTCACAACGGCTGTTGGAGACCTCGGAATGTGCTATGAATATCTGGAGGAAGGTAGTCAACTTGCAAGACCAGAGCCGGCAGAAGAAGATGTCTCAAATAACGATGAAAATTTGATTTTTTACACGCCCGATGGTTCGAAGCTCGAAGGAGAATTGCGAAAAATCAAATCAGAAGAGAAAGCGAAGAAAAAGTTTGAACGGGCCACTCAACGTTTCCGGGAATGCAACGAGGAATGTTCGAAGATTTGTGAAAACGATTCTCTGATGTTTGAAGACAGGATGACAGCGACGAGAGCACGCTTGGTTACGGAAATTCTAGGAAACTTGGAGAATCTTACTGTAGCAGCTGAGAATAGCATGAAGATTATCTCGGAATTACACAAATGCCAGGATGTTATAAGTCTCTTTATTCCTGGGCATTCCGAACAGCCAAAAAAACCAATTTGGGTTAAATTTGCTGGGTATATAAATAACACGGAAAGCAAAAACATTAGTTCTGTTCTGGATATAAGCAAGGGAGTGTCTAATTTTACTAAGAGATTTCTAAGAAAGCCAGTGGCTATCCTTGACTGGCCTGTGATCAAGGATGATGAACACACACCAGCAAGTGTCTACCATCCAATTCTAGGGCAACCATTGAGGAAACCATACACAACCATGCCAGACTTGTCAAGCACCATAGAATGCAATGGATTTGATATAGATGCTAGCATGTCTGCTATCAACTGCACAGGAGAGATATTGGTTGTTGCAAAGGACAACAGTTCCATGAATTCATCTGTTATGAGAATAGCAGATGGTGCATTACATCTCTTTTGGAGGTTGAATAAAGAAGCAGAAGCACAAGAGGAATCCAAAGAGGAATTACAAATTATATCCATTTCAGTAGAATGTGAAAATTGTTCTGTGAAGTTGAACCAGAACAAGCATTTGCATACGAACTGTAAAAACAAATTGTATGTGCTGGCAAGTTATAAATCAGATGAGAAGAGATTATTCAAGATGTTTGTCATTGATTTTCAAGGAAACCTTCAATATGATGTTAAACTGACATGTCTGCCCCCAAGAAATGTTTTTGATGAAGTTTGTTGCAAAATTCTCTGCACTCATACCAAAGTCATTATTTTTGATATCAAGAAGCGAGAGGCATACCTCTGTGATGCAAGCGGAGAACTAGAAAAGCCACTTCCGAATGTAGCAAAATGTATGCCAAGCTTAACAACAGCATCAGCTGATGAAGAAATTATCATTTTGGAAAAGCCGAACAAACTTCATTTTGTTAACAACATTAACAATGAGAGTTCTGTCAACACCACGGTCATTGATGGTTGCAATGAGGTTGTAGGAATGACATTCAACCATGTCTTAAATGAAGTAAATATTCTCAGCAAGGCCGGCTCAAAGGAGTATCACTTTAAGTGTTTTTCAAAAGTAGGGGAACTACGACAAGATATCAAACTTAGAGAAGATAAGCATCATTTTTGGAAAAATGCAACTTTAATTTCACATCCAAGTGGCCGGTTGGTGATGTTTGATAATAAACAAATGCTTAATCTGCATTAGGACAATTGAATTGCTTGTATAAATAGATCCATAAGATGATTTTTAAATGTACATCTGAATGACTGATATATGTCTTCACTTTTGTGTTTTCCTGTTTATAAATTGCTGTCAGATTCCAAATGTTATTACAGTAAAATAAGATAAATCATTTGAACAATTACATATTTAACTTAAACCGTAAATCAAGCGCAGAATTACGTGCAAATTCACCCATCCAAACTTCATTATTTACATCAGTGTATCGTCCTTCCCCTGTCATTTTGTTTTCGTTAAAATTTCCCTCAAAAACAGAGCCATTTGGCCAGGTGTATTTCCCGTAGCCATGGAAACGATTCATATCAAAATCTCCTTCATAAACAGCACCGGATGCACAAGTCATTTTTCCTTTGCCGTGCATTTTATCGTCTTGCCAATCCCCTTCATATCTCAAGCCATCATTTCCAATGTGTTCGCCTTTTCCTTGCCTTAAAAGACCACCTTCTGGCAAATGCACAAAGTCGCCATTGTATTTGTCACCGTTTGGAAATACATAAGCTCCTCTCGAAAAAATAGGACTTGTAATTCGCTCCTCTGCCTGTTCTGGCTTCTTGGTGGTTGCTGGCATCTTTGCCAATCTTGAACCTGGAAAAAATTAGATGAAACTCTTTGAATCTTTCTCTAAAAACTGCCACCTCAAAATACAAACATTGTATTGAAATAATCAAATATCCCTCTCTCACACCTGTTTTCCCTCTACCACTGAACTCAAAAAGAACTGGATAAGTAAAACTGGGCCAGTGAACTCAAAAGAAGTTCTTTTGAGTTCAATGAAACTGGGCTATGTTAATTCCACTGAGCTATATAAGAATTCCCACATTATATATATTATATTATATAGCTCAGTGGTTAATTCATAATTTTGTTGATTTTCACATTAATACGTAAGCAGTTCCGAAATTATAAAAGAATTTTACAAAGAAATCTTTCTATACTTGATTTATGCTTTCAGAAACAAACAAGCTTATTCTGGTTTTTCCCTCCGTTCTTCGTGCGCAAATGAACGTTTCGCATGTCTAATGTCTTGGCGATCGAATCACTCTTCACGGAGCCTATTTTTCATTCCATGCTATTAACTCATCGATTCCTTAATAATATATTTTAGTTGCCGTGAGAGAAAAAGTTCTCTAGTGAAATATTTACGTACTTTCTTTTGAATTTCAAAAGAAAATATGCAAATATTTCGCTAGCCAAAAATTCATCTGGAAGTGGAATCCAGCCTTGTTCTGCAAAGTTTTGCGTCTTCTACAGGTTAGTTAGTACGAGAAAAAAACACTATACAATAATACAATTCTATCGACGAACGTCCTTGACAATAACCGCTGGCAATAACATACTTAAACTGGTTTATACAGGTCAGAACAGGTAACACTAGCTGAATCTATATACGTCATGTCAACAAAATTCCTTTCATATATAACACAATATAACACATCATTGAACTGCGCAATACGCTTAAAGACCGTTTGCAACGATTATCCAGAAGAACTTTCAGACGTATGATAAGGTTAGCAATATGCTGCCTTCAGACTGTGCAGAGCTATATTTGCTGCTGTGCTCTTTATTGACAAGCGAATCGAGATGAATTTCGAAAAAACGTCTCTAAAGAGCATCACTAACACCGTATTCAGTGACAGACCAGTGGAAACCATTATTTTGCATCAATAAAACAAATGTCTGAATATGTTGCCTACAGACCTCGCTACAGACAACATTTCGAGCAACATTTTATACGTCCGTAACCCTTTATATTGGATGTCACTGGAAAAATTATACCCGAGTTCACAGCGGCAAAAATAACCCTGAATAACCTGGCTATGGGCAGCAATATTCTTCTTTGTTGCAGCTAGCTCATATATTTTCCACATATGTAGTTCCCGATGTAAAGCCTATAGCTGTTTGTCTGTGTAATCTTTGCTACAAAAACACTTTCGCAGCGGGGAATCCCCTTCCGTCTGATTTTTGCAATTTGTAAACATGCACCAAGACCCTATGACCTATTACGGTGAATACAATATATTATGTATGAGAACGGTAAATCCACATACTTTTTTTAACGCAGCATAATCCGCTTTCTAAATTTCAAAATGTGGATAACATTGTCATTGTCTTTTTTTCTATAAAATCAATTTCCTAACCGTCTCTCACCTGTATTGCACGGGTGTATTAAAAACTACTATAAAATCATGTATAAATTTTGGTAAATTCTCAAATTGACTGTTGATGAAAACATACTGAAATTTTTTTTTCTTGCGGTCCGAATTCATATTTTAGCGTTTCCTGCAATCTAATTGACTACGCGAGCGGTCCGTATGAGGCCGTACGGACCGCGCGAGATTTAAAAGCACAGAGCAAACGCTAAAATATGAATTCGGACCGAAAGAAAAAAAAATCTATTATTTACCAGTTTAGTCGGTCCGTATAGGGAAATATTTCCCTCGGTACGTCCCTGGTAAATAACATATATTTATTTTGACGGAACAAAGAGCAGGGTTTTAAACATTTTACTAGTTTATAAGCTTTATGTTCAGTAAATGTTTTATGAAAATTTGAAATGCTTCCAACAGGCCTGGCTTCGAAATTTTTATTATTTAACACATGTGTCAACAGATGCGTACTAAAACATGCGAAAAACTAAGTTCTTTCGATGCTAAATATAGACTTTTACATGTGTGTACGTGCGTATGAAAAACGCGTATTACAGTAATCAGAAGAAGTACCCATATTTACAAATATTTCCATAGATTAAGCTCAACGTTTTATTTAAACGTCATTTAAACGTCATTTGTGATACATCTTCTGGAATGATCTATGGTTTAAAAATCAAACTATTCGAAGGTGCCACGAATTTGCTCAGCCAAATCAACGCGGCCAGCTCGTTGGAATGCGTAGTTTAACAGGCAAAGGACACATTTTGGATCTTCATTCACATTCCATCTCTGGAGTCTATCCAATATGTCGCGAGCTTGCATCTGGTAATCCAAAACACCGCCTGTATATTCGTTGGCCGCGGTAACAAACTTTTGAAACTGTTGTCGAGTTAACCTTTGCACAGATTCAATAATTATTTGCCAAACCAGACGGCTGTCTTGCAAAATCTGCAAAAGTTATGATCTTGAAACTCAGCTGTTGTTGAACCCAAAAGCAGATTTACATAAATATAAGAGTATATTTCAATCTTCTAATCAGTGCAAAAGTTGCAATGAAGTGAAGTACTAAGAAGCTTAGCCAATCTTTGTGAATATCATACAAAGATATCATAGTATATCATTTCTTTATTATAAACATTGTTATAAACGATCATTACATTAGGATTAAATTTGATCAAAGTGAAAGATGAATTTAAAGCAGTCTCCTTAATAATTACCTGGATGTGCCTCCCGCAAATGGAACAATGCGCAGTCTGAGCTCTGTTCCTCGGTGGCTCATTGTCGGGCTCTTCTGGTTGGAATAGACCAACTGGTTGCGCGAAATATCGTTCTCGTGCTCGTGATTCCCCTTGGTCTGCCCGCACTCTTTTAAGTCGTAAATCACTATATCTTCCTGGTTGATGGTCACCATGAGATCTTGATCGTTGTGACGAAGCAACGTTACGCAGCCGTTCCTGGGTATCTCTTCCACTCTCGTTGCTTTCATCTTCCCACTGATGTGTTTCTTGGGCCATGACGTTGTCGTTCTCTGAACGTCCTTCGATATTTTCTTGTTGTACGGGGTTGCCATGATGTAAGGTATTAGAATATTGTCTAAGACCGTGGGCATCTTCCAGGTGTTCTAAAAGTGTATAGTCCCCTGAAAAAGATGTGATATATAATTTATGAATAGGTTTTTACACAACTTAGCTTGCCATTAACAGACCTGAAACACTTAAAAGCTGAGAAAGCTGGGAAACTTGGAAAGGTTGGGTGTGTTCATCCGTGACCTGTGCGCTGCGGCAAGCATCGTTCACGTGTCTTAATTAGCAATCTTAAGTGTTGGTTTTCCGGTAGTATACCTGCGATGATTTGGCGAAAAACTTCTCTAATGTCGTATCTTGCCATCGTTGCTAACATGTTGTCCATCTCTTGAATGGCATCTTCATTAAGATGATCAAACTCTTCACGATGTCCGTGTTGATTAAGCAAAACGTTGACGAGGAAAAATAATCTTTGTAGCACATGGATAGGCAGCATTCTAACATAATGTAAAATATATACAATGAAAAAAAATTAAATAAAAAAATTACACACAGCCACAAGATTGGCGAGAATGAGGAAGCGATGCTGGGATCATACCATATATGTACGCAACGTTTCCGATACCTACTTTCCGATAGCCTACAACAATTTCACGGTGCATGATAAAGCGGTGTTGTAAATCTATTGTGAAATAAATATGTAAATGAACAATCCGTCTTTACGACACGCGGCAACAGTGTTAGAAGCAATTTTGCTGATCGACCATATTTATAATAGTTTATAACTGTTTCAGAGAAATTAGGTGAATATATTTTGTTGTTGCGGTTGCCGTTGTATTTCCCAAACTCACACTAAATAGTCCGTGTGCGGCAGCCCATAGAAATATTCATCAAGTGAGGTGTCAACCTCGACCATGAGTTATTTTTTGATAAACATATCGAGGAAGCCTCGAGATATTACTATTTTTGTTAATACTTCTGTCGAACAGTGTTTTCGCTTAACAGAAGGCCTTGTTCACTCTAATTAAACCTGCTATTACATTGAATGTAGGTGGTCAGTGGATGCACGTAGAGAGTGTAACCACAATGCAAAGCGCAGAACAAACGCCCTGGAAATTGGAATCATATAAAGCAGAATATCAGCAAAAAATTCACGAATTCAGGCTTATTCAGCAAGTATTTTGAACAGCATAAGCTGAAAATAATTTATCAGTTAATTGGCACAAGTACAGTAGCACTGAAAGACAGTATATTTTGAGGAAAGGATCTAGAATTGTTATATAAAAGGTCAGTACTAAAGTCAATCTTCAAGTTCTAACGTTTTTATTTGTAGTATTAATTTGTGAGCTACATAATTTTGCTTGTGCAATTTTACTTTTTGTATCTTGCATGCAAGTATATAAATAATATAAGGTCAATCATATACGAAGCGAAGCACAAAAAATATATGTGCCTAATCAATGCTTTTCATCCTATATGAATGGGTCACATATTTTGATCAATATCCAAAAATTATTATATTAAAATAGACAAAACCACTATAAACCTGCAAAGTAGTAAAAGTTGGTCAAGTCCACATAGGAATAGAGGCTTAAAAAATTTGGGATGGGTGCAGTTAATGCGAAAATTTCCCAAATCACAGGAGGAAATCACTGATTTGGACAAAAATTGTCAGAATTTTGGTGGAATTGGGGGGGCAGCAACACCTCCAGCCTTCCCTGCCTCATATGCCTATGCAAGACCATTTTACTTTAACTGTATGATTTTGGAAGCATTAAAATAAATCAGTAGGAAGTCCAAATTGGTGTTATTTAACATAACAAAATGTACCCTTTATATGATGACAAAATACCTCAACAAATCACCCAAAAGATGCTTTGTTGCAAAGAACGCAAATAGAAAAAAAAATTAAATTTTTTGGCCATCTCTTTTGCAACCTGCCTATATCGTTCTTAAGGTGATGACTGAAGTGTTGTTTGATTAGCTGCATGAAAATGCTGAGGTGTAACCTAACATTTTTGACCTCTTGCTATTATGTTAAACTGGGCAAGAGAATCAGTTGCCCTGAAAAACTTCCAATAAAACAGTGATATTTTTTTAGTACAAAGTTTACACCCATTCAGAAAAATAGATTTAGAAAAATATATAACAACTAAGTCTCACTAGAGACGAGATCCCGCTTCCTAAGTTGTTTCTATATGTTTTTGAAATTTGATTCACATGGAAAGCGGGCCAGCCCGCTTTGGCGAGATCTCACTTGAGCGAGGCGAGATCTCAGCAAAACGGGCTCATATGAACGCACTAGGCGGGCTAGCCGGGTAAACCAGGCTGAAAATCGTTGATCGCTTTCTCTACAAATATACCTTCATAGCATCATTTCGCCATTTTATATGTATTTGCAAACCAAAAGAACACAATACATTTCAAAAATTAAGGAAATATATCTGCCCAAAACCGCTGTAATCGATGCAAGCAACATTTTTCGATTTGTGAAGCATCAACAAACAAGGCCGTAGCTAGAAGCCTAATTGGGGGGGTGCATATTCATATATTCGTCTTATGCCCAAATGATTTCTTTTGTATGCTATTGTTCCTATAGTAAATAAACATGAATATATGAATATACACCCCCCCCAATTAAGCGGTCTAGCTACGGCCCTGTCAACAAATTATGTAACGCTATCGGGCTAGCCCACCTTATGTGAATAAGAAAATAAACTAGCCCAGCAAAGCGGGCCAGCCTGGCTCATATGAACAGGGCCTAAGTCACAGAAAACATGATAAGAGTTGGGAAGTAAAGTCACAAATTTAGTCATTTTTTAAAATAGCTCCCTGCATGTTTCAGGGCATAACTGCATAATTAGCATAAATTGTAAATAGTTCAGGTAAGAAAGTAAAAAGCTTTTTACTTTAAATAGAAGCGCATTTGAAAATAAATGCAGATACCAAAATTTTTTAAAAATCCAAAAGTTAATTTAAGCTCAAAAAAAGTAGGTCTGAAAGTTCAGTAGCATTTTAAAAATGTAATGACAGGAAAACGCTAGGGGAAGGAAACATTCTCATGTCCACTGGCATTTAAATAGCGAGAGGAAACATTCAGCCTATTGCTTACTTGCAACGGAGGACAAGCAGTCATGTAGCGTTCGAAACGACTACAATTCGGGGGTACGAAACGACCAGGGATACAAAATGACGATCTTCTTTACTTAAATTCAATCTGCTCACAGTCAATTTAACAACACTTCCAACACTTCGTCGTGTTGTGGATGCAACCACAGAGCCCGAGCCCCGAAGTTGTCGTTTGTCGTTATTCGTCTATAGATGAAATAATCTTGCAAAAATACACTGTCGCATTAGAAAAGCCTACCTTTTATACTTTGAAGTGTTTGCACTACCAAACGCAAGCACCACGCTCAGGGTACAAAATCGACACCACTGTCACCACGTTATGATCGCAAAATATACTGCACAATCTCGTCACTGGGTTGAGATATCGGAAATAGTAATTGTCACGTGATCATTATGACGTACGTCCGTGAGCAGTCACGACTAGAAGTCCGTTGCTTACAACTTTTCCTTTAGTCATAAATCTCAAAATAGCTTTATTCTTCGTTATTTGCTTCTTTTTATATCTTGTCCTTTATATAACATTCACAGATTTAACCACGACTAGAGTAGTAGGTTCTGTAGTATTGAGCTAGTTAATAAGTAATACTAGTATAATGATTGACACGTAGTTGAACATATATAAGACAATAATTGCAATAGGATAGTTAGTTAGTGAGTGATTCGGTAGCAGCAAGACATCGCGTTTGAAATCGAAGAACAAATCCTTATTGGCGGCAAATCGTGTAACAAGTGTGGGAAACCAAACCATTTCGCCACGATGTGTCGATCAACACAGAAACCCGAACGACCACAGAGAAGAGAACACAAAAGTAAACAGAAATACGGACAGAGGCATGTTAAAACGCTAGACACTGAACAACAATCTAGCTCTGACGAAGAGTACATATACGCAGTTAGTGATACGAAAGTGGACAACCAAGTTAGTGTCACCATAGGTGGTAGTAAACTAAAAACAGCTGTAGACACCGGGGCGACGATAAACGTCATCGATTATAACACGTTCGAGAAGATGAAAGACATTAAACTGAAACGTACGAATGTGAAAGCCTTTGCATACAATAGTACAAATCCGGTAGAATTTGTCGGCAAATTTGACGCAGTCATCGAAACAAAGAAGCGTATGACAACTGCTACGATTTATGTTGTTAAAGCACAACAGTGTGGCAATTTGTTATCACTAAACACTGCACAAGAACTTGGACTTGTTAGTCTACATTTAGACAAACTTTCAACAAAAGACAACGCGATAAATCACATCCTTCAAAAGCACTCGACGGTATTTACGGGACTCGGTAAATTCAGGGACGCCCAAATCAAGCTAGACATTGATGAAACGAAAATACCCAAAGCACAACCACAACGACGCATACCCTACCACATCCGAGAAAGGGTAAAAACAGCACTACACGAGCTCGAAGAACAAGATATAATAGAACGGGTACCCGACGATGAAGCGACTCCCTGGGTTTCACCTATAGTTACGGTCCCAAAGAAAGATGGCCAAGTTCGCATTTGTGTCGACATGAGATTACCGAACGAAGCGATTCGAAGAGTACGACACCCAATACCGACTGTGGACGATATAAGCCTCTCATTGAATGGTGCACAGTATTTTTCTAAATTAGACCTAAGTCAAGCGTATCATCAGCTTGAATTAGATGAACAATCGAGGTACATTACAACCTTTAGTACGCACCTAGGCTTATACCGATATAAGCGACTAAATTACGGAACTAATACCGCGGCAGAGATGTTCCAACATACGCTCCAAACAGCACTCCAAGGACTTCCAGGAGTTAAGAATATCGCAGACGATATTGTTATTTTTGGTTCAACAAGACGAGAACATGACGAAAACCTAGACAAATGCCTTCAACGCCTTACCGCGAAAGGACTACGATTGAACCAAAGCAAATGTGTTTTTCTAAAAGACGAACTCTCATTCTTTGGACAGATATTTACGAAAGAGGGGACGAGACCTGATCCCAAGAAAGTCAACGACTTATTAAAAGCACCAAAACCGATGAACACGCACGAAGTTCGTAGCTTCCTCGGAATGGCGAACTATAGCAGCAAATATATACAAAACTTTGCTACTATCACAGCTTCCCTAAGAGAGTTAACGAAGAAAAACATTCGTTTTGAGTGGTCGGAAGTACATCAAGCAGCTTTTGACGAGCTCAAGCAGAAACTTACCTCCGCACCTTGCATGTCGTATTTTGACAAACGAAAAGACACCTACGTCACCGTAGATGCTAGTCCTGTAGGCATCTCCGCCATTCTATCACAGAAACCGCAACACAAAGACGCCGATCATCAACAAGTTATCGCATATGCAAGTCGTGCATTGACGGATACTGAAAAACGCTATTCGCAGACAGAAAAAGAGGCGCTTGCCATTGTCTGGGCAGTTGAACACTTTCATTTGTTTCTTTTTGGAAGTGAGTTTACACTGGTGACGGACCATAAGCCTCTCGAGATAATCTACGGTAAACGAACAGCCAAAACCTCAGCACGTATTGAACGATGGGTTCTCCGTTTGCAACCCTACGCATTTAAGATTGTGTACAAAGCCGGTAGTAGCAATCCTGCAGACTACATGTCACGACACCCCACAGCGGAAAGTTGTCGAAAACAAGAACGAATGACAGAACAATACATTAATTTCATTGCACATCACAGTGTGCCAAAAACAATGACTTTGACAGAAATCCTCGAAGCCACCAACGCTGATGCCACGTTGACACAAGTTCGGGACGCTATACGCACAAACAAATGGGACGCACCTGCCGTAAAACCTTATAAGCCCGTGAAAGACGAACTGACCACGACCCAACACGGTATGATACTGCGAGGAACGAGGATCGTGATCCCTTTGGGTTTACAACAGCGAGCAATAGACTTAGCACATCAACACACCTGGGCATAGACAAGACCAAAAGCCTTATACGCGAAAAGGTATGGTTTCCTCAAATTGACAATCTGGTAAAGACCACAATTGAACGTTGTATCCCATGTCAGGCAGTGGGACGACCAAACCCACCTGAACCCATTACGACTACATCTATGCCAACACACCCATGGACAACCTTACATGTTGACTTCTATGGACCTTTGCCTACGACAGAATATCTACTCGTAGTCATTGATCGATACTCTCGATTTCCCGAAGTAGAAGTGGTACACTCCACGAGAGCATCAGCAGTGATACCAAAACTGGATAAAATCTTTGCGACCCACGGTATTCCAGACGAAATCATCTCAGATAATGGACCACCATTCAACGGTTCTGACTACAAACGATACTTAGACACCTTAGGAATAACACCCAAGTTCTCCACCCCGTTATGGCCCCAAGGTAATGCACAAGCAGAACGCTTCATGCAATGTCTCAGAAAGGTATTGCAAACAGCAAAACTTCAAAGTCGACCGTGGAGACAAGAATTGAGTCGGTTTTTATTACAATATCGTACAACACCTCACAGTTCGACTGGTGTTCCACCTTCCGAGTTATTGTTCAACCGAAAAGTTCGAGGAACATTACCCGTACTGTACAAGAAAATTGTTGTGAACAGACACAACGAAGCGCGTGAAAGAGAAAGAAAACGCCAAGAATATAATGAAGCGTACATAAACAACCGACGAAACACCAAGAAAAGCAACATCACCGTTGGAGATCATGTATTGGTTAAACAGCCAAAACAAAACAAGTTAACATCCCAGTTTAATACAACACCATATCAGGTTGTATACAGAAAGAAGACTGTGATAAAAGCACGGAGTAAAGATGGTCATGTAATAGAACGGAACATTTCCCATTTCAAGAAAATTCCGAAACGTAATGGAAGTGAATCGGACAGTGATGATACGAGCGAGAACAACGATGCCGACAATGAAGAGAACGTGAGAGATACACACTACAATGAAGAAAGAAGAGAGGGTACAGTCAGAAGATCTACCAGAGCGAGGAGAATACCAGAAAGATATGGACAAACATTACCATCAGACATTATTAATAGAGTGGATAATTAAGGACACAAAGACACATAGTGATTACATTTGATTGAACTGATTTAGAAGTAACGTTTAATTTAAATAAGGGGAATGGTGTAGTATTGAGCTAGTTAATAAGTAATACTAGTATAATGATTGACACGTAGTTGAACATATATAAGACAATAATTGCAATAGGATAGTTAGTTAGTGAGTGATTCGGTAGCAGCACAATAAAGAATATATGTATTAAAATAAGAGCAGAAAGAGAATATTAAAGGTTCCTATAATGTGAAAACTTCTAGAGCCAATCAATCAAGACACAAGAGCTTCATGTTTAGTATGTTTGGGTCTCGTCCTCCTTCATCTTCTTACTCGCCCAGAAAGTTCGCATAATTTCTAATAGCCTTAACCAGTTTTACAGTAAAAACCCTGTAAGACTATAGGATGAGGTATGGAAGAAGCAAATAATCGGTATCGGTAAACCGAGTATTTTTTCCATTTCCTGTCTTTCATTGAGTAGTCCTCATAGAGTTCCTGAGTTCGAGCTTCATCCATGTGGCTGAATTCCGTGGCTTAATATTAGGCGTACCTGACTGATGATTTGTCCGCGATGACTTAGTTTGGTCTGCGATGTGTTTGAACATGATGGTGGTTATCGATATTTCTCTGTAACGAATTACGAAATGAAATTGTAACATATGACAACACATGCAACGCTCAAAATTCCATAGTCACATGACGAAATGGGGCAAATTGGAACCAGGTCTGGACTCTTGATGTTAATGATACGTTTCATTATGAATGAGTCTGGGGCTCGTATCTGTGCTAATAATGTAACATGAACACTTGATACTTCTAGAGCCTTCTTGTCTTAGCTTTGAAATTCAAAGAAATCTTAGAAAATGGTTCTATTCCTCCCCTTCATCAATTCCCAGAACCGCATGTCACATGTAGATGATTCAGACAGGGTTTTTACTGACGATTTTTCGGACGAATTAGGCGGCTCAGTCAGTGTGTAACTGATGGTAGGTCCTTAGATGGAGAAAATTAGGCTTCATAGAAGTGATAGAACAGCTTGCTTCCAAAGCACGATATCAATATTGATTTAACACTTCATATTCAACACTTGTGTTGAATATGAAATTTTAAATGTTATGTCCAAACTCACAATAGTGAACATCGAGGTGAACATCGTAAGTCGTAAGAGTTCTGCACATGGAATTTGTGAAAATTTAGGTGCATATAATTACACTCGCTGTTGTATTACTATGTTTTACATACTTCCAATAAACTGGTGACATGCAATGCTACGTGAAATATAGTCATAAATATAGTTTTATTAAGATTGTCCCAGTAAAATTACTTGTTAGCATAAACTGTATTTGTTTATTGATGAGTCCGTATCTCTCAGTTCAGTTTTCAATCTCATCGTCTGATAGGCATGCCTGTCTTCTGAGAACTCGCCTTCCGGGAATGAATACATCCGCTTACCTGCGTACAAAAAAATATTTTGGGTTGTCATGGAGTGATACGTGAGCACATTTTGTCGCTTATGTGGTGATGTCGCAGTGTTTAAGAGTAGATTGCGAGATTATATTAAGTTAGCAAATACTGTGAGTAAAATTCCCTGCGTTAGGAAGTCACGTATAATCAGTACTCCATAGTATAGTTGCTGACTTGCAGCTTTGTTGGAAATAATATGTCACTCAATTGCCGCGCTTCCCGCTGACACCGTTTCATAGCAACGTCCAATAGCGCAACAGTTCACAGACCTTTTGAAATTAATTATTTTGAACCAAATCATAGTGAAATGACCAGTAGAATGTAGTGATTCAAATATTATATGTCTTGGCGGTAAATTCAAATTTATCGAAGTCATTTGTACATAGAAATCTGCAGTTTCGTTATAATTAAGTAAGTACAACTGTATCTACGCTTTTACTCGTATTCAATTCTCTGTTTGTCGACTGGAATGAATTAATGTAAAGTTTATAATATAGTACTGTAGTTTATGCTTTAGTCCTACCTTACGTTAGCCATTTAACCTGAATTAACCATGACTGCTAACTGGCCAAACCTAAGGCATGGATTTAGTTTGATTTGTACGCTTCTATCTTGCAAAGCCACGGCCAACACTTCTATAGTTTGCAAAATTGGACCACTTGCATAATAGACCAACTTGCTTGTGGTGACCTAGGTAACAAGAATGAAAAGTAATACCACAGCTAAAAACAGCATACTGGAATTAGTATAATTGCCGGCAAGAAGTAGGCATTTTTTGTATACTTTTTTACGAACAAGCGGTCTATTAATCGAAGTGAAATTGGGATCGTGCATGGATTCAACAAATTCCGTGTCGTTTAAAAGCGAAAACAGCTTTCTTTGTTGTAGAACTGAAATCTGCTGAGCATTATAAAAATAATTATTTTCATTATTACTAGGAATATGGACTCAAAAATTCCTTTACCCAACAACCTAAAGAATCAATGTCTTCATACACTTCATGATTATGGAGAAACGATCGCCAGTCTTGTCTCAAAGAATGGTAAAGAAGAGAGAGTACAACTTGCACTTCACCGTTTGATAAAAGTGTTTGAGCTCTGGGATTTACCCAGATGCATCCAGCGAGATAATAATACCGAATGGATGATCCGTATACAAGATTTCCAGACACCGGATTACATCACAATAAACCTTTGTCTTCAATCATCAGAAGAATTCAACAGATTTATTGCATTTCTTCGACATCTAATCCTTAACTGGTCTCAAGATATTAAAGTACAAAAACTGTACGAAGGTGACTTGAGTTTTATAGTCACACATCCAGCTCCGGTCCGCCTGTATTTTTTTCCCAAAGATGACACAAATTTGGAAGAACAGTCAAGATTTTCCACCTCTAAGTCGTCTTGTGTTGTTTCAGTATGGAAGGTGGTCGAACATCTGGCCAGAGACTTTGGGTTGTTCGCACTAAATGAGGCGGAAAAGATTTCAAATGATAAAAAAGAAAGTGAAAGTAAAGATATCGCAAGTAGCCATACTCGTGATCCATATGCTGAGTTTCAGAATAATGAATTGATATCAACTGCTGAATATCTTCGCCGCAACTTGTCGTCTGATGAACTTCTGCAGCAACTCAAAAAAGCTTATGTTTCAGCAGTAAACACAAGCAAGAATTTATCATCTCAAATTCAAGGTCACTCGGTTACTCAACAATCTCAGACGTCATTCGCGGAAGTTGAACATTTAAGGGCGGAAAACCGAAACCTAAAGTCGAAAATCGCGACCTTGTGTCAAGAATTCGAAGCGCAAAGAACAACTTTACAGCTGAGAATTGACGAGTTGGTCGACGAGAATAATAGAATAGCGGCAATAATTTCCGAGAAAGACGCTGAGTTACAGGAAACATTCTTAGAACTTGGCCGTGTGAGTGTTGATTTGACAAGAGTTCAGAATGAAAGGAAAAGAAATAAACTATTCAATCAAACCTACAAGTCACATTCTGCATCGACACAGACAGCAGATGCGTCACAATCATCAGAAGCAACTTCACCAGCAAGGAATGATGAAACTTCAGATGAACGCGACAGAGTTCATGAGCAAGAGTCATTTAGCGAAGCAGCAAGTTTAGAATCGATATCACAAAGCGGTGTCCAAGGCAACGTCTATAACAACTATAAACTCTTGTTGTTAAAGCTGTCTGACAATCTCCTCAAGGATGAAGTCGAGAAGTTAAAAAGATGGGCGGAAACGGAGTTTCAAATCGACACTTCAGGAGATGTGAACTCAATCTTCCTGGCATTGGATCGTAAGAAAGTCATCAGCACCACTGAACTAAGTCGACTGAAAGCATTCTTCGAGTCGATCTTGCGATATGATTTCGTCTGTCTTATTGAGAGCTATCTTAAAGGAGATTACAAAGAGCTGAATAATTTCAACCAGTCAAGATCAACGCATCGAGGATCGTCCTCTCAAAGATTGAGACATTTTCCACCACCTCAGTTCTCGTCAGATTTACTATCACTACGAACGACTGCCACGGGGAGCTCACAAGGTCCTGCAAAGCAGTCACGGTTGTCGGATCTTGGTGTGAAATCTCAAGAAGCGACCACGTCCAACTCGATGAATGCAGATACGGCGAGTTCACGACGGTCCACGCAGCGATCCGAAGCTCACGATCGTTCAGATTCACCAAACCATCGTTCTTTGTTGTACAAACCACCCAGGCCAATCCAATCTGACCGTGATCAAGGAGCTACAACACGCGGTGTGCTCGTCACAAACAGTGGAAGAAGACTGGAAAGTGAAGGTTGGTTATATAGATGAGTGAAAAGATTGAAGGATTGCGAATGCGTGTTAGGAAGTATCATCAATTAGTAGGGTTTAGTTTTAGCTAGATTAGTAGGAGAATAAACTACAAAAGAACAGAAAATGATACAAAATGTTTGAGATAGGAGTCTGTCTAAATAACAATGATCGAATTGTTATTTATTATCGAGTTTTTCTCTCCGACAGTTCAAGCCAGCGATTCAACGGTACGCGCCGACAGGACGAATACGTCACGTAGTACAAACTCTGGCAGCAATGGACAGAAGCTATCGAAGTTTCAACGTCCAAATTCTTCAGGAAATACGAGTACGGAGAGTCACGGACCTGAAGATGATAGTCAATGGCTGTGCAGCCATTACAAACGACGATGCTATGTCCAGTTTGAATGCTGCAACAAGTTTTGGCCGTGCCATCGTTGCCATAACAACCAGAGCGCGTGTGGCAGGAGGAAGCTGAAGTCACGTGATACGAAGCGGATCAAATGTGCTTCTTGTAACCGCGAACAAGAGGTAGATAGCGCTTTATGCTTTGCAACAACTTTTGAATCAGCTGAAAGTATTTCTTGATGACAGTGTAGTTTATGGTGTATAGTTCGGCTATGTACAATCTGGACCATTCTGGTCTCAATCTGGTCTCAATTGTTCATTTTAGTTCGCACACTATTGCTCGGATTGTAACACGAAATTTGCAAGATATTTCTGTGCGTTATGCAAACATCTGACTGGGACAGATGATAATCCTTATCACTGTGAAAAGTGTGGTATTTGCAGGTAAGATGAAAGAAAACACTGTATAGAACTGTCAGAGGAAAATAGCTATTCTTAGAGGAGTCCTTTAGTCAACCGTTCAAATGCTCCTGATTATTTTCCTATTGTTTTATGGTACATTATTGCTTCAGAATCCACGGTGATCGTTCATTTCATTGTGATATCTGTGGTGTGTGTCTGGATGTCCAACTTCGTGGAAATCACAGATGTCGTGAAGGATCTGCTCACGATGAATGTTGCATATGTTTGGAGGTAATGTATCAATTAGGTGTTCTAATTAAGATAAGTTTGATAATTGCCATGTTTGAGCTAGGATAACCGGGTTTTTCTATCCGACGTCTAAGATGAAGATAACCTCAAACGGTATTTCCCGAGGCTTCTCTCTCTGGGAATCTCTAGGGCGGCTACGCATGCAGGCTTGGTAACTTAATCTTTTATTTCCTCCAGGATGCTTTCACAGGATGTCAAATCTTACCATGTTCTCATAAAGTACACAAGGAATGCGCAACTCAAATGATAAGAAGTGGAATGTAAGTGTCATGATTGACAACAATTTAATAACAATACCATCATAGTCCTGACTCATGATCTCTTTCTCGGCCTGTAGAACACGATGCCCAATATGTCGGGAAAGTTTTGCACATAAACTTGAAAGAAGACCAACACCATCAAAGAAACCACCGTAGAAACCAAACTACAAGAAGCCTGTATATTTATGCCGACATAAAGGAAAATAGGACACTAGTACTGGTGACAACACATATTCAGATTGATGTTCATGTTAACTGTTGTGTTGGGGTGATTGTAATTTTTTAAAAGCATAATAATAATAAAGTCCTGTGCACAATATGTATTGTTATATTGATACTGATTACATTAAATAAATTGCAGAATCGTTGTTTGCAGTGGTAAGGTTGTTAGTTAGGGTATATCTCTCCCTTTATGTATTATGGAGTATGGTTATAGCGTTCTGGTGATCCATGATCCATCCCAGGCAGTGATCCACAGGCATAGTGCCTGGACTGTCCAATAGAACCTAAAATAGTGAAAAATATTTCATGATCGTAACGAGATGACTTCTGATTGGCTGATCATTGGCGGCACTTGATGGCGGGAAAGTAATGCTTCAAATGCGCGTGCGCAATGTTGATCACAATCCGCGTATTTCAAGATGGCGGACAATGAGGTGTTTCTTTCTGTAGCCTTGTTGCTCCTAAAATTTTACTTGTATGGATTAAAATGGGCTGTTTTGATAGGTATAACTATCATCTTTTGTTTTGCTTTATTAAATTATCATGGATATAAGAATGATACCAGGGTCACGTATGAACATTCGCCCAATGATTCCACCTTAAAAACATACCACCCTCAGTACCCTGCTTCTGCTGCAAGTCCTCATGGAATTTATGATACAGTTGACTCAGGAGCTTTTTATGGTACGACATCTCTCAGAAGAAATACATCTTTTCCACGAGAAACGCCGTACAGTGACACTATGCACAGTCGACAAGCAAGAACGTCAAGAACTGACTCGAGTCTACGATCCCCTGAGCCACTACTGTCACAAGTGACAAGACATCTTTCCTTCAAGTAAACTATAACTCTTGTTGTTTACTATAAAAATATGTCCACTTTTATTAACACAATGGCTGATAGTATTGCAATTGTTTTCAGTTTGCCATCGGACAAGCATAACGCTAGTGTAACCAGTTCGTGTGAAAGAACCGTTAATAATAGACCTAGCCGTTACAGATCTTCAAGAAGTAAAGCATTTCTTGATCTCATGCGCCTTGGCTACTTCAAGATATACGGATTACCATGTGCGTATTGGTAGCCGGCATTCATGCGGTTGTCAAGATTATGTTAAATGCCGTGGGAAACAAGCGTGCAAACATATTTTGTGGACATTGCTGTTCGTATGTGGTATCCAAGAAGATAGTGAAATGCTGCAACAAGTATCTTTGACCGTTGAAGAAATTCGTCATATTACAGCTAATACCCCAACTAACATTCCTGCATGACCAATTGAAGGCGATTGATCAGACTAATCAACCAAGCCAACTGAGTAGGGCTGACAAAACAGCCAACCTTTTAGAAAATGATTCTCGTCACAACAACCCGCAAATATGGTGTCTTGAAAGAAAGGAGAAGAAAAGAGGACAAATTCCAAGATACCGAGGTCGCAGGAGTGAAAAGAAAGATGGAGAGCTTTGCTTATCTGTTACTGGCCTTTATGTACCATATGAACAAAACTTTGTCGTGGAGACAAATTTTTATTTTTGTCCAAGCCTCAAATGTATCAGCCGCCTACCTCCTTGGACTAATCTGAAACAATCTCAAATAATCCATGCCAAAAATACTGTATCGGAAGAAGATCTTGGTAGGCTTGATTTAGGGCAGATCAAAATTGTTTTTTTTCTAGCTCTTCATTCCTAAAATGAGGTTATGAGAACAAATAGCTAAAAGAAACTCTGTTATAAGGGGTGTCAAGTTATAGGTATCATACGTCAATAAGTTATATTGTGACGCTTATCTTTTGCATTAACAATATTTTGAAAGTTTAGCATTTTACATTGCCAAGGTACATTTTGCATAAAAACTTTTTATAATCGGTTTCGTATGAAGCCACTGTTTTTTTGTTATTAGAATAGAGACGCGCTTGTTTCGCAAAATACCCACCCATGCGGACATTTTATTCTTCGGAAGACCAACGAAAATACCGTAACCTGCAAAAAAGCGGAAAAACCACGTGAAAAAAACCCCCGACCCGCGAAAAAAACCCGCGACGCGCGACAATTAGATTATCTCGGCTAAATATATCATATAATAATAACAAGTCAATACTAAATGCTTCTACTGGATCATTACCTCTTGGGCCGTCTATGACACCTCAAATAATATGTCACTCAATTGCCGCGCCTCCCGCTGACACCGTTTCACAGCCTAGTCCCAGGCCTCTCATTGCGCGTGTTTTATATTTCCGTGACGTCACCGAATGAAACGCGCGCGAGAGTTCCCGCCTCTCCGTTCTAAACACGTGTTTTACTACGCTCTGATTCGATACAAGTCATCGCGCTGTTTCTGCCAGCGCGGGAACAAATATATATTAAAATGGACATCGAAAAATGTGGACAAACTAAAGATTTTATTACTGACATGAACTGACAGGTTTATTATTTTATTTTCGTAGTAATATTTTTGTTATTTATACATTCCAATATGAAATTTTACAAATGTTTGAATGTTTAATGTTTTGGCACTATCGTCGGATATTTTGAAGACAACTAGGAATTTATGGACAACAATTTGACTTTTCTAAACCCTGAACTGATGAATTGCAGCAGGTATGTAATCAGTATTCAGTATGTGATGTTGTCTTCAGGACTTTATATCTTTTCATTCAAGTTATCAACTTGTACCTCAATGAGCTATAAACGTTTTCAGCATTGTCTAATTGCATCCCTGGACCCCTGGTCATAGTAAAGAATAACATTTATCCCTCCATAGGCTCCACTGATTAGCCTAATAAATATAGCCCTCTTGGAGGTTGAACAGAAACAGAAAATTATAAAAGTTGCTGCAGATTGAAGACACACTGCTCAGTCAATGCATGTTTATATTTATTTCATTAATTAATAAATATAACAATTGGTATAAAAACACCAGCCAACAACAAAAATCAGATAACATGGTAATTAAGAATAACAATAATGCACATTCATAAAATGCATGAACTTCATCCTGAAAAATAAAAATGGAGATATGATCAAAATTTATTCACAAGGTGCAAGAAGCTAAAAAATAAATTATAAGCTACGATAATTGATCATTTGACTTTGGATTTGACAAGGCAAACAAGACAATATATTAACTAAGCTTTAAAGACAGGTTACAGCGGCTTCTGCGCATGTGCGAGCTTTTGTTTACATTTTTTGTTTTGGTCTTAATCCATTTCATTTGCGCAATATGAAGTATCCTCAAAACTGAATTAGAATGGAGGACGCATCAGGAGTGGAGCTTCTCAGCATTATAAAACAATTCAAAAGTTGACTTTTAAAAGACAAGGGATTAATTCTTTTGAAAAACTACCATTGGAAGATATATCGTCGATCACCTCGGCATTTTTTGTGCGTGTATCGTTAATGAAACATTCAAAAGAAGCCGATAAAACCTATCAGTGTTTTTGTCGCAATGACGCATCCTCTGGTTTTTAGAAATATCGAAATTTCTTGTCTTAAAGTTTACAAACTAAATCTTGAGTAGTTTTTCCTTCAAACACATGCATCGAAGAAGATTTTGATGACTGTATGATCAGTCGAATGTTCAAGAGAGCGGCAGTGACCAGATGGTAAGTTTGTAGAGATTTTGTCAAAGTTTGAGATACTGTATATGTTTACTGTGATTGTTGGATTATTGAATTTGGATAAAGGATGAAAGTGAGCTCATTTCAAGTAAAATTGGAAGTTTATAAAATACATCTGGCTTATCTTTATACTGTGTTATTGAAGGATTCAGAATTATACTCTAATTGAGACCTGTGAAGTGAACAAGGCAATCATGTTGCAAGGAAGGGACTAAAGATTGAATTCAATGAATGATGAATTTACAGGTGGACGGTGGACCCATCAACCAGACCCGGAAAATGTTCCAGTGTAGTAAATGTTGCTGGCTGTGTTGCAATGCTAAAACAAATGTTCTAGACCTTGTCCATGTGTTACAGATATAATCAGATCTCCTCATATTAAAGGGAGGATCATCTTAGATATTTTAAAAGAAAAAACTTGGGTAATTAGCACCTGCTAGTTATATTGCAATGTGCAATATTTAAAACATACTTTACGCCATATGGATAATACAGTAGAATATATCCAACAGGTTTGGGGAATTTTCAATTACAATCATCATGTTAGATTATATAGTGATATATGCATGGCTGGGGTTTGAAAAAGAAGAATATATAGTAAATAAGAACATAATTATATTTGCTTGGTTGCTATTAAAACAAATTTTAATTAAAATCCTCAGCATGTTCATGTCTTATGGTACTATTTTATTTCATAAGGAGCAATCCATAAAATACATATATCAGATGTTCAAATATATATAAACACAACAACTAGTGCATTGATTTTTTTGTTTGTTCTTAAGTTGTTTATTCTTGATGCACTAAAAATTAGAGCTTGACAGTTGACAGAGCTGTATTTCTGGGTAACACTGAACCACAGTAATCTACTAATCCAATTTCTATAGTTTAGGATTGCAAAACATACTTTTTCTTTTAGGGGGTCTGCCTTTCAGTGCTTATAAGTTGCAACTACCCAGAGCCATATTTTTAAAATGCTAGACACTTGCATGTCTGTAGTCTGCTTGACTGATGGGTTTTAATCAGTTCTAATCAAAATGGGAGGACTTCAGGATATATATGTTAAGTCCAATTTGGCTTCTCCCAGTCCGAACAGTTCCGTACATCCAGACTACCCTGCGAAGTATTATTACTAGAAAGCATAATCCACGCGTGCCACCAATTACTCGCTCTTCCGTGTAACAAATAGTTTTTAAACTTTGAGTCAAAATGTGCGCCAATAATATAAAGGATTCGTACCCGACATGTTGCACTTTATTTCTGCTTCATTTTAAAACATTTGCTCGAAGCAATATTCACGAAAATACACTTCACACGCATCTATATTAGATATAAAATTTATTCATTGACGGTATTGCTTCTTTTGATAAGAAATGTATGTAAAGTCAATCTTGCCTGAATTGTAAACACTAGAACTAAGCATTAATTATTAAACATGGTATAACAACTTCCGGTGGAGTCCCTACTCACGCACGCGCAGAAACCGCTGTAACCTGTCTTTAACAGCCACTATCAGAGGTTGAAATTTTACACTGTTTACAGCATCTTATTATTTTGTATCAGCACCCACTCAACACTTTTGCAATCAGATCATGTTAATTGATGATGGGTGGGATAAATAGAAGAGTATCTATAGTAGACTCACTGGGGGAATGCTTTACCTATTAACATTGATGTTTGCTAATTGCTGTCATGAAAACAACATAGACCAAACTCAAAAGATTGACACTGCCAGGAATTAAATTTCCTTCCCCACACAAGGCAAGAAAAAATGATAAAATTTGGGTATATAACAGTTGCACTGACAGCACTGTAATGTACCGAAGGTCGAAAATAGTATATTTGCTGTTTGTACCACACGTTTTGATGGATTTATTGTCGCTTTGGTGATCAGTTTATACTATAGTAGTCCAAACTCGAAAGGCAAAAAAAGAAATTGTTTATAATATAAAAAAGTTAAAAAACGGCTTACCTGCAAGAAGATCGCATGCACTTCTGTAAAGTCACAAGTGTAAATGAGACTTAGCAAATACAACTGGTGTTTCTTAGTTTCTACATAGATTATATTATTAAAACTAACCTCTATACAATAACTGAATGCAACGTTATATATTTTACTATTGAAGCGCCTGGGTACGAGGCTGGTCGCCAGTCATGTCTCAAAGAATGGTAAAGAAGAAAAGAGAGTACAACTTGCACTTCACCGTCTGATAAAAGTGTTTAAACTGAGAACTGAAACCTGCTGATTAAAATGTGTTTAATCATCATTATTTTCATTATTACCAGGAATATGGACTCAACAGTTCCTTTACCCAACAACCTAAAGAATCAATGTCTTCACACACTTCATGATTATGGAGAAACGATCGCCAGTCTTGTCTCAAAAAACGGTAAAGAAGAGAAATTACAACTTACACTTAACCGTTTGATAAAAGTGTTTGGGCTCTGGGATTTACCCAGCTGCATCCAGCGAGATGATAATATCGAATGGATAATCCGTATACAAGATTTCCAGACACCGGATTACATCACAATAAACCTTTGTCTTCAATCATCAGAAGAATTCAACAGATTTATTGCATTTCTTCGACATCTCATCCTCAACTGGTCTCAAGATATTAAAGTACAAAAACTGTACGAGGGTGACTTGAGTTTTATAGTAACACATCCAGCACCGGCCCGCCTGTATTTTTTTCCAAAAGATGACACAAATTTGGAAGAACAGTCAAGATTTTCCACCTCTAAGTCGTCTTGTGTTGTTTCAGTATGGAAAGTGGTCGAACATCTGGCCAGAGAATTTTGTTTGTTCGCACTGAACGTGAAAGAAAGTGAATGTAAAGACATCGCAACTAATGCTGAGGTTAAGAATAATGAATTGATATCAACTGCTGAATATCATCGCCGCAACTTGTCGTCTGATGAAGCAACTTCACCAGCAAGGAATGATGAAACTTCAGATGAACGCGACAGAGTTCATGAGCAAGAGTCATTTAGCAAAGCAGCAAGTTTAGAATCGATATTACAAAGCGGTGTCGAAGGCAACATTGATAACAAATATAAACTCGCGTTGTTAAAGCTAAGCGAGCAGTTAAAAAGATTGGCGGAAACGAAATTTCAAATCGACAGTTCAGGAGATGTGCACTCAATCTTCCTGGCATTAGATCGTAAGAAAGTCATCAGCACCACTGAACTTAGTCGACTGAAAGCATTCTTCGAGTCGATCTTGCGATATGATTTCGTCTGTCTTATTGAGAGCTATCTTAAAGGAGATTACAAAGAGCTGAATAATTTCAACCAGTCAAGATCAACGCATCGAGGTTCGTCCTCTCAAAGATTAAGACATTTTCCACCACCTCAGTTCTCGTCAGATTTACTATCACTACGAACGGCTGCCACGGGGAGCTCACAAGATCCTGCAAAGCAGTCACGGTTGTCGGATCTTGGTGTGAAATCTCAAGAAGCGACCACGTCCAACTCGATGAATGCAGATACGGCAAGTTCACGACGGTCCACGCAGCGATCCGAAGCTCGCGATCGTTCAGATTCGCCAAACCATCGTCCTTTGTTGTACAAGCCACCCAGGCCAATCCAATCTGACCGTGATCAAGGAGCTACAACACGCGGTGTGCTCGCCACGAACAGTGGAAGAAGACTGGAAAATGAAGGTTGGTTATATAGATTAGTGAAAATATTGAAGGATTGCGAATACGTGTTAGGAAGTATCATCAATTAGTAGGGTATAGATTTAGCTGGATTAATAGGAGAATAAACTACAAAAGAACAGAAAATGATACGAAATATTTGAGATAGGAGTCTGTTTTCAATGATCGAATTGTTATTTATTATCGAGTTCTTCTCTCCGACAGTTCAAGCCAGCGATTCAACGGTACGCGCCGACAGGACGAATACGTCACGTAATACAAACTCTGGCAGCAATGGACTGAAGCTATCGAAGTTTCAACGTCCAAATTCTTCAGGAAGTACGAGTACGGAGAGTCACGGACCTGAAGATGATAGTCAATGGCTATGCAGACATTACAAACGACGATGCTACGTCCAGTTTGAATGCTGCAACAAGTTTTGGCCGTGCCATCGTTGCCATAACAAGCAGAGCGCGTGTGGCAGGAGGAAGCTGAAGTCACGTGATACGAAGCGGATCAAATGTGCTTCTTGCAACTGCGAACAAGAGGTAGATGGCGTTTTATGCTTTGCAACAACTTTTGGATCAGCTCAAAGTACTTCTTGATGACAGTGTAGTTTATGGTGTATAGTTCGGCTATGTACAATCTGGACCATTCTGGTCTCAATCTGGTCTCATTCTCAATCTGGTCTCAATTGTTCTTTAGTTCGCTCACTATTGCTCGGATTGTAACACGAAGTTTGCAAGATATTTCTGTGCGTTATGCAAACATCTGACTGGGACAGATGATAATCCTTATCACTGTGAAAAGTGTGGTATTTGCAGGTAAGATGAAAGAAGACACAATATAGAAGTCAACCGTATAGTCAACCGTTCAAATGCTCCTGATTATTTTTCTATTGTTTTATGGTAAACTTTCAGAATCCACGGTGATGGTTCATATCATTGTGATATCTGTGGTGTGTGTGTTTATTTCCAACTCCGTGGAAATCACATATGTCGTGAAGGATCTGCTCACGATGAATGTTGCATATGTTTGGAGGTAATGTATCAATTAGGTGTTCTAATTAAGATAAGTTTGATAATTGCCATGTTCGAGCTAGGATAACCGGGTTTGGCTATCCAACGTAAGGTGAAGATTACCTCAAAAGGTATTTCCCGAGGCTTCTCTCTCTAGGAATCTCTAGGGCGGCAGCGCATGCAGGCTTGGTAACCTAAGCTTTTATTGCCTCCAGGATACTTTCACAGGATTTCAAATCTTACCATGTTCTCATAAAGTACACAGGAAATGCGCAGCTCAGATGAGTAAAAGTGGAATGTAAGTGTCATCATTGACAAAAATTTAATCACAATACCATCATAGTCCTGACTCATCTCTTTCTCGTCCTGTAGAACACGATGCCCAATATGTCGGGAAAGTTTTGCACATAAACTTGAAAGAAGACCAGCACCATCAAAGAACCCACCGTAGAAACCAAACTATAAGAAGCCTGTATACTTTGGCCGACATAAAGGGAAATAGCACACTAGGACAATACATATTTAGATTGATGTTTATGTTAAGGTTGGGTTTGTAATTTGTGCGCAATATGTATTCATACTTCTTTGCCGTCGATATACACAATATAAACAATCATTGGTAGCAGTGTCAAGTATAGCTCAATTAACAGTGAATTTGCAAAAAGATCATTTTCGACGATGCAAAATAGGAGTATGGTTATAGCGTACGGACTACTACTATGGGGTGTGATATCCGCCAAAATTCATCCTTTTAATTATCAGTGATCCTAAGGCATAAGGCTTGTGACTGTCCAACGGTACCTAAAGAGTAAGAAATAGTGAAAAATATTTCGTGATCATAACGATATGACTTCTGATTGGCTGATCATTGGCGGCACTTGATGGCGGGAAAATAATGCTTCAAATGCGCGTGCGCAATGTTGATCACAATCGCCGTATTTCAAGATGGCGGACAATGAGGTGTTTCTTTCTGTAGCCTTGTTGCTCCTAACATTTTACTTATATGGATTAAAATGGGCTGTTTTGATAGGTATAACTATCATCTTTTGTTTTGCTTTATTAAATTATCATGGATATAAGAATGATACCAGGATCACGTATGAACATTCATCCAATTCACCCAATGATTCCACCTTAAAAACATCCCACCCTCAGAACCCTGCTGCAAGTCCTCATGGAATTTATGATGCAGTTGACTCGGGAGCTCTTTATGGTACGACATCTCTCAGAAGAAATACATCTTTTCCACGAGAAACGCCGTACAGTGATACTATGCACAGTCGACAAGCAAGAACGTCAAGAACTGACTCTAGTCTAAGATCACCTGAGCCACTTCTGTCACAAGTGACAAGACATCTTTCCTTCAAGTAAGCTATAACTCTTGTTGTTTACTATTAAAAATATATGCACTTTTAATAACACAATAGTTGATAGTACTGCAATTGTTTTAATATAGGCCAGAGGTATTTTGCCATATAATTTCCAGGTAGTTGGGTTAAAATCTCTGTTACTTTAATTACAGCAATACATCATGCTACTATCCTGACAAAACAAGACTAAATCTATCATATAATAACAACAAGTCAATATTAAATGCTTCTACTGGATCATTACCTCTTGGGCCTTCTATGACGCCTCAATGGTACACTCCAGATACAGAATTGCCACAGCAAGGACCATCACTGGAGAAAACATCTTATTTTACACCAGAAAGATACGCCAGTCCAGAGCAATTTAGTGCTATAAACCCTCAAAGAAATGTCCCTCTCAATACATCAACTGTAAAGATTTGTCGCCCTGGTAGTGGAGAGAATGACTCTCGCTTTTCACTGTAAGTGTGTGAAGAACACATACATAAGTTCAAGAAAGATTACAAAACTTTCAGTTTAAAAAAATGGTCCATTTTTTCCTTAGTGAATCAATTCTTCATAAGAGATTGGAAAGGACCAGGGATAATCCATGCAGCAGGCAGTCTGTTTTGTCTGCTCTTGGTAAAAAAAACAGGTAAAAGTCATATTTCTTGGTAAAAAAAACAGGTAAAAGTCATATTTTTTCTATACTTGTTTTGCCAATTCTTTATTAAGATTGTAATTTTTATAGAAAACGAACAGCATATGACTCTGATATGGTGGAATCATATTCAGTAAAGAAAAGGTAGGGTAAACATGCTATCCTTAGGATTAACATCCACATGACACCGCAGAAATTGGTGTTAAGACGTTTCAACCTGAAAATCTAATCGCTGGTTCACAATTGTGCATTTCTGTATCGCCCTATCAAAGAGAAACCTTTTGAATATCTTAAAAAAGTTCAATTTTTCTTCTGAATACGCATTCTGCAATCTTCTGACAGCTCATCATACACATCTGACCGCTGTGAAATGGCCATTTTGAGGCTTAAAGTATACACAAGGTTATTAATTCAGACGATTCGTTTTTACCGTGAGCAAGCTTCAAATCTTTTGTGCAAGACATATTTTCTTGAATATTTATAAATCTTTTTCCTCACCAAGTTTGAAGTCTAAGTATCGAGAATTGCGGCTAAGCCTATACCAATTTCCGCGGTGTCCATCCACATCCTCTACTGTCCACTATTCCCTCCTCTATCCATTAACGCCGCTACCTATGTGATTAACACTCTGACATTCTTATTGATAGACGGTGCGATGATCTTGATGATTTTCTTGATGCAGTGAACAATCCAGCTTCATCACCCACAGCACTTTACACTGGTGTAAAATCATTAAAAAGACCATATTCTAACCCAAGTCATGAAAAACTAGAACCTTCAGAATTCACCAAAAAAAGAAACAAAGATAATGAAAGTGACAACCAATCAAGTCCATCTGTGTACGTTTTGATTAAACATAATGAAATTGCAAATGTTTTACCAATTTTAATATTTATTTTATGTGATTCAGGAGGAATCCAGTTGTCAGTGCATTTGAAGATAGTGGTGTTGATGTAAACTCTCCAAAAAAAAATCTGCAAGAAAATGTTTTGAATCAAAATTCTCAAGGTATATAATATAGTATTTTTTATTCCTCTTTCATTTGTAATTCACAAGGATAGAAAATACAGCTGACTTATTAGCCCCTGCTGAATTAGGGGAGTGAAAGGTATTTGCCATGAAAAATGTTTGAGCTAATACAACGTCACATTGTCTCACACTATTGAGCACAAGTCAAAATGCTGAAGTGAGCATAATGCCTAACACCCAAGTGTTTCCATTTTTAGCAAAGGTGGTTAAACCAACGAAAATAAGAAAGCGAAAATCAGTGACATTTTCAGACAAACTTCCGTCTGCAAAACAAACATCAGAAGATGGAAGAATACATGAAACAAATGAAGATTCACCACCAGAAAATACTTCGCCAGTTTTTCATGTAAGTTTCCGAATGTAATTGCAATCGTTTCTTCTCAAAGATGCGATTTTTTTATTGTTATTTTTTAGACTAATTTTTCCCCACGAAAGTCACTGACACCAGAATACCTGTCATCAATATCAAGTCGGATAGAGGTAAGCAGCTAAGACTGGCAGGGCAAATGCGGCTGAGAAATGGCAGGGCAAATTTCCATACACGAAATGATTTTAATTTTCTAGAGAAAGAAATCACCACGACGTCTTCATCGTTCAAATATATCTTTAAAAGATCTCGAGGAGAACAGGAAAGAGGCCTGGAGACGATCACAAAAACTTCTTGACGAGATTGAGGACTCGTTATCGAAGGAGAGAGGTAATATCCTAGATGATATCCTTGCAATATTCCTGTTATCATTTAGTTCTTCTTGTTGCTTGGAAATCTTTGAGAATTTGAAAGAGTCAGGTAATCAAAATCACGTGTTTGAATTCTTAGAAACAACGCCTTCGCCTGCGGTAACGACAACTCTAACAACAACAGTGACGTCACCTCTTACATCACATATGACGTCACTTCCAACGTCAACCATATCTTCCGGCATCCAGCTGGTTACGTCAGGTCAAGTCTCAGCATCAAATACTCTTGCATCTAATATTATACCAACAAAAACAACGCAAGCAACGAATACAGTCGGATTAAATACATTTGCTAATACTGAGAAGAACAGCGCACCACAAAGTGGGATAACTAGTGGATCGATAGGGACAACAAGTGGTTTTACATTTTCTGCCCCTCAAAATCCTCCAAAGTCTTCTTCTACTACCGGGCTATTTAGTGGAACTTTAAATGCGACTGCAGTATCCTTGGCAGCACCACCGTTGGTATCAAACAATACGTCAAGTAAAGCAAGTACATCTAGTCAACAATCATTCAGTTTCCAGGCTCCAAGTAGCTCAACCCGCCCGGCTCTGCAAAGCGCGGGAACTTTACAAACTATCACAACAGGACACGAGGTGACACAAACGATGGCTTCTGTCACTCAGAGCACGGCCACTGGTCTTTTCAAGTTACCGACAGGTACAACGTCATCGTCTACCCAGCCAAAAACTGGAGGATTTTCATTTGGTTCAACAGTTAAAAATACTCATGTCGAGGGAAGGACAACGGCTCAAACCGGTTCAACTTTCACTGCGCCCACGACAGAGAAACCTAATACCAGCGGTGGTTTCACCTTCACTGCCACCACGACAGAGAAACCTAATACCAGCGGTGGTTTCACCTTCACTGCGCCCACGACTGAGAAACCTAATACCAGCGGTGGCTTCACCTTCACTGCGCCCACGACAGAGAAACCAAACTCCAGCGGTGGTTTCAACTTTAATGTGCCCACGACAGAGAAACCAAATACCAGCGGTGGTTTCAACTTGACTGCGCCTACGGCAGGGAAACCAAACTCCAGCGGTGGTTTCAACTTGACTGCGCCTACGACAGAGAAACCAAACTCCAGCGGTGGTTTCAACTTGACTGCGCCTACGACAGAGAAGACAAATACCAGCGGTGGTTTCAACTTGACTGCGCCTACGGCACAGAAACCAAATACCAGCGGTGGTTTCAACTTGACTGCGCCTACGGCACAGAAACCAAATTCCAGCGGTGGTTTTAACTTCACTGCGCCTGGGACCGAGAAACCACAAGTTAACAGCGTTTTCACCTTCAGTGCTTCCACAAATGGTAAAGAAAATGCACCTAGTACGATTTCATTTACGGCAGCTACGACAGAAAAACCGAAGGTCAGCGGCGGCTTTAACTTTTCTACTCCCGTTCCTGGCAAAGAAAGTGGTGCGTTTCAATTTAATGCACCTGCAATGAGCAGCGGAGGATTTGCATTTAATGCGAACGTTGCTAGCAAGCCATCTAACAGTGGTTTCAATTTTCAAAATCAGAGCACTCCTTCAACATTCCAGTTCGGCGGTAAGCGCATGAATGAATTATATCGGTTACGATTGAAGCAGTATTTATTATACAGCCTTGTTTCTCTCTATTTCAGCTTCGCCACTTCCTGCACCCGCAGGTGGTATCAATTTCGCGGGTGGATTTGCGTCGTCCACTCCAATACCCACAAACTCGGGCAGAACAAACAACATGTTGGCAAAGCCGAGACAAAGAAGAATTCGAAAAAGATAACATATTATATTCATTATCTAAAATAAAAATGACAAAAATAGAACTATTTTTAAGTACATATTATATTCGTATTATGTAGATAGTTACAGTAAAATTTACGAATCTTGGGTTCTCTGTTTTCTCGAGGACGGAAAGAGGAAATTGGTAACTAGTTATCAACACTGAGCTATGTAATAACTGTGATAACATTTCAAATAAATGAATATTCATTTCTATTCATTTCATCCAGTGATTTCATCTTCTTTTATCTCATCCTTTCAATAATTTACAATCACGATTTTTACGACATTGCAAATGTGGTTTTTTGCGTGTGTCTTTATTACCATCTTAGCTCAGATGCGTGGCCAAGACGAGAGTATTAAGGATATCAACAAAGGTATATTTTTCCTGGGATCTTTAACTGAACTATTGTAGTTTTTTACAAAGAAACTGACGAAGTGTTGATCGCTGTTTCTCTTAAGAGATTATGCTACTACATTCAATGTGCTTCAACTAAAGATTCTTGGTAAAATCTTTCGATTGTGCAGACAGATTGTTCATTTATTCCTAATTTTGTATTTTTCAAATAGAGTTTCAATAAATTATTGAAAAACACGATGCAGCTGTTTGACAGGTGCATGCAATGCCTATTGTAGTAATATTTTTTACCTTTGTGGTTTGAAAACTGCCAGAACTTAAAATTTAATTGCAGTTTATAACATGCTAGTGTTTCTCAGCCAAACCTAAAGATGTCCAAGAAAAGCTGATTCTATGAAAATTTAAATCAGCTTTGTTTGAGAATTGTGATTCTGGGGTGCATTGCATAAGAGTTGTAACAGTATATCAATATACTTTTCCTCCAGGTCATCTTGAGGCTATTGGTTCTCAAGGAACGTTATTAGGAAGCATACCTGAAATAGCATTTGCCCCAGATGGAAGATATTTCTATAAACATTTCCTCCGTGGTCGTCGACCTGTGGTAATACGCAATGCTGCAAGTCATTGGCTTGCTCTGAGAAACTGGCCTAATGAAACCTATCTGAATGCGACCTATGGAGAACTTCCATTTACCGTACATTTATGTAAAGTTTACAGGGATTCCATATGTGTTTACAAAGACATGAACTTCTCTGATTTCCTGGAAAATTATAAAGAACAAGCTATATATTTGGATTCACAGTTTCCACCCTCAAATCTAATAAATGAGATTAATTTACCTCCAATACTCCAGTGTGGAGAGATCAGTTCTACTATTAGCGATGTTAATCTTCTGATGAACAGTGGAAATTCCAGCTCACCTTTGCATCATGATGGATATGAGAATATACTTGCAATAGTTTCTGGGACAAAGAAAGTCATTATATTTAATAGCTCGTACAGTCAACATGTTTATGCTGATAATTTTAATGCATTGCCAGGACTTTCACCAATTGATCCTCAAAAAGTTGATTTGGAGAAGTTTCCTAACTTTGCAGATATCATGTATTATGAGTCAGACCTACATCCAGGTAAGTGTAGGTATTATAGCAATAGATCTCAGATTTAAGGTGGTCACAAGAAGGTTAATGGTTAATGGTATTGATGATATTTTCAGGAGATATTCTGTACATTCCTCAGTATTGGTGGCATTATGTTGCATCAAGCCGTTCGCCAAATATTGCTGTCAATATCTGGTTTGAAATGTTTAATTATGAGGAGCAGTTTAAGAGTGCTGGTCTCAAAGAGAGTCAGGATGTTGCTAAGGTATAGAAAGTAAACAATTTTGAAGAATTTAAGAATTTTGTGTGATTAATTTTATGTTTCTTTCAGACAGCAGAACTCTTTGAAAAGTTGGTCAATGAAGAACCAGAGAGTATTGCATGTAATGAACAATCCCCTCCTCTTGACCAAGTTTTAAAAATTGTTTTAAATGATAGTTCATCCGCATCATTGAGAATACCAAAAGTGGCAAAGAGACCCGATGATTTCAAACTGATAACTGGCTACAAAAGTGAGTTTGAGGTGAAAAACCTATGAAGTTCCAATCATCTCTTCTCTAGCAGTCTGAGTTTCTGCAATGACTCTATGGTATGGAGTGCGCCAGCTTAGAGAGTTCAAATCCTGCTTCAGACAACAAATGCGTCGTATTTTTTAGTGCCTCCCTTGGGTTTTGGGACAGCAGCGCTTCACCCTGATGACAGATTACCAGCAATTCTGACAGCCTTGGATTCAGGTTATAGGTATGAATATTGAATGAAAACATGTTGATTGTATTGCTATTCTATGGCGTATCAACATGCTCGCCTTTCTTGATTATAGATTGTTTGATACAGCGCAGATATATGGAAGCGAGGCTCCTTTAGGCGCTGCGATCAAGGAACGAAATATTCCACGAGGAGATATTACTATAGTTACCAAACTTCATCCCCAGTACCATGGTTATGATTCCACAATTGCCGCAGTCCAAGAGTCTCTGGAGAATCTTCAAACTGACTATATCGATGTTTTCCTTATTCACACAAAATACTGCGACAACGGTTACTTCAGGTGTCCTGAAGGTTTGCCTTTGATTCTTACGTTATGTTCAAATCTTTCGCTAGCTTCCCCACGAGAATGCTCCCAAAATTAGAGTACTTCTTTCGAATACTAAGTACTTTTATGTTTCTTTCATAGTTTCTTTCATCAGTTCAGAAATGTAGTTGAAAAATATATATTGAACCGTTTAGGAAAACCTGAGGGATCCTGGCAAGACAGTTGGCGTGCTATGGAACATCTCAATGAAGAAGGAAAGATACGAAGTCTTGGTGTGAGCAATTTTGATGTCGTTGATTTGAAAGAACTTCTTAATTTCACCAAACTTCCTGTGTCAGTGGTTCAAAATTGGTTTGATCCTTTTCATCAAGACGTGAACGTGAGAGAGTTTTGTGCTAAACACGTTATTCATTACATGGGATACTCAACTCTTGGTACGGTCATTTCTCTTTGATTTCCACATAAGGCGATGGGCGAATATCTTTCAATGATCTTTTTCTCGGATATTTTAGGTTCCCAGTGGACAGCGTATGGCGGCTTAGAGAGCAATCCTGTGCTAACTTCGACAACATTTTTTGAAATTGCAAGTCATTATGAATTTGTCGTTGCACAAGTTATATTGAGGTTGTATCATGAAATCGATCATATCAATTATCTGTATTCTATAAAGACATAATATTCTAATTAGAAATTATCGTTCTAATCACAGGCATGATTCTTCTAATTAAAGAATTATTATTCTACATTCTAATTAACGTTCGTACTGGTTCTGTTTAAGGTGGGCCATTCATCTGAACGTCACTGTCATTCCAAGATCACACGATCCTCGCCACATCTTACTCGACTTTAAGACGCTTGATATGGAACTGACGGAAGATGAAATTAAGCAAATTACGGAGGAGTGGTTGCCAGCTAATAACCAAGGAACAGAAGAAGAAGAGCAAGTAACCAGCAACCTGGACACGGATGATGAGAAAGTAGATGATTTAGAATCAAAGACCCTGGACACTAAAGAGAACGACATGAATGAAGAGGACCAGACGACTGACAAATATAAGGATGAACTTTAAAATATTTTAAAATAGTTTAACTTATTTAGAGTAATATTTATTTAAGAACAGTAGGGTATTCTTAACATCATTGTGATCATAACGAGATAGTCGACTATTCTTTCCGTATTTTAGTCCCACAATACATCACGATAACAAATGGCATCGCAGTTTGTTGAAAACTTGAAATGGTCGATTATGAATGAAAGTCAGTAATGAAAGTGCAAAGCGGCGGATATTTGAGTACATGAGACACCGCGCGGTACTAGTACCGAGTGCATGAAAGCGAGGCAAATCTTACGTGTATTCTCTTTATGAAAATAGAACATTGAGAGACACATTGTAGTAGAATACACGCTGGATTTTGCCACTTTTCATTATGTCTAAGAGCAAGAAACTTACGAAAGAAGAGGAATTACTATTACAAGACTTCGGTCGTAATGTCTCAACGAAATCATCCTTGTTGTTCTACTGTAATGCGTTTTTTGTTTCGGCTGTACCACTGTGTAAGTGTGACCTTTGTGATTTCATATTTCAAGAATTTTGTTAAATGGATATGAGTTTATTTGCCACTAGTTAAGGCCTATACTCTCCATGCGAAGTTCAATACATGAACACATCCGCTATGATATAATATATATAAACTAACAGATCATGCATTTTAATAAGGGTTAAAGGATACTTGATGAAAGCTACCATTTTAGTGATCTGTGAAATCAGAGCAATTTGGTATTGTTTATGATATTTGCAAAAAATCTTAATGGATCCATAACTCACAATAAAACCTTATATATTAAGTACTGCTCATTTAGTGGTGAAAGAATCATAATAAGAGTAATTGAAACAGAATGCAGAGTCGATTAGAATAAAAAAAAAGACAATTTCTGATTAAAGTCCAATTAATTAGCTAGGTTTTTTAACTTGGTATCATTCTTCCTTGTGACTCCTGAGGATTGTGTGTAGCATTGCAATAAACAATCTTCCAAATCAGTTGAACGACATGGCAATGCTTGAAAGAAACCTAATTTGTGGTGATTTTTCCAGGGTTATTCTGGCGTGTTCATGAAATGGATCCACAAGATTCAGTGATTTTGTTCACGGTTATGACCTTGATTTGCACTTGGTTTATTTCATTTGCTTATAAGAATATCAAATTTCACTTGAAACACAAGTAAGTATGCAATGATTGGTAAGAAAGAAGAATTGTTACTGAAGCTGTTCCATTTTAAGCAAGTTACTTAACTTTAGTTTACAAACTATTTTGGAGCTCTAGAAAATAATTTGAAAACAAAGTTAAAACTAATTTCTCTTCCAATTTCTCCTTCTATTCCAGGATAGCCTTGAAGATAGAGCATGCTGTGACCCGTGAAGTTAACCATCAACTAGATTCGAAACCTGAGACGAAAAAGTTGACCAGACAAGAAAAAGATGAGAGGTTTGTTGAGAAGATTTTTTTTGATCTTTTACTTCATTCAGTGATTACAATCTCATATCATTACTTTTTAGAATCCTATGGAAGAAGAACAATGTTGCAGACATGGAGGCTACGACATATTCCATCTTCTATAACAACACTCTCTTCCTGTTTTTGATGTTGATAATGTCTTTCTATGCTCTAAGATCTTTCAACCCTGGAGTGTATCCTTTTAAACAAAATTCTAGGAGATACTACAATAATATAACTTATTTCACTGTTAAAAATACCTTCAGGAATGAACTAAGCATAACCAGATCTGGTTGATATATGAAATCAATTTTCCTTAACGTCTGTTTAGTAATTACGTGGTGTCCACAGCAGCCTCTTCTGGACTTGTTGCTCTCTTATCAACATCATCATCAGCAACATCATAAATATGTTGATATTCTATCACTACTATTTTCAGTTTTAGAAATAAAAGTGGTCCAATTTGACCAGATTGTATAATTATGTATGCTTGTTTGTTTTTACTTATTGTGCTTTTGTTTAACTGGATAAGCATGCTACAAGAAGAACACTCTTCTGTAAGAAAATTAGTAGTGTTTGGAAAAGAGGTGGATACCCAAAGCATGTGGAGGGGAAATGAAATGTAAGGGGTATCCACGAGAGAGTGTGACAGGACGTACCAAGACTAGGGTTTTTGATTGTGATTTACCCCCTGGGCGAATAAGAGTAAATGGATGGTCAAACATGTTTGGGGGAGGTTCACTGCTTCAATTTGGGGGAAAAGGGGGTCAGTCATACCCTCTTTTGTTCTAATGCTTTTTGGCTAGGGAAAACGAGTTTGTGAGTGCTATTGGTGTTTTTGCTTCTCCTTTGAGGGGGGAAACCAATTATTGGTTGTCCCCATCTTCTCCCCCCGGGAAATAACCGTGAAAGGCCTGGAAATAGTGGGGGAGGCATGCGCAGTTTTTAGTGAAAGGGAAGTGTTTCTTTCAGAAATTAGACAAAAGATTTTTGCCTAAATGCACGTTTTACCTATATTTTGAGCGGTTTTTTGCTTAAAAATGAAGAGAAATGCTTCAAAAAGAAAAGAGCCGTCAACCTCTGAGGCTAGTCCTGTCGGTAAGCAATAACATCTTCTCTCTATCAAAATTTTCCGCTATACAAATGTACAGCTATTTAGAATTTCGTTTTCCGTGCCTCTCGTAATATTCTTGAGACCGTTCAACAAAAACTAGGTTGCTTCTAGAAATGTACAGGTTCTTATGTTCCTGTCATGAATGAGGGCAAGAACTGGATGGATATTCCCGCTTTCAACTAGCGTTGCACGCAGAATCACAGTTACCGTTGTAAATCATTGAAAAATAAAAATGCGAAATAATGAATTTATTTTTTGTACTTGCTCCAAAGATAAGTCGTGTGTTCGTCTTTATGGTAAAGAAGTAAAATTATGAACACATTTTGCAGAACATTACAAAGTATTGATCGTGTTAATTTATTACGAAACTCTATTCCCCCCCTGAATATTTAATTGCGGTAAAACCTGAAAACATTGAGTTATTCAGAGACATATTTCCTCGTTTATTGACTTTATTCCACGTTATATATAGTATAAATGTCATCAAGAGTCATCTTACTGTATTTTTATTTCCTTTAAAAATTCTATTTGTCCTGTAAAAATTTTCTATGAATAAATAAGATGAGATTTTGAGCTGGATATAATATATGTAGTTCTGTCACATAAGAAATATTTAAGCATGCCTTGGCTTGACCTTTTGTGTTATGCTTGCCATTCAAACTGTCAATTTTTTAGTAAACCCATGACCTTAGTAATCTAGTAAATTATATTCAAGAGTGCAACTAGCTAGAATAATAATTTGAATGAGATTCCATCATATGAACTGTTAGTGCTTTAACAATGTACCATATTATGTACCATATGTTGAAAATGACCATAGTGACCATATGTTGAAAATAGAAACTTCTACAAAGAGCAGATTGAATTCATTGAGAAACAGTTGTAGGACATTCTAAGGAGTTTATATTGATCATGCATTTTTTCAGGTGAATCATCTAAAAAGAAAAAGAGATTACAAACCAAATCACCTCAGAATCCTGCAACAGTTGTGGAAGAATCTACACCTGAAGTTTACAAGAAGGTTAATATGCAGTTGTATACAGTCTCAGTCTTGTTGATAGTATTTCCTCTAGGACCTCTCTGATATCTCCATGCCCTATAACATTATAACTCAGCAATGTGTGTATAAATAGAATATTTCTTTATTGTGACCTTAGCCATCCGTAGTGCTATCAGAACATCTTGGTATGAAATTGAATTTCTCAATCCCACCAGAAGAAGAAAATGATATGACATACAAGAAATTCTTACGTCTTGTTCATAAGCAAATTGCTGCAGCGAATACTGGCTTTCCTAATTCTAAAATCATTGCACTTGTTGGAGCTGCATGGAAAGATTACAAAGCTGAAATGATGGGAAAAGATCTTGGTAATATTTTAGTGTGACTAGTAAATATTTTGTGATAGTTGACTGCATATCCATGCACACAGCATGCAAGAAAGAAACATACACCTGTCTACGTTTTTTATTATATAATCAATCATTGGAAAATCAGATCAGTTGTTGATATTTGTCTATCTTGTCCTGATAAAGAAAAAGAAGCAGAAGAAGCAAGTGCAAAGAGTGGATCAAATCCAGGCACTCCTGAAGTTGAACCAGAACTTGAAGAGGCTGCAGATGATCTTGATGTTGAAGAGGAGAAACCAGAGGGAAGGAAGACCACTAAAAAAAAGCGAACAATAGCACCAATCAGGATTAAAATTACAAAAATGTCTGTTAGTCAAAAACTACAGAAATCATTGGTAAATAAGTTATCTGGATTCTGCAATTGCTTGTGGATTGGTGATGAAATTTCTCAACGTAATGCTGTTGTTATAATCTGATATCTCTATCCATTGCTGTTTCATTATCAATAGGAACAGTCAGATGATTCAAATAATGAGTTCATTTCTGAGAGCGAAGAAATCCCAATTGTGAAAAAATTAAAGAGTATGTCATTGCTGCCATTGATTGTGAATCATATATCTGAGCGTCCATTAGGCTAAATATTCCTTTTTGTAGATCGTACAGTTCAAGAACTGGGAGATGACACAGATAGATCCAGTGATGCTGGAAGCACAAGTAGTCGGACTACAAAACGGAAAAAGACCATCAAGAAAAAGAAATTAATTGAAGTAGATTCTGGTGATGAGAAAGATGAGAAACCAAAGAAAAAGAAAGCAAAAACAAATGAAAAAGTAAAAGCAAAGAAAGGAAAGAAAAAAGGTTGATTGGAAAATATAAAACTTGACTGACAATCATATTTTCATCAATGTTCATTTTCACATTTTCCATTTTAGTTGTTAAAAGAAGACGTTTAAAGCAAGATCAGGTATGGTACTAGAGGATACAGTTGTAAATGATAAAAAAATGACAAAAAAATAATTGGTCTTCATGCATAGTGGATTATCTTTTGGATTTTGGAAATGTGGAATATGAGTGGAGTCTGATGATTGTAATTATCAATTTTTAGGAAGATGACGAAGATGATGATGAGGAAGAGAATGATCAACATCAGGATTATTGTGAAGTGTGCGAAGAAAGTGGTGAATTATTGTTATGTGATACTTGTACATTGTCCTTTCATTTGCAATGTCTTGATCCACCATTGGATGAAGCCCCTGAGGGAGAATGGAGTTGTCCTAAATGTGTAAGTCATTGAGTCATTCACTTGGAAGAGTCTTTATTTAACTATAAATATCTTCTAATATATATACATCATTGTTTAGGAAGACGAAGAGGCGGAAATTGAATCAGATGTCCATTTTGATTTTTGCCGTGTGTGTAAAGATGGTGGTAATCTATTGTGTTGTGACTCTTGTCCGTCCTCGTATCACATTCATTGTCTTAAACCACCCTTGAAACAAATTCCTGAAGGAGATTGGCGATGTCCCAGATGCAAGGTAAGAGACAGCTATACCGTACATGTATTCATTTTGTGAAGATGTATAAACTAGAGTTGTTTCACTTCCTCAGATCACTCCACTGGAAGGAAGAGCATCAAAGATTTTGTTTTGGAGATTTGTGAAAATACCTGGCGAAGGTAATGATAACAAATGCTTCAGCTCACAGCTTTTCTGGCTTTTAAAAACATAACAAGAATTGTTTGATACTTGTTTGAATTGTTTGATAGGCCTGTATTCAGCTGTGTAGTTGTGTTTTGTAGTTGAGTTACGTTTTTTTACATATTTCCAGTACCAGCAGACAAGAATAATGAAGTCACAATTGTGAGTGATGTTAAACCAACGGTGAGTTATGACTCGATCATAAATGCTTCTCTATGTATTTCCGTCTAAAAGAGATGATAGTGGTTGAAAGTTGACGAAGATACTAGTGGAACGCTAAAAACACTTCAGTGATATTTTTATCTTTCTAGGAACATGTCGTTCGCCAGTTTTTTATCAAATGGCATGAGAAGTCCTACTGGAAATGTTCGTGGGTAGATGAAATTCAGGTGAGTCTGTAGTGAATGAAGCCATGGCATGCATTGCTAGTTCTTCACTTGCTCACCTCCTGGTCGATGGAAATGAGCGTATTATTCAGTCACTACAAAGTTATGTATTTTGTTTCAGTTGGAAGTTCATCATCCAGGTTTGCTTGGAGCTTATGTTCGCAAGAACGACATGTCAGCGAACCCTCAGCTGGATCTTGACGATGTGGATTGTGATGATATCATTCATTTACACGAAGCACGAAATAAGGTCGAGGAGAAAGATCTGGAAGCAAGATTTTACCGATATGGTGTTCGTCCTGAGTACCTTCAAATTCAACGCATATTGAACTGCAGGTGAGCGATGGAAATTATGATTGAAAATAGCAATCTCTTTAATATATCGAGTTTCACTGCATCATGCTAACTGGAGCTCTTCTTGCTCTTTTGTTATGCGACAAGATTTCTGTCCTTCTGCTTTGCCTATCGCGTTGTCTTTTCTTTCAAATAAAACGTTTGTTTTCAGGAACGAAAGAGGAAAGACAACGTATCTTGTCAAGTGGCAAGAGCTTCCTTATAACTTGAGTACATGGGAGGATCCTCAGGATGAGGCCAATAATCAAATAGGGTAAGAAATAGGTTCATTGTGGTTGTATGGGGATATAGCGAGTTCCACGTATACACGAGGTGGTAGGATATATGGTGGTATTAATGGTCGTGGTAATCATGATAGTAGGTATGTCATGGTATTGATGGTTATAGTAATACGAAAAGGGTGGTCCATAGTTATCACCTCTTCATTTGCACTTTTTTCATTTAGTAACTTCAATGAACACATTGCAAAATATGAGAAGTTTCGGTACGTAATGTTGCATTGTTTTTTGAACATTATCATTCTGCATTCAGTTCATCTCCACCAGATTATTGAAAGAAAATCTTCATTTTAGGGAAGGTTATGAGAAGACTAAGAGAAGCAAGAAATCAAAAAAGACAAAACCCACATCTGATGTGAGTAAACTCTGATATTCTCCTCTGATGTGAGTAAACTCTGATATTCTCCTCTGATATGTGCTCCTGGTAATCCACCATTCTTTGCCTCTCTTGTAGTGTAAACGCAAGTATCCAGTACAGCCAGACTTCATCACAAACACTGGTGGAACTTTACACAAATACCAAATGGAAGGATTGAATTGGTTGCGTTTTTCCTGGGCTCAAGGAACAAACACAATTCTTGCTGATGAAATGGGACTGGGAAAGACAATTCAAACGATATCGTTTATATATTCCTTGTTTAAAGAGGTCTGTGGAATCTCTCATGTTATTTATCATAATAACGGGATTAAATCATAAGGCTGGCAACGCCACTGATTATAACGAATGTGTTATTTAATTCACTTTTTAGGGTCACTGTAATGGTCCGTTTCTTATCAGTGCTCCGTTATCAACGTTGATCAACTGGGAACGAGAATTTGAATTTTGGGCGCCAGAGTTATACTGTGTGACTTACATTGGAGATAAAGACTGCAGAGCAGCCATCAGGTGATTTAGGAAACGAGCTATCACAAAATACGACTTTGATACTACTGCTTCCTATGGTAATAACAAGTCGACCAACCAAATCCACTTGTGGGTAATTTATGTTCTTAATCTTGCAGGGAACACGAGTTTTCTTTTGAAGAAAATGCTGTTCGTTCTGGAACTAAAGTGTGCCGAATGAAGGTACTAACTTGACGGTTAGATTATTGAAATGTTTCTGAATTTTTTTATCGAACTTCCATCCTTAAATATTGTGTAAATCTCTGTATTTAGAAAGATGCTTCGGTGAAGTTCAATGTACTGTTGACGTCTTATGAACTAGTGGCTATTGACAGTGCTGTATTACAGTCTATAAGCTGGGCTATACTCGTTGTTGATGAAGCACATCGTTTAAAGAACAACCAATCAAGAGTAAGAATGATTTAAGATGATTTTAGTATTATTTTTGCCAATCATTCCAGTTGATGTTTGAATTCTTTATGTTTTAGTTCTTCCGAGTTCTGAATGACTACAGCATTGATTACACTTTGTTGTTGACGGGAACTCCTTTACAGAACAATCTCGAGGAACTCTTTCATTTGTTGAACTTTTTGGACGCATCTTTATTCAAGTAAGATTGATTAGTGGTTTGTTACCCATAGGGAGGATTATGGTGATCGCCAAGAAAGGGAAATGGGAGGCGATGCAATCAATTTTACAACTGACATCTAAACAATTAAGAATGGCGGCGGAAACGATGTTCTAACACTTGTATTTTATATACCTTTAGCGATAAAAACAAATTTCTTGGTGATTTTGAAGACGTTGCGAAAGAGGATCAGGTAATGACCTGCATAACGTTGTGGTCACATTAAATTTCGTGGATTTCCACTTCGGATTTCATTCCGAAAAGCGAATTCGCGTTCTTGAGGCATATATACCTCTTCTTGTTTAGATCAAGAAGTTACATGAAATCCTGGGTCCTCACATGCTTCGTCGTCTTAAAGCTGATGTGTTGCAAGATATGCCTTCAAAGAGCGAGTTTATTGTTCGGGTGGAGCTCAGTCCTTTGCAGAAGTAAGTTCTTTTCAAAAAGATCTTGAATTTTGACCACAGACCACCCACACGTTTGATACACGTTTTCAGGAAGTACTACAAGTACATTCTTACAAGAAATTTCGAGGCATTGAACGCCAAAGGATCTCAGACAGTTTCCTTGTTGAACGTCATGATGGAATTAAAGAAATGCTGTAATCATCCCTACCTCTTCTCCACAGCTGCCTTGGTAAGAGTTGCATCACCTTTATTCTTTTCATTCATCTGTTTACCCTGACTTGGAAAATATTAGGAAACTACGGAAATCTACCCGGTTACGAATCACATCTAAGGATATTCATTTTAACAATGTTTCTCGGCTTTATAGGAAGCAAAGAAGAGTGAGAATGGTCATTTTGAAGTGAAGGAACTAACGGAAGCATCGGGGAAGTTTGTTTTGTTGGCGAAAATGTTAAAGAAGTTAAAATCACAAGGACATCGTGTCTTAATATTCTCACAGGTTTGTCAATTTGAAATGCGAGGCGGTGTATAAATACTAAGGTAGATATCAATCCAGGTTTCTTTTGCCGTGCAGATGACACGAGTGTTGGATCTTTTGGAAGACTTTTTGGAAGGTCATGGTTATCAATATGAACGAATTGATGGAAATATAACTGGTCAGATGAGACAAGACAGTATTGATCGATTTAATGGTAGGTTGCCTTTTGAGTAATGAAACCAAGACCTTTCTTTTATAAATCAATCTTTTAAATATTTCTTGCTTTAGCTCCAGAGGCTGAAGCATTTTGTTTCTTGTTATCAACCCGAGCTGGAGGACTGGGTATTAACCTCGCTTCCTCGGACACAGTATTTATCTTTGACTCGGACTGGAACCCTCATAATGATATTCAGGTGTGTAAACCCCACAAGGAATGTTCAGAGATCGAAATTTCAAGGTTTGAAGGTGGAAATAAATTTCCGGCTTTTGTTTAGGCATTCAGTCGAGCTCACCGTATTGGGCAGAGCAATAAGGTTTGTGATTGCTTGAAACAAGTTTAATATCTCTAGAAATATATTTTATTTCGGTTTCAAATTTATGTCAGAGCTATGACACCTTTTGACATGTAATAATGTGTTGTCAAACCTTAGGTCATGATCTACCGTTTCGTGGCGCGCTCGACTGTTGAAGAACGCGTGACTCAAGTCGCTAAGAAGAAAATGATGTTGACGCATCTGGTTGTACGACCTGGTCTGGGATCTAACAAAGGAGCCAGCATGTCTAAGAGAGAGTTGGATGACATCTTAAAGTTTGGAACAGAGGAGTTGTTTAAGGACGATAACGCAAAAGATGGGGGTAAGAACCAGTTTAGACTTGGTGGATGATGTGTCTTGCTCGAAAAAGTACTATTGTGAAATGTTTTTGTGTTCTCGTAGAATCAGGCGACACAGGTTCGATTCATTATGATGATGCTGCTATTGATAATCTTCTGGACAGAAATCGTGAGGGATTGGAAGAGAAAGCATTGTTGGCCAACGAATATCTTGCCTCTTTCAAGGTTAGCTTCAGATTTAGAAGAGAAAGGTGTTGTCTTTTAGCGGGTCGATGGTTGTTGCAAGGTGGGGGGGGGGATATAGATCATTAATCCAGTTTGTGATAATCTAGATTAATCCGGTTTTGTACGGTGATCTCGGAGATTCTACTCTTCACATCAAATACACAATGATCTCTTTTTTCATTTAAGGTTGCCAGTTATATTGTGAAACAAAACGAAAAGCAAAATGAAGTTGAAGTCATCAAAGTAAGCCTTTTATTCCTTATTGAGGTGATATCGACGCATTTGATTAGTTATCAGTATGGATTTCTCAGATTTCACCTCATGATTCTAGGAAGCTGAGAAACCTGATCCAGAGTATTGGGAAAAATTATTACGTCATCATTATGAACAACAACAGGAGGATATCCAATCAAAACTTGGAAAAGGAAAAAGAATTCGTAAACAGGTAAGACTGTACTGGTTTGTAGGAATAACGGAAATGTTTTTCAGGATTTCTCATTCTGCAGCACGTGTTATCATTCTTAGGTGAATTACCTTGATTCCCATGTGGACGATGGTAGAGACAAAGGTAGGAACGAGTCTAGTTAACTTGTCAAGTTTGATGCATGCGTTCATGTAAAATAAGATAAGGGTAAAAAAGAAATGTTTTGACTTCTTCCTCAGCGTGGACAGCAGGGACATTCTCTGATGGTGAAGATGGTTTGGATGATGAAGATGATTACAGTAAAAAGCATGAAGGACAAGGTATTGCTTATACTAAAACTAAAAGAATAAAACCGAACCCTCCAAATGAGAGCTTTTGATTTTCTCAGGTCGTTCTCGACGACTGAAACCTGACGTAGATTATGTCCCACCGTTGTTAGCCAAGGTCAATGGAAACCTTGAGGTGAGAACTATATCTCGTTGTTTTGAAAACATTACGAAAGATTCAAAAGAGAGTGAAACAAGACCAAAGCGTATGAAAATGATGATTTTTATCCTCAGGTTTTCGGATTTAATATCCGACAACGACGCGCTTTCCTGAACGCTATTATGAGATATGGATTACCACCAAAACAATCTTTCAGAACTCAATGGTAAGCAATGATTTGGCTCGTGTATTCCATACAGTGCCTGTTTTGTTATCTTTCTTATAAAATGGCAGTTTCCTTGTTGTAATATTCTTGTTTTTGTTCCACAAACAATTCAGGTTTGTTCGTGATCTTCGTGGAAAAACAGACAAAGAAGTCCAGTTAGTATTGTATTTTATTTCATGGAAGAATATGCTGGAAGTGCGACCAGGATTGAACATATTGATTACTTGAGAAGTTCTCTGGTTCATGGAAGAACTATGGCAGACGTGAATGATACAATCCTGTATTTGTTACTGTAATTGTGACATTGTCTGATTTCTCGAACGTTTCTTTATTCAGGACCTATGTCTCAATGTTTATGCGTCATCTCTGTGAGCCAACACCCGACACTATACCAAGCTATGCTGACGGTGTTCCCAAGGAAGGAGTCCAACGTCATGTCGTCTTGAACAGAATTGGTATTATGAGTTTAATACGGAAGAAAGTAAGTTAATTATTGTTAAGATGCGTGGAGCCATCACCATTTGTTTCTGTTTTTTTATTGTTTGGCTCTGTCAATCCAACAAAGCTAGTTTTTTCTAGAGATCCAAGTGAGAGTTATCTCTTCTTGATCCGATGTAACTATTCAAGGAAATTTACTTTTAGTTTACATTTATGTAGGTTGATGAATTTTCCCCCTATAATATTCTCCCAAAGCCAGCAAATGTTTTATCAAAGGTAAAAGTATTTCTTCTATAAGTTGGTGATTTTTTGACAACTTCTTTACAGGTTGTTTGTTTTTTGATTGTTTTAGGACAACAGACAGAACAGAACAATTGAAATTAAAGATACTGACGCTTCATCAAACGGTGATCACATATCTCTTTGACTGAACTAGAAATATTTTCTTTTTTCTTTCATTGCACCACGTTGCAAAGGTGTTGCTGCGTGAATGCTTTCCTTACTGCGAACGTTCTCTTTAGGGACCGTAGAAAAACCTTCAGAACAAGTAGCTGAACATAAACCAGGAGAAACGAATGGTAAAAAGACAGTTGAAGATGAAAAATCTGCAAATGCCCCATCGAAATCTGAAGATGCAGAAACAGCTAAATCAGACGAGAACGTTGCTGGAGAAGTTGATGAAAATACTGTGAAACAAGAGAAGGCTCTCGATGATAAAAATCTCGCAAGTGAGCCGACAACGTCTGATGAAAATTCTTCAAACAAGACAAAAAGCAATGAGAAAACCGGAGAGACGGAAGACAGCGCGGGTTCAAGTAAAAATGACAAAACAAACAATACTTCGATAGAAGATAAAGAAGCAGAAGCCTCAAAGAAAGGCGACGCAATTATAACGAGCGCAAAAAAAGACGAAACTGACGCTGATAAAAACGATAATAAAGCTGACCCTGATGAAAAAGACGATGAAGAAAAGACTAACGATGATAAAGCTGTTAACGATAAAAACGATGTCGACAAAAATGATGCTGACAAGAAGATCGACGGTCGAGAGCTACCTGTGGAGAAGAAAGATGTCTCTACGAGTACGCCTCAGCAGGAAACCTTGCAACTGGAGGCGAAAGATCCAAGATTTTCTTTGCTCAGCCCAGAGGATCTTGCAAGATTGCGATCAAAGGAGTTTGTATTTAATATTGCTGATGGGGGTTTTACAGAGTTGCATACAATATGGGAGGTCGAGGAAAGACAGAAGAGGGATGATATATGGTGGAGAAAACATGATTACTGGTTATTGGCTGGATTAGTTGTGTATCCTTTTAGTTTTCTGCATTTTTTGTTTTCACCCAACAGAGGTTTAAGTAGTTGAATCAAAGTTCTTTAGAGCCGCTGCCACGCTCTTCCCAAGCTGGTTATATAGTCTAGTATCATAGCAAAGGATTTTTTAAATCATACAAATCATGATCTTACGGTCATGGTTCTGTAGACCACTCTGTTTGTATAGTTTCATTAGACTGGAATTTCTTTAACATTGTGTCTCAAGTCATGGCTATGGTAGATGGCAAGATATTGCTAACGATCCCAAATTTGCCGTAATCAACGAACCTTTCCGGCGAGGTACGACAGAAATGATTAACTAACAAGTGGGAAAGAATGAAAATTTTCTTACAGCAAGATCTGAAAACTAACTGTAGTTTTTCTTCTATTTTAAGTTTCACTTGAATACAAAAACAAGTTTATATCCCGAAGATTTAAGGTAACATACTCAACGGATTGCTCTTCTCTAAAAATATCTCGTCCAAATGTACTCAGAGGCTCCATGTCCCCTTTTCAGCTGTTGGAACAAGCCTTGATCGTTGAAGAACAGATACAAAGAGCAAAACTACTAAATTTACACCAAGATTCCAAACTGCCCGTCATGGCTCTGAACTCAAAGTAATTTATATGCGATACTTGCCTTCTTTTTTGCAGAACGTATTTATTCAATATTTTTATTCTTTACTTTGGTTATTGTTGTGTTTGCCAGGTTTGCTGAGGTCCAGTGCTTAGCAGAAAGTCATCAACATCTATCGAAGGAATCTTTAAACGGCAACAAACCAGCCAATGCAGTGCTTCACAAGGGTTAGTCCGATTCTGTTAGTCCAATGCATTTAATTAATAACTAATTATTAATTTAATAACTATTTTAGTTCTCAACCAGCTGGAGGAATTACTTTCAGACATGAAGAACGAAGTGACACGTTTACCATCCACCTTAATTAACCTTCCCCCAGTTTCCGCTCGGCTTCATATGACTGAAAGAAGTATTTTAAACAGATTAGCACAGAAGAAACCAGAACCTCCCACTTTACCAGAAACCTCTAAACATTCTCACTCTACGGAGCCTAAACAGGCCTCCTCGACTTCAAGCCTTAGTAATTTGGCTTCACCCACAGAAAACAGTGGAAATAACCCAGCAACAACATCACCTTCTCCAGTACAGAAACCATCGACCTCAGAAACTTTGAATCCACAGAACAAACCATCCGAAATGGAGAGTAGTTCTGCTTCGAGTGATCCCTCAACCATTGCTAAACAAGAAGATACAAAGAAGTCAGACGATATCATTCTTATTGAATAGAAACCTCTATTTTATAATTGTTTGATATTCCTGGGACTATTTTTGAGATTGGAATCTTTGGTAACTTTCATACTCCCAAAGTATTGTGCAAATACCGTTGTAAAAAATAAAATTTACACTACACTCGATTTATTGACTAAAATGGGTCCCTTGTCCATTTCATCCATGCCTGGCCTGTTTTGGTACTCTGAGCACTAATATTGGGCATGGGTACCCATCTTAATCTCGTGTCGTGGCAATAAATTGAGTGTAGCGTAAAGAGGCTAAAGTTTGAGTGATCTTCCCATTGCTGACGCAAGAAGCCGACATTACCAGACGCAAGAAGAAAACATTTTAGCAGACTAAGCCGTTCAGTAATTTATATTGAGTTTCCGTTTGGAAAATGTTTACTATTTTAACGTTAAAAACCCAACAAGGATTGATTCAAAACACAATTTTTTTTAGTTCTTTCCAAATTTTTCTTTTACATAAAAAATAGGTACGCTAAGCGTACATGTATCAGGTATAAGCATATAGAAGAATTAGCCCTCATATAATGCCAAATGCTCGAACTTGTAGTCTTTGTAGATGGTTCTCAAGGTCACCACCAACATCAACTGGTCTTAAACGAAAGTGTTGTAGCCTTTGCTCTAACACTACATTTGATGACAGTCTAGTAGGGCTGTTGTTTTGAACAGAACCAGGATTTCTTTCAATATCTGCTGACGGCATTAGTTTCCTTTGAGATATGTGATATTGTTTACTATATAAACCCATCGCTGAATGGTTATGTGTTAACAAATAGTGTTAACATACGGTACCAGAACGGATATGGTTCGTTTATATCGTCCCCAATCTCGGCGGCCAAATTCAAAATGGCGGTGGCCGGACACCATTGAAAAAGTATAGTACACTCTCAAAATCATAAATAGTTCGTTTGCATATATATGATCAAAGAAACCGGCGTGAAAAATTAAATTCTCTTCATAAAAGTACATGATTGTTGACTTTAGATCGAAAGGTTCATGTCTTGGTCAAAATTAGTTCATGGGATTGTCGGTGCAACATCTGCTTGTATTGTACTTTTACATTCTGTGCCAAACGTATTTCCAAGTCTAGTTATAAATCAACAAAGTTTACCAAATGCTGATGTACCTTGTCATATTCAACAAGCTTTTGTGGAGGTCGCTGAGAAGATGAATATATCCCATCCTGATAAGGTAAAACTCTTCATAAATAACGGCTCTAGTAGCATTTCAGTTGGTTCAACATTATTGCCTGGAGGAGCTGCAATTGGGATTTCCCGACTTTTTTTATACACAGACCTTCAAGAGATTTCTGAGTCAGGTCTGGCATTTAAAGGCAAGAAAATTAATTTGCACACTAAAGCCGGTGAAAAGTTAAGTAATGCGCTGCTGTTTAATGAAGAAGAATTAAAATTTATCTTAGCTCATGAATTGAGTCATTTAAAAAATTTGGACTTTACCACAAACTGCTTTTTACCAGCCTGGTGGTTGTACTTTACCTACAGAGCCGTGCCGATTGTATCAGTAAATCTACCTCCAAATGTTTTACTTAAAATTGCTGTACAATGCTTTCTTTGGCTTTCAAGTTATTGGATATTCAGACATCAAAATATAAGCTTGCATCACAACCGCGAATTTGCGGCTGATGAACAGGCTGCAATGCTTGGTGTAAATTACATAAAAGGTGGAATAAGTGCAACCTTAAAAAAAATGAAAGTAAATGAAACATTAAGAGGGATGAATGGGTCGGATGGAAGAATGTTGTACTCTGTTGAAGGAAATGATTTGAAAGATTGGGCACACCCAAAGCTATCAGAAAGATTACGTAAATTAGAGGAGATATATGCTGAGAAATACTTAGGAAAGACAACTGGTTAATTTTGATAGGTGCTTGACCTGTTGTGTATAATATTTCATAGTTAAACAATTTTTTTCGATGAAATTGCTTAATTTATATTACAGAACAAAACCCAAGAGAACAAGTATAGCATTAATAATATAAACAATATTTACAGTTGAATTAAAGTTTTTGTATCCACAGGACTCAACATAACAACAGTCAGTGGTTGTGAATTTGAAATTCAACCAATAAAATTAGCCTTTCTCACGATGACGAATATCTGCCATTTTTGGGGTACTTTCAATTTATAATTTTTTTTAATGTGTTTAAACAATAATAGCAATGTAAGAAGAATTTTCTAAGAGTCTATAGACCATTTGAACAATAAATTAAGCCTAAAATTAAAGACAGCTGCCCTGACAAGGTCTCACAATTTAAAAAAAAGTACCCCAAAAATGCCGGGACATTCGTCATCGTGAGAAAGGCTAATTTATAGGGCTTTTTGTTGTTTGAAAACTATTTTGACCTGCTATAACTGACCAAGGCCAATTACCTCAACATAGATAATTTCATATAAGTTCACAAATTTAATATAAATATTTACTAATTTCTGATGCCCATCACTATGTTTACCTGAATAAATGATGACTGGCTTAAAAAAGTGCATGTGTTATAACTCAAAATATTTAACAGCGAAAATATTCTCCCATTCAGAGAGTACTTTATATCAGTATACAAATCTAGTATTTCCCTGAGGTGTTGGTAGATGGAACATGTGGTTGGAAATTTGAATGTGCAGTTGGACCTATGTTATCTCCTCCTAGTATGATATATTGACCCGATGATGAAATAGTAGCACTTAATGAATACAACGAAGGTGCGGTCTTCTGGTTGTCAGAAATAAGCTCTTGTGTTGTATGAGGTGTTGTTAACTTCTCGTAAATATTCACCAGTTCTTCCTGTTTGGTGATTTGGTTTTGTGCCTTATTTCCTGATGCAGATGTGCACATAGAATTCGATGAGGTGCATGTACCATTGAATTCTATAAAATGAACACATAAAATAAAATAAGAAAAATGTTAGAGAATTTTATTGCAGTTGTAGTCATCATTGAAGCCTTCATCCTTTTGCCAAAATGAAGTATTAAAGACCTTCTACTTTGCCACCCAGTGAAAAATGAATAATGTATCATGTCTTCTAACTCGAAATATTTGATAACCTGGGTCCAATGCCAAAGTATTTTCAGACTATTTTGTGTGTTAGCGGATGATTACCGCCAAGTAATGGACAAAACAAACCTGTTCCCTCCTCCTTTATTGTGGAAGTTGTATGTTGTATTGGTGATGGTCGTCTCATGGCATTATCCACCACTGGTTGTCTTGAATTTTGTCCTTGGTTGCTATGAACCAACATCATTGTTGGTGTATTTTGTGCAGTAGCAGTTCCTTGGTAAGTGTTTATTACTTGACGTTGGTTCTTTCTAAATTTGGCTCTTCGATTCTGGAACCAAACCTATTGAACAGTATATGAAAATTAGAACATTGAAAACCTATACTATGCAAGTTGTTTCACTCCCTAAACAAGAAAAGTATACAAAGCTAACTTGTATTCTATCATCAGGAATTTTTAGGTGATTTGACAAGTCTTTTCTTGTTTGAAAATCAGGGTAATGTGTATTAGAGAAGGCAGCTTCCAGTTCAGAAAGTTGAGTTTGGGTGTAGGATGTTCTGCCCCGCCTTGATTTTATCATAATCTTTGTTTTTGCTGGTTCCATTGGGTATTCCGATGAAGGTGGATACTGTTGAAGTGGCTCATTGTTTCCCATAAGACTCTGACTGCTTGCTATTAAATTATCTGAAATAGAGTAATATTTAAACATTTATACATTTGAACATATACTAAAAAGACTTTCCCAATCTTGAGGTATTTGACTAACAGTTCTGGGTACACACTTGGCCCGCCAATTTTTTGGGTTGCTTCTGATTATTACTTGAATACTTGAAACTGATAAATTCTAAAGGATGGTTGATTTAAAAATATACTTTTATGGCTAATCCAGATGTTTTATTCATAAAAGGAAGGGTGTGTGCACATTGTCACAAAACCATTCTATCCAATTTCCTTGCCGTTGTAACCACAATAAATTAGCACTACATGTCATTGTTATAAATTCCTTGTATTTTAATATCTTGTGAAGATATTCTTTTCATAATAATCCTAGCAACAACAGATATTAAAACAGGCCAAGTGCGCGCGTCATGGCACAAACGTCACACGTGCGATGTAAAAAATATTCATTACTGTTTATACGCTTAATACAATGAAGTGTATTTTCCTTAAAGCACTTGACCCTGACGTCTTTATTTAATACTGATGCTTATATTGTTTGCTGAAACGTTTCACAGCAAGTGTTAGGAAGAAATATTATCCTCAGAGTGTGCGTAACTGAAAATTTGCCTTAGACATTGATATCTCAAACAAAGCCTTGGTATTTTCTATATATTTTTTCTCCCGTAAACAATTTTATAATGGGCTTAGTTATCTTACACTTTTTTTAGCATTAAAAAAACTCGTTATAGTGAAGTAAGCCTTGTGAAAATAGCGAAATCTGGCGCAATAAAAATCGCATTCTTTGCCAAAAACTACAAACAGCGCTTGTCGTGCGTCAAACAAGCTTTGACATAATGTTTTGAATATTCGCGTTAAACTAATGCAAACATTAATTAATTAAGACTTAATTGGACCCGCGATAACCCCTTTATAATAACCAACCCACTTAAATAACGAAATTTACACTTTGAATCAAAATTGTTTTATAATTTGAATCGCGTGTCTGGTGAAGACAGTCTCAGCGTTCGCAAGACTCCTTGTGTGTATTCAAATTTACATAATCCCTTACCAATCACCCTCCTTTCTTCGTTAAGAGGATCCGCATTTTGGATTGACATCTCTTCACCTCAATGACTAAGTCTTCTTTAACAATAAATTCAATTATTTGTTTATTAATACGTACTCCAAAATACCAGCGATCAAACAGAAAATGGAATCCTTCTGTGACCTTATCTCTTTGACCTTATCCTCAAGCGCATCGCGCTCGACCAATCAGATTGGAGGAAATTGAGACACGTGCGCGCGCTAGTAAAATGGACCAATCAAACGGAGGAAGGGCGCAAAGTAATTTGAATCGCATTTTATGTAGCTTTGCTGTAAGTGGAGAATTTCCTTGGATACGTCGTTCCAGCACTAGTATCCAAATTATTATCTTTTTCTTTGACTTTTGGCATATGTAAATCAATAGACAACTAACATGATTATCAATTGAATTTATTTCAGCAAACTATTTGAAACTAAGATAGTATACATACTTTGTGACTGACATAGCTATCATTAGCTCCTAGGACCTAGATCAGTTGACATTCCTGTTTCCGTGAACAACAACTTTATCATCAAAATTGTAATAAATACTAAACAAAATATAACATCAAAAAGCGGTATGTACTACAACTCGTCCATACAGAAAATGTGTAATTCTTTCTAGTACGGTTGACCACCATACGGTGGCGGTGCTGGTTGCTCATTTTGAGGTGGAAGAGGGTCATTTGGCGGTTGGCTTCCAGAACCTATAAATATACGAGATAAGATAAAATGTGGTAGCTATATTTTGAACCTAAAGATGGTGGTGCAATAGGGGAGATCTTTATAGCCGTAATATAAGCCTATGTTGTTTTTCTTGAAAACTAAACATAGAGAAGTGTGTTATAAGATAATCAAAATTATATTTACCTTTATTGGCACGGTATTGTGCAACTTTTTGTCTCAAACCTCCGTCACCACGAGTGAGATAGTTCAAGAGAATTATAAGGATTGAAACAGGCTGGAGAAAAATACAAATATACAGTATATTAGTATACAAACTAACAACGTATTTAACAAGCTTAGTATGCTAAGAAATGACTCACTTTTAGCAGCAAGTTTAATATGGACATTCTAGTAATGATTTTAAGGAAAACTTAGTTGTTTCTTGCAAAACTACACCCACGTTAGAGCTAGACCCTGAATTTCTCCCAAATTTCTTGTTGAAAGAGCTTGCAAACTAGATATAAGCATAATCTTTTAGCAAAGGATACGCAAAACTGAATCGGAAGCGATCTTTATTCGGGGTGCAGGAATATGCTATAAAAGGAATATAAAAGATTTTTTATGAAAGTAATATTTTCAGGGAAAGTGTAATCTTGTTGGATAATTGTTTTGTGATAATCCTGCTCGGGCCTGCCTGCCATCTTCTGTTTAAAGATTTCAAGGTCTGTTCACACGATCCAATTTTGTTGGATCCAATTCACTTCTGACGTATGAAGTATAGTCGGTTATTGATAAAGCAGTACTGCATTGGCTTCACTGGATTTGCTGTTCGTATACATTACAAGACAACAAACTATAAAACATCCATCAGAGGTGAACAGACTTTTATTACCTGTTTTCTCGTCACCATCGTAAGTCACCGCTATGATAATGATATCATGTAACAACGCGAATGCCATTCCCACTAAAAACTGTTTAGGAAGAAAAATACTCGCAGCATTAGTTGAAATGTCATAAGGATGTGTTATAATCAATAAAAAGTAGCTCGGGTTGTGGCCCTCAACCCTCTTGTATGTTTTCAGAACAGTATACAAATCAGATAAGAGTGGTAAATGAGGTGAGTGCGAGGTGCCACACCCAAGTACCCTCAACTCTGTGTTACTCAACTTAGCCTCTGGTCTATATAGAAAGACTGCACTGTGCTCATTTTAAGTCGTTTAACACTGAAGGCTGCTGGTGTTCATATTTTGAACGTTGAATATTTGTTTAGTTGTGCACTCGAATATTACAAGTGTCTGCTGATACTTGGCTGTCTGAATTTGTGCAGAAATTTGTACAGACATTTTTCTTCCACTTCGTTCAGATATATCAAGTAAATGAACGAAATAATAACGAAATGTGATTTCTAAGATCCCTGACCATCATTTAAGGTAGCTCACCACTCACCAGTTCTGAAATTGCATGGTCAGATGACGCTACAACTGCTCCAACACCCAACGCAAGCACAAGGAAATTGCAAAACTGATATGAGACTGGTAACCAAGCGCATTGGTTTGCCCTAAATATCAATAATATATTTCCTATTGTGGTTTTAAAATGTCGTGGCGTTGGTCTAGGCAAATATTTTTCATGCTGTGTTATAGTACTGGAACCACTGATCACAGTAAAACTGTATAACAGAAAAATGTATTACTTTCGCTAAAGGCAAAATATTCAACCATTTTTCACAAATATACAACAATTGATAAATTTGATCATTTACTGTATGACAGTGTATTGGGTATATATTTTTTCTTATGCGCAAACTTGTAATATAAAGGTTCAATCTTTCTCCTTAATGCTCAAGTGGGAACGTCAAACCGAGTATCTACAATTAAAGGTACTTGATTCACTTCAAAATTTGATTGGAAGATGTATCACAATCATAATTACAATAATGAATTTTTAATTACTAGAAATTTAGGCGAACAGGTTCACAGGGACGGGCAGTATATTTTTACTCCCGTTAAAACGTCTTAATGCGCTGTGAGATTCTCGGAATCAGTTATGTTTTGAACCTGATTTTCACATGCATTCCTCATTATCATATCTGTAAGAACATCTTTGTACTATAATATAATCATAATATAAGATTTTAACTGATAACAGAATTATTAATAACCGAATAATCACGAGGCGTCAGAATTATTAAAAAAAATCACGAGGCGTTGTATTTGTGTCCACAATTCACAAAATTCACTACCGTCATTTATCCAACATATTTGCTCCTGGTGGAAGAAGTATGATGTATTATAGCAACACGCGATTCGTGGCATGATCTTGGGCAAATTATGTGAGGTCTTTTATCACAAATATTTAATTATTTACTTACCAAACAGTGAGGATAAAATGAATTACGATTATAACCTAAAAGAATGAGGATTTCCTTAGGACAGCATCGTCATTAAAAAGCAATAAATCTTTATTAAAGTTTCAATAATAAGCTTTAAAATAACGGGAATTAGGAGAATGAAAATTTGCATTGATCAGATGACAAATAAAGAGCATAAGTGGAACGCTTGCTATTGTACAGAAATTCATTTCTGTATGAATATTCGTTCTGTTTCAAATTGTTACTTCTGTTACTATAGATTATACGTAATTTGCGACTTTACCTGCAAGAACACAACTGAAACTTTTGGCAAAGCCATATTTTGATATCCACAAAACAAGTTGATCGTCTGTGAGTGTGTTGGGCTTGTAAACAAAGTCTAATATTACAAATTCTTTCTAATATTACTTCCCGTGGCGATTGCTGATTTATTTAATTTAATATTCAAACTCTTTGTGTAAAATAAGTTTTTGCGTAGCCAGAAATGATATTGCATATTTTCGAAATACGAAGGTTAATTAGAGTTTTTTAACTAAGCTTTGCGTCTAGAGCTAAAATATTTAGGTATTTTAGTTTTATATCAAGCGCATTTCGTATATGAAGTTGAGAAATACTGAATATTTCAAGTTATTTACAACTTTAGTGACCATCATTCGTAACAAAATGGGTTTTTTTTAAATTCATAGACAATTATCACAACTGCAATTGTCAACTTGGCCCTTTTTATCCAAAGCGCAGCTTAGAAAGTAGTTGCAACGTGAAGTTCTTACATTTTGAACAGGGTTACAAGAATGGCTGAAAAAGTGAAAATTAGCCAACCCTGGCCTTCATCCAACTTTTCCAGCAACAAAAATAGGAAGGCAAAACGAAGGGCTAATCTGGCCACCCTGCTGCGCAAAGTATTTCATTGAAGGTTAGATATATCCACGTGATATGTCAGACTGTTCATTGAGTTCATTGGTTACACCCATCGCACCCCCCATCGCACACACTCATCGCACCCAGTCATCGCACCCAAGATACTCGGCAATCGCGTTCCAGGATCCAAAGATACTCGGCAATCGCGTTCCAGGATCTCAAGATTCTCGGCAATCGCTTTCTAGGAACCATTTCCACTCAGGTTCAGGGAACGACATTGCAATATAGTGGAAGCTTCACAAGTATGGTAATAAGTTTATGTCCAGTATACACCAATAGTAAAATCGCACTTGTTTTTAGCTGGCATATATACATCAATAGCCATAATTCATCATAGATACCCATCATAACATATCAATATACATCCTTACACGCAACTAGGCATTGCTAGACATCATTGCATATCACTGGACATCATTATACATCAATGGACATCATTATACATCACTGGACATCGCTGGACATCATTATACATCACTAGACATCATTATACATCACTGGACATCGTTATACATCACTGGACATCATTATACATCACTAGACATCATTATACATCACTAGACATCGCTGGACATCATTATACATCACTGGACATCACTAAGCATCAATAGACATCATTATACATCACTAGACATCATTATACATCACTGGACATCATTATACATCACTGGACATCATTATACATCACTGGACATCATTATACATCACTGGACATATTATACATCACTGGACATCATTATACATCACTAGACATCACTATACATCACTAGACATCATTATACATCACTAGACATCACTGGACATCATTATACATCACTAGACATCTTTATACATCACTAGACATCACCAAGCATCAATAGACATCATTATACATCACTAGACATCGCTGGACATCATTATACATCACTGGACATCACTAAGCATCAATAGACATCATTATACATCACTAGAAATCGCTGGACATCGTTATACATCACTGGACATCATTATACATCACTAGACATCATTATACATCACTGAACATCATTATACATCACTGGACATCATTATACATCACTGGACATCATTATACATCACTAGACATCATTATACATCACTAGACATCATTATACATCACTAGACATCACCAAGCATCAATAGACATCATTATACATCACTAGACATCGCTGGACATCATTATACATCACTGGACATCATTATACATCACTGGACATCATTATACATCACTAGACATCACTATACATCACTAGACATCATTATACATCACTAGACATCATTGGACATCATTATACATCATTGGACATCATTATACATCACTAGACATCACCAAGCATCAATAGACATCATTATACATCACTAGACATCGCTGGACATCGTTATACATCACTGGACATCGCTGGACATCATCATACATCACTAGACATCATTATACATCACTAGACATCATTATACATCACTGGATATCACTAAGCATCAATAGACACCATTATACATCACTAGACATCGCTGGACATCATTATACATCACTGGACATCATTATACATCACTAGACATCACTATACATCACTAGACATCATTATACATCACTAGACATCACTGGACATCATTATACATCACTAGACATCACCAAGCATCAATAAACATCATTATACATCACTCAACATCAATAGACATCATTATACATCACTAAACATCATTATACATCACTGGACATCACTAGACATCATTATACATCACTGGACATCACCAAGCATCAATAGACATCATTATACATCACTAGACATCGCTGGACATCATTATACATCACTGGACATCACTAAGCATCAATAGACATCATTATACATCACTAGACATCATTATACATCACTAGACATCATTATACATCACTGGACATCACCAAGCATCAATAGACATCATTATACATCACTGGACATCATTATACATCACTGGACATCATTATACATCACTAGACATCATTATACATCACTAGACATCGCTGGACATCATTATACATCACTGGACATCACTAAGCATCAATAGACATCATTATACATCACTAGGCATCGCTGGACATCATTATACATCACTGGACATCATTATACATCACTGGACATCATTATACAACACTAGACATCACTGGACATCATTATACATCACTAGACATCTTTATACATCACTAGACATCACCAAGCATCAATAGACATCATTATACATCACTAGACATCGCTGGACATCGTTATACATCACTGGACATCGCTGGACATCATCATATATCACTAGACATCATTATACATCACTAGACATCATTATACATCACTGGACATCACTAAGCATCAATAGACATCATTATACATCACTAGACATCGCTGGACATCTATACATCACTGGACATCACTAAGCATCAATAGACATCATTATACATCACTGAACATCGCTGGACATCATTATACATCACTAGACATCACTAAGCATCAATAGACATCATTGTATATCACTGGACATCACTAAGCATCAATAGACATCATTATACATCACTGGACATCGCTGGACATCATTATACATCACTGGACATCACCAAGCATCAATAGACATCACTAAGCATCGATAGACATCATTATACATCACCAGGCATCACTGGACATCACTAGACATAATTATGCATCACTAGACCTCACCAAACATCACTAGACGTCACTGGACATCACTAGACATAACTAAGCATTACTAGACATTAGTGAACATCACTCGGAATCACTGAACATCACTAGACATCACAAGGCATTATAATCCATCACTAGACATCACTAAACAGAACAAGACATCAGTAGGCATCACTAGACAGTCACTGAACATAATTAAACATTTATGTTAGTATCCTAATACTTCATGAAGAATAATTCAAAAGAAATACATCATCAAACGATTTTTCTACTGATTTACTCATTAAATTTCAACATGACACATGCCAAGGAAATTACGCACGCGCACATTAGGCAAAAAACCATGTGACTCAATTTGGCTTCAGTTTCATATCTGTGTATATGATTATGAGCACATGTCTCTGAGCTTTGCTAAAAATAAAATACTTGTTTCTTGTTGATGTCAATGCCAAATGGAGCCTGTTGATGAAGTCGAAGCGGCTTGTGAAGAGGTAGATCCCAATAAGCTTATATCTAAGAACGGTGTTCTTGGATATGAACGTACAAATGGGTTTGAAGAGATAACAAATTTCGACGTAAAAGTCGATGGGTATGTTGGGGATGGAGAAGGGAGTGTTATAGGGTACATCATCCGTATAATTTAGCAGTGAGGGATCCATTTATATCGGCAGATAATGACAGATCGTCAAGGTAAGATGTGTTGTTAATTTTTTTCTGCACCCACCTAACCGGCAGCTAGCTATGTATATTTTGTTAAAATAAACACTGCCACTCAAACGTAATTTTGTTGTTTCGGTGCGTATTAAAACAGCACTTAAATATCATGAAAAGTATAAAAATTGAAGACTGGCAAGCTTTTTGTTATGTTTAAATTAATAATAGAGGATATTAGGCGGTGATTTTTTCTTCGAGTGGTGAGTAAAAATGTTACGCATGAGCGCAGAAAATGAGAAAAATATAGTTCTCACCACGACTAGTGCGTCCACGTTTTTTGTGCGCATGCTCAGCAAGTTACCAGATGCATTCAATGCAAACCCATTGGATAAAACTGCTCGCGTAACTTGCCGAGCACCTGCAGTTTATCAATTTTTTATCGTCGGCTTTAAAGAAAGCTGGGTACAGAATAACATAATTTTCGGCAGTGTTTACAACGTGTAGTTCCAACTCTGTATCTAGATTTACTCTGTAATAATACATATAGCATATTACACTGTCGCGTGAAGATATATATGTTATTTACCGGCTGCGAGGTTCGGATAGAAAAATATTTTTCAGGGAAATAGGGAAATATTTTTCTATCCGGAAGAACCAAAACGGTAAATAACGTATTTATTTTTTTACAAAAAGCGGCGTTCGGTCGTATCGTAGTCAGACTCATAAAATATAGGATTCCGGACAGTGGTCAGATATCGTAAAATTCCACCCCCTGCTACAGCCAATCAGCTTGCAGGAAAGATTGCAGGGAAGATTGCTCATTACCATAGCCTGCGTCTTACCGGCGTTCACCGTTAGATAGTATCATAGTTGTCAGAAAACTAACGATCAAGAATATTCACGTCCGTGTTGATGCGAACTAACAAGCAAACTCACAGGCAGAATATAATGCGGTCCCGAATTTGGCGTGGGCACCGCAATTCCACTGTAATCACCGAATTATACAGTATAGAAATTTAAAAAATTGATAGATATAAATGTATGATTACCTACTACAAATGTGCAAAAATCGCTAACAAAAGCTAAAACTCGGCAAATTTCAAGATCCGACTTCAAGTTCATATACGACTTCAAATTCGATCGGTCTTCGAAAATAAATGTTTATTTAGTCATTTGAGTTTACAAATAGCTTACGTGCATGTTGATTTTTATAGAGTATTTTACAAATATCTGCTGCAAGTACTTTGTGAAAACAGGGGGAAGCATGAATCACTACACTTGCTTGGAATAGAATCACGGGCAAATTCCATAAACCAGAATTTTCAATTTCTAGGAAATAAATATTACTTATTGGTTATTAATAATTCGGTTCTTTTAATGACTGTTTTCTAGGCAATTTTTTTTAACCAACCGGCAGCTTGGTAACAACACAACGATAGTAAACTGCCTCACTGCAAAATTCCCACCGCTGTGGATTGCCCAGTCAAAGGACATGTTTCTGCCGCAGTTTGTATACAGTCTATGCAAGGAGTACATGAAAACTCCAAGTGAGGAAATAAAAAGTTTCAAACCTGTAGAGGTAAGTAATTTGTTGATTGTTGCGCAAATGCGTTTTCTGTTTTTAGGGCATTAAGCTTTCGTGGCATGAGCCACGAAAGCTTATAAGGTTAATTTGTGGGTTTGCATGAATCCCATGCTTTCTAAACGCACTGCATTTCACAGTTTTGAAGCTGCGCAAAGGCCACGAATGGACTATGACTCGTGTCCAGCACTATTAGCATCTGCGGATAGCTGTTTCGCCCTTTTGCGGCTAAATGGTGATATATATTACCGTAATTACTCGAATAAACGCCTCCCTCAAATAAACGCCGCAGGGACAAGCAAAAATATCATTAAATGCCGCCCTCAGTGTTCATGCTATATTTTATACAGATTGTTGGAAAACAAAAAACTGATGATGTATGGGTTTTTAATCCACATGTGCATGTCGACAAGAATGGAAGGCTTATCCCGCAAGACGAAAGAGCATATGTTTCGATGGAAGCAAGTAGCTTGCCATATTTACGAAATATTAGCAGTGGTAATAAATACATGTACCTTCATATGCCTTCTTTTTTTATCCATTCAGTAAAGAATTAGTCATCAGGGTTTATTACCGGTATACAATAGACAGTTATGGATAATCTTCGCAGCTATCTTCTCCGTATAACTTTAATAAATAGTGTTATCGTTAAAAGTAATAAGTACTAAAGAATTACTATAGCTTCTTTAAAAAGATAATTTATAAAAATTACACTGAATTATTTTCCTCCAAAACTCGAAAGTATTTAAATTTGCAATGAAGAACGTTGATTTTGAAACTCAGTAAATTATCATTAATTGCACCTGAGCATTAATATTAGTTTCAATCGCTAGAAGGTAAAGAGTTTTATAATTATGTTTAGATTTAGATGATGGAGCAGCATTTAAACGACTTTTGGTCACGGAGAAGGCGTTGTTTCAAAACAACTATCCCCAAGTTGTGTTGGCCCATGCTGGCAGTAGCATGGCGTGTAATTATGATCTTATATTAAAAAAATTTGATGGATGTGCCATTCCAGTGCTCATGGGACCATCAGTATCGGGAAAGACTACCGCCTTGAAAGCTGTAATGAGTATATTTGGCATACGAAAATTTACGTGTGGTTAGTGGTTTTACTCATATGGCCAAATAAATGCATGCTATACTTTAGATACAATCTTGCATGGACCTTGAGTTGTGACGATTATTCCAAATGTTGCATCTATTTCAAGTTAACGATTCACCCAAATTTTTTTTAAACTTAAAATGTTTGTCTGCTTACAAAATAATTAAATAAAGTGCGTTTATTTTGTTCTTATAGTGCTTCATGTGACTTCAGTTTTTCGGGTTTGATCATTATTTGAGATAATGATCACTATTTGCCTTTTGATGAACTACTCCCTAAATTCCTGTGTTATACACTATAGCCAAACCGAATGAAAATTGCCGTGCCGAACGTTGAAACATGATCGAGCATCTCAAATTTCTTGAAATTAACAAAGAATTAATAAAATATATGCACCTCAGTATAGACTCCTAAACACCATATGTTATAGGCTTTAAGCCCCGTTTACACTACACCCGATTTAAAGGTACGCGTGCCCATTTTAGCCGTGCCGTGCCGATAAATAGACTGTAGTGTAAACGGGGCTTTAGCAGCTATAATAACTAATTGCTATGAACGTAGACAAAACAATTAAGCCATGTAAGCAAAATATAACTCAATATCGCAAGCCAAGATCTTTAAAAACTCTACAGGGGTTAGACCTAAGTTAACAATCTTATCAGGTTTTTCAAGGGTAAATATGCCTGTAATCCGTGAGTTAGGTTGCGTGGCTTAAAGTAGCTTATAATACAAAACGTTTATGATGCATCATTGCCAAGGTTGTATTCAGTTCGCTTTATATATAAATTTGTTATCGTACTACTAACAAACTTTTGTGACCAAGTAAGTATATTGAACTTGTTAACAAGCTTTATTTTTTTCAGAATCCAGCAGCAGATATATAGAAAATCGACAAAGCAACACAACTATTCCATTTGGTTGGGATGATGCGTCCGATATGAAGGTCCTAAAAAATGTTTCAGTCAATTCTTTTAATGGCGTAAGTATTATATTGACCACATATTTATGCGTTACGCATAACCATTACCAAAGCTCCAGGATTGAAAATGAAATTGTGTTTCGAGCAGCCAATCAGCGTACGTGTTGGAAATTGATTGGATGACAATTAGACCGTGCACACGTATAACGCTTTTGACTGTTTTTGGTTTTGCGCAGAAATGACAGCAAACAATGCAAAAGCAGTAGCAATCAATTTGCAGCAGAAATTAAATCTAATTTAATATATTGAAAAAACTTTAACTCGGACCGCGTGAACAATTAATTAAGCGTCTTAAAACGATAATGAAAAGATGCAAAAAATTACAGTCTTATAGTAACTTGGTATAGGTTTGCAATTTCACGCATGTTTGTATGTAATTGTCTGGTAATCATATTGACCCACCCAAAATAGCAAAACAGCAACTTTATTATTCATACTCACATCACCCTACACTCACAGTAGCCCTTTACACTCCGCACGAAGTCTTGTGAAATCGAAGTCCAGCCCAGTTTTTTATCGCAGCGATCACGATTGTTATACGATTATATAGAAAATTTTTACTTTTAGCCGTCCCAGTGAACATATTTATACAGCGATCGTAACGATCATACTGAAACCAGGCTTTTGCAAGCCGTCTTTAATTAACTTGTCTACTTATTATACATGCACTCTGTAGTGTGGAAGTTCCACAATGAAGAACACCTTGCAGCCGCATACTGTTCCCGTGGTCTCCACGAACCTTGACACATCGGAAAAAAAGTATGTGTGTTCATACAGTATAATCACTATAATACTGCGTATATGTGAGAGTATACACGATCCTTCGGGTTAATGCCAAAATAGTTATAAGATTCTTCATTATATGTCAGTTAGGTGGGTTTCACTATAAGGTGGGTTTTACTATTATTTTTGAAGTACTTGAAATTAACCACGAAGTTAACGCTAAAATTTTACGTACATGACTGATCTAAACGTATAGCTATCATTCATATAGGATTAATTCTCGGTGGTTGCGAATTGAATTTAAAGCACTTTCGCCAAGGCTAACTGGAAAGGATAAAGTCTTAGCTGAGATGAATGTTAAAGCAGCTATGAATGAAGCGCACAAAAGCATTTGCGTTGTCACTACCTGTATGCATAACAATCTCGAAGAATGCACAGAAAACGACACTTACTTCACTATTTTGGAAGAGCTAGAGGAAGAAATAGAAAAAAAGGGCATGCAAATTGATGATAGAGTCAAACTTATGATGGGACTTCTGCTTTTCTCTGCCAAAAAGGTAAATATAGTATGTAGTATGTAATACTGAAATATGTACGGATTAAATATAGCCTCATAAATTAGACTGTCACAGTGTCAGTGTATGCATGTCAGTGAAAATGCGGACTATGTATGTGCATGTTTATTTTATCTCCAGTATCTATCGTATGAAACTGAATAATACAGCCGTAAACGCAGGGTTTGATTGAAAACGTTCTATAGGATCCAGTTTAAAATAGCAGTTGCCTAAATTTCATATACTGTACGTATAAAAGACGTGATAATCTGTATTTTGCCGTTGGAAAACAGAGCTACAACGACGTCTAATATTTTAGTTACTATAATTTCCGGATTTATTTTTTCTATTATATATAGTCTGGTATTATAAGCTTTTCTAGTTATACCCTTGTCCTGTTTGTTGAAATTCTCAAATTCTCAATTGTTCTTTATGTTCCTGTAGTAGGTTAAGCTTTGTTTAAGTTCGCTATTATATATCATTATTTCTATGCAGATTTTGGAAAAAGTTGATCTAGCTGACGATTATGTCTTGGTATGGGAGACAATGAAAGAAGTTATTTTGCCAGGCTACACATTAAGAGAATCAGAACAGCAGCCCACATCGAATGAGAAGTGTCAGAATAATGCAAATGTAATTCATAAACTTCTACATGATCACTTGCTCCCTTTAGCGGCCAAAGAGGATCCAAATTACGTATGTTTTCTTGCTTCTTTTACTTTTTAGTTGCATATTATTTTAATTTCACACGCGCGCTTACATTTTAAGCCATATAAATCCATAGTAGAAACTATGAGCGTTACCAAGAAAAAATAAAAATAAACTAGATAATATACAGTCATTTAAAATAAGGTTGTTAAGACCAGAATGTTTCGCCAGCCTCTTACTCATGGTCGGAAAGCCAGAATATACCGGCAAAGCATTAATCTGGTTTTAGTAGCCTAAATTATGCAAATAAACACTATAACCCTGGGTTAGCGTTAACCGGCTTTTGAACAACCGGCCCCTGTATCCTTGCGTGAAGTATACAAATATGATAATTATATGCCCACTTGATTTTCGATGTGTTATAAACCTACTTAAAACTATCATTTTGGCCCACTCTGTTGATATTGTTCAGTCACTTTGACTATGGTCTATAACAACCATAATTGAAATAATCTGATATAATTTCCTTAAATTTGCAAAGGTGATGCGTTTTATTGATAATGACCATAATCCTTCAAAATGCACATGCGGAAAGTCGGTGGTGTTCCACGTTAAAGATGTGGTGGAGTTCCTGAGAAAAAAAGCGTCAGTAACTGGCGATCAGTTATTGTCATCAGTAACTGAAAATTCAGTTCGTCGTTTCATAAAATCGAGAGATATTGGTTGCGTTGGGGTGCAAGTACGATTCCGACGGAGGCCCAAGCAATGTAACGCGGCACATATACAGAGGATCTGGTTTGATCCAAATGACCTCTCTGTTTTGGATGAAAGTAAGAATACAAAAGGCGTCAATTAATTAATTAATACGATGACATTTGCCTGTAGAACTGTTGAACAGGCGTTTAATTAATTAACAAGACGCCCGGTAGGCGTTAACTCGGGCTGTGTAGCCGGTAAATACACTGCACTGAAACTGAGCTATATTGATACACTGTAAGTACGCGACTGTCCGCGCGGATGACTAAGCCTGCGACACGAAAAAAAAATAATAATCGCGAAACCTAGCTCGGCTAGACCTAGACCACAGTAGCCCGAGTAATTAATATTACGTAGCTACTATTTTCGGTTATATATATAGCATCTCCTTTATTTGATTAAATTTATTTGAACGTAATAGTTTTACTGACTGAGTACTTTTTAGGAGACCTGCCTATTGTTCAGTATACGCTTTTAATTTAACTTTTGTATTTTATTCACAGAACTTGGGAAGAGGAATGATAAAAGTGGGACAAAAGTGCAAACCATTCTTGACAACGACAGTGTTTTGACAAATGTAGAAACCATTCTTGACAACGACAGTGTCTTGCCAAATACACAAACCATTCTTGACAACGACAGTGTCTTGACAAATGTAGAAACCATTCTTGACAACGACAGTGTCTTGCCAAATGCACAAACCATTCTTGACAACGACAGTGTTTTGACAAATGTAGAAACTATTCTTGACAACGACAGTGTTTTGACAAATACACAAACCATTCTTGACAACGACAGTGTCTTGACAAATGTAGAAACTATTCTTGACAACGACAGTGTTTTGACAAATACACAAACCATTCTTGACAACGACAGTGTCTTGACAAATGTAGAAACTATTTTTGACAACGACAGTGTTTTGACAAATGCAGAAACTATTCTTGACAACGACAGTGTCTTGCCAAATACACAAACCATTCTTGACAACGACAGTGTTTTGACAAATGTAGAAACCATTCTTGACAACGACAGTGTCTTGACAAATGTAGAAACCATTCTTGACAACGACAGTGTTTTGACAAATACACAAACCATTCTTGACAACGACAGTGTCTTGACAAATGTACAAACCATCTTTGACAAGGGTGCCTTGGCAAATACACAAAAAACAGTTGAAAATGACGTTCAAAACCTTAAAAGCAAAGACAGCAAAGGTGGTAAAAGAAAACGGAGAATGGCAGATGGTTTGTTCGATAAATTGCACAGTGGACTCAAAGGTATATTATATGCACGTTCTAATTTACTCCTCACATTTATCACAACTCACAAATTGAGAATACTGACCCAAACCATATTTTTAGATAAACGTACACGAAATGGTAAATAAGGTTAATTACATCGATGGAGCCGGAGTGTTAACTGCATGGTGTTGCTGTAGTACTTGTGGACTACGTGATCTGGCAAAGTTGTTAAACATTATTTAATATGTTTTTGTGTTGAAATTTGGTTGGCATATATGGGCGAACATAATTAGAGTGTTAAATGCTGAACGCAAATAGCGACGAGATATTACATACTTCATTATAAGTTGCTTCATGCAATCTTAACAATATGTCAATGTTAGCATATGTCTTGATATAAAAAACAATAATCAATAAAGTACTTGAGTTTTAACATCAACATTGTGGGACATAAATAAATTAATTAATGTGAATATAAACTATATGCTAAGCCCATTAGTGGAAATGACACATTATGTCAACTTGATCTTAAGCCTTGTTTAAACGTTACCGGACGAATTTAGGTCTGAAATTCGTTCATTTTCGCCTGTTTACACGCAAATTTGTTCTTTACCGTGTATAAACAAGGCCTTTGGCTTGGTGGTCAGAGCATTTCACAAACATCGAAAAGGCGTAGGTTCAATTAGCCATTTCCCAATCGAGCAGGGTACTGTGTTTAGTCGGGAACCGCAAAGCATCCATGGACTGTTTGGAGGGACAAATGATTTCAGACTTATATTTCCTGTTCCTCCAAACAGTCCATAGATGCTTTGCGGTTCGCGACTAGACCCAATCCCCTGCTCGATTGGGAAATGGCTAATTTCTGCCGGACGGCCAATAGTTGATGAATTCTTTTCAACTGTCCCTGGCGTGTATCAATTTCCACTCAAAATTAAGACCAATTTAACCTATTCTTATTTTTAAATGCTTACTTTTATACGGCGCAAATCTCAAAACCGTCAAATTTCAAAGTCCTTTTTGAGTTTTAAAACCTTTTTCCAGATGAACTCTTTTTGCCATTTTCTCAGTGGTAAAACAATATTTAAGTTAAATAAGCCTTCTATGACACCAATGTATAAACTGTAAACCGTTTCAGCATCCCATAATGTGAAATAACCAGATCGAAAAAAGTTGATAATAGAACACAAAACACAGACTTCCAAGAAATTTGTAGTATTTTCTTCAGGTGTAGATCCACTAGGTAATATATTTTTTTGCGTCTGTAAAATGTGCTTAACACGAGGCGAAGATTTGGTTTTCCTTCTAACTTTGACGACTCTTGTCTTGCAAGTACATCCACCACATTTACCAACGCACTTGCATCTGTCGCAACAAGATTTAAATTTAATCATGCAGTTGCATCGCTTATAACTTTTATATTTCTTTAACGGCTTTGCTTTTCTATTTTTCTGCGCTTGTGTCGTTTGTCCACACCTACAACCTGTTAAAAGCAATTTAGATTCATCGTTTTCAAACTCAGTAAACTCCTTATGACGTTTCACGTGAAAATTACTCGTTTGAGCGCGCCCCGAGAATAGCAATGCTGTTGATCAAAGCTGATGAGATTACAAATTGTTCACCCCTTTTGTCTTGCATGATGTGTTTCTTTGTTTTGCCAGCGCGTCGTCGAGCTGGCCGCGTAGTAAATCGTAAACTCCCTATTTTTATACAAGGGCGTACAATAGACCTTTTTGGTAATTACGTCACAACTACATGGAAGCGACGCTGTGGGGCCAGGAATCGCTTATGTAATATAAAAATATTATATCTTGGCCCCTTAGCCTCCCTTCCATGTAGTTGTGACGTAATTACCGAAAAGGACTACTTGAAACTGCACTGACTTGTTGTCAGCCAGTCAGGCGCTCTAGCCGGCGCGCTGAAGCCGGAGTATCTTGCTTTCTAATACTGTTTTTCAGTAAATTTAGAACTTAACAATAAAATGGCTGCGACTTGAAACAAGGTTAATGCATACTGATTTATGTGCATGCATTGTTTACAAATACATTACAAATCATGAAGCACTTAATTCTGTTACAAGGAATTGTCCCTATTCATTACTCTATCTTTAGCAGCAATGTGCGCAATGTCGAGCCCTTGAGAGTTTTTTTACTATCATTTATTTCTTACTGCGCATGTTTGTTGCGAATTTTTTAGACAATAGTCATAAAAATCGTCTAGTGGAGAACCGTTTTCTATTAAGCTTCTGTTGTACTAAATATTAGCGCGCTATAAGGGGACAATGGGATTTCCCATGATATATTTCTTTAACAGGAAAGAAAAAGAAAGAGAAATTTCCCAGGATACTTGTCATTTCTTATACAGACAGTTCAAAAGTCTTTTCCGATGATATATCAAAAGAATCCCAAATGCAATATCGGCGAACGTCGGGCACACTTCATGACTTACGAAATTTTACAAAAAATACGAACAAGATTTAACGCCCACCGCCGTGCCGGAATGCCGCTGAAATCTCATCGATTTTTGGCTTATTGAGTATTATCGGACAAGCCACAGAAATTCTACATACCTTTACGTCCAGGTGTTGATGATTTAAAATTTTCTTTACAGTCCACTACATTACGCGACTCTGTTGTGTCGACAGTGCCTAAAACGGTAATTATATTAATAATGTAGTAATATAGTAACTGTTAATATGGGTATGATAAAATGAATTGCAGTAAATTAATTGGTAGATAATGATTATTATTATTACAATTAGATGTGACCCTACCCGATTAATAGCAAGTTCACATTCCGCGTATTCACATGCACATACTGGGAAACAACAATACCTGAAGGATGCAAAGGTACTATGGGCGAAACTGCGTTATAGTGACCTGGTCCTGACGACGTATATGCCAAGAAAATTGGTGTTGCGGTCATGACAAACCCACGTGGACATACGTTAATTATAGGAGTGCTGGGTTCCGATGTTATTATTCCGAGTGGAATTCCCAATACATTTGCCATTGCCATTGGCATAAGATCACCGAGATTACCTCCAAAAAAACCAGGCCTTTCGTAATGTTCGACTTCAGATAAGTAGTCCACATTATCTGGCAAAAAACTCGCATAATCAGAAGCGAAATCACCTCTCCATTCTTGGACGATTAGATTCCTCAATCTTGTCGATAATTCTTGCACAGACATTGTCGGTAACAAACCAATGTCCCTAAGATGATCAGCGATTACTTTGTAAGCTCCTTTGTTCAATACAGTTGAAAGGTGAAATGCAACAGCGGTAAAGAAGCAGTTCCCATCACCTGGAACCTCCACCTCTTCAAGTCCAAAAAATTGAAGATGTCCTGTGAGTACCGCCTTTGTACCATCTGTAGTTGCCGCAGTGGCAAAATGTGAGCGCATGTTTCTTAGTGCATTAAAGGTATTTCCATATTCAAGACCAATTAGATGTGCAAGATTAGTTTTCAAAAGTAAACGCGTTCCTCCAATGTGTTCCAAACCTTTATATAATTCATAAAAAATAATAGCTGAATCAGCAATGGCCATTGCCATATTATTATCTCTACCTTTGTTTTTGGCGTATGTGTGTTCATCTTGAATATCATCACTTGTTTGCAGTGATGATGAGATAGCGTTTCTGATATTACAAATTACTTCTTCGCTCAACTCATCTAACGACTTGTAAATCATAACATTTTTTTCTGGTATAATAGCTTCTAACTCACCACCAATCTGTCTAAAAGTTTCAAAACCGAAATTTTCCACTCGTTTGGAAAAGTCCGGTGGATCTTTTGAACAAGCCATAAGTTTTTTAATTGAATTATTTCCTTGGTTATTAATTTTGAAAAAAAGCCTGGAGCATCTTACGTATGCGGTCTCCAGTCCAATTTTATTTATCTTTAGAACATTGTTCATATTTCTGTGAAGTCGTTCATTTCGCGATGTTGATACATTAACAGGGATTCCACTAAGGCAGCCTTTCACAAATATGCAACTTTATATTGCAGATAGCTTTTTTTGCCGCTTGATTCAAAATATATTCTCCCTTCCACGTCTTAGATTTCCACCATCTTTGGAAACTTTCAAGATTTGCAATTAATGTTTCTTTATCGGGAGTTGGTTGTAATCTTTTGATTCCAAGATCATTTGATTGGCGAAAAATTAATCCGTACCCTTTGCATATATCTGTATTTAATCTTATTGCCATAGGTAAAGTGGTTACAAATCGCTGTACAGCGTGAAAAAGATCTAATTTTACCAAAATGTTTGGAAAGAATTGGGACTGAAATTGACTTCTCCATTTACAGCAATTATCAATGACAATACCTTCTAAATCAGTATTTAATCGTTCAAACCTGTCCTTAAGTTCTCTAAAAATGCCACTTACTTCATTGAATGATTCTCCTTTAGTAAATCTCCAATGAATAATTTTACCGTTATTGTCCAAAACAATAAATACACATTTCATCAACTTTATCCAGCGTCCGTCGCTCTCTCTAGTGAAGCCAATGTTGCCTGCACTTTTAAACGTGTGATCGCATGCAAGCCATCTAGATGTACGACAAGCCATGTCGTCGTAAAAGAGCTGATCGAACAACAAAGAATACGATACAAACACTGATCTAATTATTTTTTCGTGTGGGAATGGAAACGCCTTTTGATCAAATGGCGGAAAACTCTGCCTCTGGATAACGTTTTCACTAAGTTTTAATGTTGAGCTGTCTTGCTCGTACCGTAACCTAAGACGCCAGTAATATTGCTCATATTGATTACACACAATATCCTCGATCGAATGAAAACTTAAACCATTGTCGACCATTGAAGATAGCTGGGTTAACATATCAACTGTGAAACCCGCCCGATTAGTTAGGAAAAATGGAACAAAAACCGACGATGGAAGCGCAGAAAGGATCGATGGATGATGCGCAGGAACTTGATGATTTGACGAACAAAGGTAAATATGAGAAACAAGAAGGATCGCAGAATTTGTGTCATAAACAACTCGAGGTTCATATGATGAGCTGGCCCATGTTTTATCTGCCCACTTTCCAGATCTTCGTAAACAGGTTGCCGAACAAAATGGACATGAAAATCGAGAAATAAGGTCAGGATGACTAAAAATCACGTCCCACAACAAGATAGGAGGAGATGTATACCATTCTGTATTGGGCAGATTGTCAGACCTAGCGCTGGGCCATTCCCTCACAAGCAAAGAGCCGGACGGACTCTCGCAAACAGCCTCTTCAAATAATTTAATCGCCCGTTTAATCTTAACAATTGTGATTTCCGAGATATCCATGCATCCACAAATGCAACTGGAGCTCAAAAAAACAAAAAGAAACAAAAAACATTTTGAAGAATCTTTACTGAGAATCAACATCATAACAGCGAAAATGATCTGGTAACGTAATGATCTACGCCTCACTTTAAGTGATGTCTGGT